TGTATGAGAAAGCCCTGAAAGGAATTGGAACATAGCATAACTAAAATATAAATTTCCGTATTTCATGTGGTCATTAACAGTTTTAAAAATTTGAGTTGGTTACATTTTATTATAATGTAGTAAACTTGAGCTTGTTCTGTGGATGTAGTTTTTCTATTTATTACTTAAAGAAAAGAATTCTCTTTTGCTATTAATAAGTCAACATGATAACAATGTGTTAACTGGTGGAGTAATAATACATTTAATACATTTAATAACTGATACATTAATATACATTTAATAATACATTTAATAACTGATCTTGAACATAACCTAAGGATTTAAATTTTTGAGTTGAACAGCATTTTCATTCCCAATAAAGAATGCCAGTTATTAGTGCTTTCAAAATAATTTAAACATTATCTCCAGAGTAATATTTTTGGTATACATCCTCTTTATTTAATTATGTGGTCCCTCATTGATCTTAGGCACTAAGTGTTCTCAGTAAAAACAGGTTTCATACTTTGAACTCAATTTCTACTATTCGCTTTAAAAACGGTGGCTGTTTTCACAAAATATAATAAACTTTAATGGAATAAATAATTTTTATCAATAATGACCTATATCATGTAATAATGTGGCATAAATTATTGTAGTGCCTGGGGGTTTGAAATTTATTTGCTGATATTATAATAAGTATCCATTAGAATATTTCATGAGAATTTTGGTAATTATGAAAAGTACATTCAAAAAATCCACAGTGGTTACAAAAGGAGCTAAATGGCTATTACTGGGCATTTATTATGTGGTGTTTGCACACCTTCTGCTCTCCCTACAATGAGTAATATCCCTTTTACAGAATTCTCACAATCAAAAGAGGGAGTGCAGTTTTAGTAAGTTCCAGCATGAAATTATCAAGTCATCAAAAACCGACACCATGAAGCCTCCTGTCCCCGACTGCATCAAAAGCTGACTGCACGTCCCAGGGAGAAAGGATCGATTCTTCCATGGGTTGTCTAGCATTTGTGAAGTGACATGTGATAAAAGGTTCTTCAGTGTTAGGAAATCCCATTAGCAGAGTCTGTAGAGGAGTTTCTGAGAAGACACTTTCCTTTTGTGTCTGCAACTACCTTTTACTACAGCCACTAGAAATCTTCTATAGCATTTGGAAGCCTACAGATTGTAATTTAAGGTCAAGCCAGCTCAGTACAGTGGTTATTATGGATACAGTGACTAGTCATATGACCTCTAGGAGTTCATGTTTTGAATCAGTGACTTAGTAAGTACATCCTCTTACTAGGAACAACACTGTAAATAATAAGTGGCTTTCTAGGCCAGCCTACTATGTTTATTCAATGCATTGGATATATTCAGTACTGAGAAAAGGCTGGTGAGCTCCCTCGGTGGTATTAGGAGTTGCTCTCTCTGTGCAGAGGTGAAGGCTGAGAGGGCTGGGATTTGGGGTGGTGTAGATCTTTCATGGTGGTTGCTTTGTCAAGGTTTCAGTGCAAGCTTGTTTTCCCTCAACCTTCTGTAGTGGTTGGTGAAGGCTTCTGTGACAGGATATCCAGGAGATAGCAGTTGTTGGTGTAGAGATTATTTGTAAGTCAGGTGTTTGAGCCAAAGGTTGCCTTGATCCATGTGTAAACACACTGATTGAGTCTCTAAAAGCAAATATTTGTTATGCATTTACCATGTATAAAATACCAGGCTCTCTTAAATTGTTGTTTACTGTCTGTAGGGTAGAAACTCTGGCTTACTACATTGTTATAAGATGTAGCCTACTGAGACTTTAAAAGGAAAGTGTTAGTGGTTACCTAACACTTTGTAGTAATTTTGTATCCAAGTTGTAGTAATTTTGTATCCAAAACCCTTTTCAGGGAATTATGATGCAGTTTGTTCTTCTACAGAACAATGTAAAACTCATTTATATATTTTTATTTGAAAGATGCATGCGTGTGCACACACACAGATATTTCTTCCATCTGCTGGTTCATTGCCTCAATGCTGTCACCACTGGGCCAGGCTGAAGTTCAGGAGTCCTAAGCTCCATGTGGATCTCCCACACAGGTGGCAGGGACTCAAGTACTTGAGCCATCACCTGTTGCCTCCCAGCGTGTGTACTAGCAAGAAGCTGGAATTAGAGCCATACTTCAAACCCAGGCTCTCTGATATGGGATAGGTGTCCCTAATGCTGCACCAAACATCCACCCCCAAATATCTTTTTTAAACCAATCAATGAGACAGGAGAGTAAGACTAGAAGGGCTCAGCTTTGCTAATGGAAATTAGCTTTCTTGTGTCTTGAGGATGTTGTCTGCTTTATAGAGAGCAACTATTCTAGTCAGAAAGAGCATACTAGTAGGGAAATGCCTTAAAAAAGGACAGGGATTTGCGGTGGGCATTCTGGTGCAGCAGATGGAAGATCTCTGTCTGTCTGTCTCTCTCTGCCTTTCATGTGGATGAAATAAATACGTAAACATTCTTCAAAAAGAGGACAGGATCTTGTTTGTTTATATATGCTTAGCTTATCTATATACCTATATCTGAGCTAAGCAGCTGGGATGTAATAGAGAATAAGATATTTGTTGCCTGGCTTCCATAGAAATTTTAGACTAGCATAGTACCTGTAAATTCATGGATGAAAAAAAGCAGGCAGTTTTAGTTGAAATTTAAGTGTTTCAAAGTTATTGAATTCTTGATTTACAAATTTACTTTTCACTAAACTAAGGCAGAAGTACTTTATCCAGAAAACAATGCTTTGTAGAGATGAAAACAAGGATCCTTTATGATTCAGTTTTGTTTTCATCTGGGATGGTGTAGTTCAACACATTTAAATTTTTGTTTGTAGCCTGCTTTGTGCCAAAAGGATTTAAGGCAGCTTACAAAAATATATCGATACCGTAAGATAAAGAAACAGAATAGATATAGCCAGTAGTGATATTAGAATACACAACATACTACTGTGAAGTCCTAGCTGCATCAGGTATATATTTATGGTACTACCATGTAGGACTCTTGCCCTCCCATCATCAACTCTGAAATCCTGCCTAGAGCTGTACTTACTGTCTTAAATGTAGACCCCTCTTCTGTGAGGACAGGATCCCTCAGCATGTGTTCGGGATGCCATCCTCTTCGTCTTCGCCCAGGACTTGGTTCTGCCCTCTGTCCTTGGTCTCCCTCGGGTCTAGGGTCATGACCATTGGCAGCCAGACACATTCAGCTACTCCTCCTCTCGCCAGCCTCAAACAAACTGAAGCAAAACCCTTGATCTTCATGCCCCCCCTCCAGCTCCTGCTCCTGCTCCATTTTTCTTGTTTGCCATTTTGAGAATGGTTTTCAAAAGACTCACCTGAGATTTCTCCGTCCTCACCTCCCATCCACATTCCGTTTCTTTCAGTCTGTTTTTCTTGTCCCAAACAAGCCCTCAATGAAGGCTAAGCTCAGCAGTGATGTCTGTGTTGGCAGACGCAGTGGACAGTTTTTAGTCCTCATCTCGGGAAATCCAGATGCCTGCTCCTAATTAACCTCCTCCTTGAGATACTTTATGCGAGTTTTCTTTTTTCAAAGATTCATTTATTTATGTATTTGAAAGGCAAAGTGACAGAATTAGAGAGGGGCGGAGAGCAAGGGAGAGAGGGCGAGCTCTTCCCCCATTGGTTGATTCCCAAAATGCTGTAAAAGCCAGGTCTGGGCCAGGCCAAAGTCAGGAGGCAGGAACTCCATCTGTGCCTCTCATATGGGTGGCAGGGGCCTTATTCCTCTGCTTTCTCAGGTGCATTAGCAGGGAGCTGGATCAGAAGTGGAACAGCTAGGACTCAAATTGGTGCTCTGATATGGGATGCCAGCATTGTAAACATTGACTTAGCCCACTTTGCCACAGCACTGGCCCCTCTGCTTGTTTTCCTGTGTCCACATCATGCTTCTGTTTCTCCTAACTTGCAGACCACTTCTCATCTCAGCCACCTTTGCGTGGTCCTCATCCTGCCCAGCCTCCAGATGCGGATGCTTCTTAAAGCTTGATCATGTGCCTTTCTTCCTCTTTACACACACTGCAATGACAATTTCCATTGCCTGGGTTTCAGGTAGTATCCTTGTGCCATCCAAGTTTATGTCAGTAGCTGAGACCTTTTGAACTCCGTGCTCATTTGAGGGTACTTCAGATAGTTTGTGGAAAATGGAATTAAACCATAGGTTAATTTTGGTGCAGAGCATTTGAAATCCATGCGTATAAAGGATCTTCAAAAAGATCATAAGAAAATGTATTATGAAACACCATGTATGGTTTAAAAATTATTTTTGCACCAAAATAAAATTATCTTTTAATTTTAGTTTTCCAACAATTTTTTGACCATCCTTCCTATGTTCAGATGCTCACTTGATATGACCTCTTGAATTTCTCACAGGCATCTTGAACTTAACATTTTTTAAAAATCAGAAAATAATCTTTCACTGTAGGAGTCTCTTACTCTTCCACCTTTCAGTAAATAGAAACACCAACATGTGGATGATAACCTGAGCTGGGAGACATTTTTGACACCTCCTTCTTTCTTATCCCATAGCTGTATCAATCACCAAGTTCTAGCTGTTCTACCCTCCCAAAAACCTCTCTCCATTTATTCATGTTTTTCTTCTCCACAAAATTATCAGCCTTGTATGAAATGAAAGAGCCTGGGGCCGGCGCCGTGATCCAGTAGGTTAATCCTCTGCCTGCAGCATCCCATATGGGCAGTGGTCTAGTCCCAGCTGCCCCTCTTCCCATCCAGCTCTCTGCTATGGCCTGGGAAAGCAGTAGAAGATGGCCCAAACCCTTGGGCTCCTGCACCCACATAGGAAACCTGGAAGAAGCTCCTGGCTCCTGGCTTCAGATCAGCCCAGCTCCAGCCTTTAGGGCCTTTTGGTGAGTGACCCAGCAGATGGAAGACTTCTCTGTCTCTCCCTCACTCTTACTATAACTCTACCTCTCAAATAAATATTTTTTTTATTTTTTATTTTATTTTTTTTATTTTTGACAGGCAGAGTGGACAGTGAGAGAGAGAGAGACAGAGAGAAAGGTCTTCCTTTTGCCATTGGTTCACCCTCCAATGGCCACCACGGCCGGCGCACTGTGGCCGGCGCATTGCGCTGATCTGAAGCCAGGAGCCAGGTGCTTCTCCTGGTCTCCCATGCGGGTACAGGGCCCAAGCACTTAGGCCATCCTCCAGTGCACTCCTGGGCCATAGCAGAGGGCTGGCCTGGAAGAGGGGCAACTGGGACAGAATCCGGTGCCCCGACCAGGACTAGAACCCGGTGTGCCGGCGCCGCAGGCAGAGGATAAGCCTATTGAGCCGCGGCGCCGGCCTCAAAGAAATCCTTTTTAAAAAATAAAAGTACATAAAAGAAACTAAATGAAGGATAAAGCAGTTACAAGTTGGGGAATTTCTACTAAAAATGATAATTGTCTTAGAATATAGTTTTTTAGTTTCTTGAAAACTTAAAGGAGTGTTTTAGAATTTATCTTTTTTATTGCTCTTTAGAGTAAGGTGCACAAACCATATATTGTCTAATACTTCCTGTTTGATCAGTGGTACCACTCTACAATCATATTAATGTTTCTGTAGCAAGATATGTGAATATTCACACCACAGGGATTAAAATGACAATTACCCTCACATTGGTTCAGGTTAGATTTTGCTGTCAGATGAATTCAGGTCAGATTAGATTTTCCCACCAAAAGAGGTATGGAAAAGCTTTGTTTTCTGAACTCTGTGGATTTGGATTCATGGTTAAGGTATAGTAGACCTGTAGAATGGTTTGTTGCTCTTTCTGGCAATATTAACAGATCTATGCTAGATTTTTCAAAAGCTCTTTCAGATCATGGTGTTAAGATGGTAAATTTCTAAGTACGTTTCCCACGTTTAGCTGTAATTCCCTTTCAGTCATGCTTCCTTAGCAGTCATTCTCTTTTCTCAGCGCCCTGTTTGAGTTTGAAGCAGCCAGGTTTTCCTGGAGGAAGTAGATGTATTATACACAATTAAAATAAGGTGAGATCTAAAAATACTGATGGAGAGAGATATCTGTAAAATAGCATATTACCTTGCTATTGTAACAGATTGCTACAAAGCGAATAGCATGTATTGTGCCTCAGAGTGCTGTAGAATTGAAGTCTGACACAGGTGTTTCTCTGCTAACATGGAGGCTGCTTTTTTCTGGAGGCCTTGGGAGCGAATCTCTTTCCTTATCTTTTCCAGCTTTTAGATGGCACCTTCTCCCATTTTCAGAGTCAGATGCCTAAGTGTCTGTCTTACTCTGCTGCCATCATCACATCTCCATCTCTGAGTTTTCTCCTTCCCTCTTCCACCACTTTTAAGAATTCTTGTGGGGCTGGTGCTGTGGCGTAGTGAGTAAAGCTGTGCCTGTGATGCCAGCATCCCAAATGGGCACTGGTTCGAGTCCCAGCTGCTCCACCTTCAATCCAGCTTCTGCTGATAACCCAGAAAAAGCAGCCGAGGATGGCCCAGGTGCTTGGGCCCCAGACACCTGCGTGAGAGACTTGGATGAAGCTCCTGGCCATTACAGCCATCTGGGAAGAAAACCAGTGAATGGAGGATCTCCCTCTGTCCCCCTCTCTCTGTAACTCTGACTTTCAAATAAATCTTTTTTAAAAAACAAAAACAACCTTGTGGTTACGTTGGGCCCCTCAATATACCCAGCTAATCTCCTTATCTTACCGTCAGCTGATTAGTGCCATGCAGCCTAGCATCTTCACAAGTCTGGCCATTAGGACCTGGACGGCTTTGGGAGACCATTATTTTGCCTACCATATAAAGTAAGTAGGAAAAGAAAGTTGCAAACCAGTTTGTAGAGTTTTAATTCTATTTGGGTTTAAGAAAAAGAGTGGTATTGATAAAAGAGCAGGGAGTAATGTGGTACTTGCCATTAAGGAAACTCTATGTTCAGAAATAGGACAAGAAAGAGAAAGTGAAAGCCCAGGCTTTATCCTGTGTACCCAAAGATTCTCGATGTGCTTGGTTGTCAGGGAGTAGGACAGAAGTTCAGGTCACGGGAATCGATGTGGGAAGTGAGGTGTGATCATGCCCTTCTACGTACTCCCAGAGGGTTCTCCGCCGTCCTCTGGGTGTTGAAATTCAGGCAAGGGCACCGCACCTCCTTTATCTGTGGTAGATAAGCCCAGATGAGACCTGGCTTCACAAGTCCTTGGTGCACCATGAACTGTGCGTTTTACGGCAATGAATTACTCTCACATACAAAGCAGAGTAACGCTTAATAAAGTTAGTAACATTTATTACATTTACTCATGTATATCTTTTGTTTTCATAGTACCCTTCACCCACCTTTGAACGGTGCAAAATCCATCTAAAATAAGCCCTAGGTAGAAGTTCTTTCCTCTAGATCTGCAGATGGGACATGGTGAGAGTTTCCGGGCAACCTGGAGTAAGCAGATGGACCGTAGTGCCTTCTGCCAGAACGGGCTGTTTCCAGAGCAGTGACCATGCCAGGTCCTTTTGCAGAAAGATCACAGATTTGGACCCAACATTTTTATGGGTCACACAAATAAGACCTCATTGCTTTTACTTTCATGAGTTTTGGTGTCCTTAAAAAATCTGAGTTTCTAAGTTCTGTTCAGCACTTCTGTTTGCTTATTTGTTTTTCTAGCTCTTATTTTTATCAAACATTGATTTTCTAATCTGGTAGGTCATGATGTTAGTACAGTGATTTTCTTGCAGCTCTTTCCTATTAAACGATGGATTTTAGAAAGCTAATTTAAAATTCAGACATCTTTCAGCCTTTTGGACTATGAGGCATTTTTGTCTTGAACTGAGGCTGATTTGGGGAAAATACTACTGGTTCTAATAAAAGGAAAGCTTTCTGTTTCAATGAAGTAATTGTTTTGTGCATTGCTGAAAAATGCAAATTAAAGCTACTTGAATTGGATACATTTCTGAAGAGATTTTAGAAAAACCTTTCTCAGTTAATTGGTGTTTAAGTCTTCATGTGTTCCAGAAGCATTTAAAAGGTACCCTTAATGTGTATGTGATTTTTGGACTTAACACATTGATTTTTTCAGGTCGAATTTCCTCCTATATATGAAAAAACAAGAAAGTCTATTCTTGGGAAAGTACCACTGAACTGTTGGTAGTCATCTCTCCCTTTGATACTGCATTTGACAGTCAGCAGGCATTTTTATAAGCTCCGGGGGCAGGCTCAGTCTTGATATTTGACTTTGGCAGGCGAGATGTGGAATAGTTTAAATAGTTTCACCACATATGTTGCTGCCCAGTGAATGTGTGTGTGTTTTTTTTTTTTAATTGGAGGGATAAAACAGCACAGTGTTCTTTCACTGCTCTTTGTGCTAACCTTGTGTTTTGCCATTTAAGCCTTGCGATACCTTTTGCAAAGAGAACGATTTGGTGATGGAGCGCTCCCACTGACCGATGGACTCAAAGAAAGGAAGGTAAAACCATTTCTTCCTCCTCCTCTATGCTAGCAAAACACAACCAACTACTCCACACATATGTAACTTTTCTTCAGATTGATTTTCTTTCTTTTTTAAAAACTTACTTGAGAGAGAGAGAGAGATTGACAGGTGGACGGACACACAGAACATTTCCTGTTTTCTAGTTTGCTCCCCAAATGCCAGCAGTGGCTGGAACTGGGCCGAGGCCAGAGCCCAGAGCCAGGAACACAATCCAGGTCTCCCATGAGGATGGCAGGAACCCAATTACTTGAGTCATCCCCATTGCCTCCTAGGGAATGTGTCAGTGAGAAGCTAGAGGTAGGAGCCGGAGCCAAGGATCAGACCCTGGCACTCTGATGTGTGGCCCAGGCATCTCAGCAGCGAGGCCACATGTCTGCTCCTGGCTGACTGTTCTTGTTGACGGGTAAGTGGGAGGATGTAGTGACACCTGCAGTGGATTGCGAAAAAGAAAAGCATATTCAAATAAAGCTGATTAGAAGTAAGTTTTGTTCCTATTCTGTTATGCTTTATAAAGGCACTGAATATCTTAATTTCATCAAATTAAAACTCTTGTAGCCATGTTTTCCTAACAATTTCAGGTTTTCAGAAGTAGTAGTAATTGTAATTATCTTCTGTCTTTAGGAAACTGGTCAAGGAAGATATTTAAAAAGAAGGTTAATTTTGTGTTTCTCTTCTACTGAACCATTGTTATGCTCAATTACAATATAGGGAGTATTATTTAGCAGAAGTAGAGAAATTCCTAGGTACTTAAAAACTTTCTGTGCCTCAGTAAAATTTTAGCATCAGGTGCTAGTGTTGGGCATAGTGGTTAAGATGTTGCTTGGGATGCCTGCATCCCGTATTGGAGTGCCTGGGTTCGAGTCCTGGCTTTGCTTCCAATTTCAACTTCCTGCTGATGTCTACCCTGGGAGACTGCAGGTGATGCTGGAGGGAATTGAGTTCCTGTCACCCGTGTGGGAGACCTGGATTGAGTTTCTAGCTTCTGACTTTTGGCCTGGCCTGGCTCAGCCCCAGCTGTTGTAGACATATGGGGAGTCAACCAGATGGGAGCTGTCTCTGTCTGTCGAGTATCTCTGTCTCTGTCTCTGCCTCTTCCTTTCAAATTAAATAAGCAAAGAACAAAAATTTTTAAATGTTAGTGCAAGTATCCTAGAAAAAAGAAAATGAAAAAATTTGCCATTAGTGAAAGCACACGGGAAAACTCTGTACAGAGGAAGCAAGGTATGTTAATGTGCCCTTTCCTCAGGAGAGAGCTATGAGATGGTCGTTACTATGTGCTTATGCATTTCGTAGTCTTTGAACTAAAGTCATCAAATGGGCAGGATTCTTTGGCTAGAACATAAGGGAAGGGTGCAAGATTTTTACTGGTATCTGTTACAAATTCAATTTCTTAAAAAATAAAATAATGGAAAATAGTATAGGAGTTCTCAGAAAAGCTAGAAATAGAACCTGCCATCTGATCCAACAATTCCATTAGTGGTTGTATGGCCAGAGGAAAGGAAGTCAGTATGTCCAAGTGATACCTGCACTCCCATGTCTGCTGCAGTAGAATTCACGGTAGTTGAGAGATGGAGTCAATTTAGATGTCCGTCAGTGGATGAATGGAGAAAGGAAATGTGGTATATATGCACAATACGATATTATTTAGCCATAAGGAAGAATGAAATCCTGTCATGTGCAGCAATGGAAGACACTACGTTTAGTGAAACAGGTGAAGCTCAGAAAATAACACCATGTGTTCTCATTTATATGCAGATGCTAAAAAAGTTGATCTCATAGAAGTAAAGAGTGGAATAGTGGTCACCAGAGGCTAGGAGGTGTCGGGGATGGGGGTAGTGGAGAGAGGATGGCCAATAGGAACAGGGATGTTGTTGGACAGGAAGAGTTCTGTGCTGCACAGTAGGGGAACTGGAAGGGATAACAAAGAATTGTATATTTCAAATTAGCTAGTGAGGAGGATTTTGAATGTCCCCAACATGAAGAAATGATAAATGTTTGAGTTGATGGGTTTGCCAGTTACCCTGATCTGATCACGACACATTGCATACATACATTAAAATACCACACCATGCACTCTCAATTTGTAGGTATTATAAGTCAACTAAAAATTTTAAAAAATTTATAGAGCATTTATAGATTTAAACAGCATGAAGTAAAATGTGAATTGCTGCTCTTCATGTCTTTCTCATCAGATACTTTTTACCAATTGTATTACTCTGCTTTTCATTGCTATAATGAAATACCTGAGGCAACAAACTGTAGGGAAAAACGTTTTATTTAGCCCACAGTTCGGAGGTTTAAGCGCAAGCTTGTGTGGCTCCCTTGGCTTAGACTCAGGGGGTGGTGCGTGGCAGTGGTCCAGTGTGTACACAGGAAGGATCCCATGTTGAGCCAGGAAACAGGGACCTGGGCCCAAACTTAGGTTTTACATAACATCCTCCTGGGAGAACTGCCTCCTGCGGGCACCCCAGGGACCTGAGGACCTCCTGTCAGGCACTGCTTTCTGGACAACATAATTGGATTAAGTTTCCACCTTCTCAGTACTGTTATCTTATGGTGTTGGGTTTGAAAGTCCTGCGCGAGTTCAGGACCCAAATCATAGTCTAACCGTATCACCAATTATAAACATTTAAAAGTAAACTTTCAACTTGGGGCACATTTTAACTTTGGTAGCTAAACAAAGGGTCAATATGTAAAAAACTAGAATCTTGAATTTTTTGCTACTAAGTTGTAAAACTTCCAAAAAATAGCCCAGATTTTATTGGCTTATTAGAGGAAGTGAAGTAATTTATGGGCCTAGATTACCCTCCAGCATTTTAAATGAAAAGTTGTATTATCCTGGCTTCTGTGTCAAAGCCAAGGCATAAAAGAGATACTATCTCATGCAGCCATCCTTGTGCTGGTATAAGGTGCAACCTCATGGAAAATATTTTTTTAACCTTTTATTTAATAAATATAAATTTTGAAAGTACAACTTTTTTATTATAGCAGTTTTTCTCCCCCAAAACCTCCCTCCTACCCACAAACCATCCCATTTCCTACTCCCTCTCCCATCCCATTCTTCATTAAGATTCATTTTTAATTATCTTTATATACAGAAGATCAACTCAGTATATACTAAGTAAAGATTTCAACAGATTGCACCCACACAGACACACAAAGTATAAAATACTGTTTGAGTACTAGTTTTACCGTTAATTCACACAGTACAACTCATTAAGGACAGAGATCCTACATGGGGAGTAAGTGCACAGTGACTCCTGTTGTTGATTTAACAATTACACTCTTATTTATGATGTCAGTGATCACCTGAGGCTCTTGTCACCTCATGGAAAATATTAACAACAAAAGGTACGGTTCTAAGCTGCTGGGGCAAGTAAGTTATTTTTCTTGATGTTTGTAGCACAACAGAAGCAGAAGGATCCAAAGAAAGAGGCCTGGTCCATGTCTGGCCAGCAGGATCCTTTTCGGTAACACCGGAGCGATTCCCAGGCTGGGGAGGAAAGCCAGTTCTGCAGGCAGCCCTGGGCGTGAAGCATGGAGTTCTTCTGACGGAAGGTACTATGGAGAGAGGCTTGGCAAGTCCTGCCTGGGCGCTGCCAAGCACCTGGTGTGTAAGCCCGGGCGAGAGGGGCTTATTGCATCCCAGGGATTCTTGATGAACTTTGCAGGAACTTCTACCTTTTGTTTTCAAAATCTGCTCTTAATTCTCTTTACCAGAAATCAGATTCATTCTTAAACTTGGCACATATCATTAACTAGAATTAAAGGAAAAATTGTAGGGCTGGTGTTGTGGCACAGTGGATTAAGCTGCCACTTGCAATGCTGGCATCCCATATCAAACTGCCAGTTCTTCAGCATACCTTAGGAAGTAGCTACTGTTCCTATTCACAGATAGGATAAAGGAATGGAAGGTTAGGGAGGTAAAAAACTTTTCCCACGTGCACAGAGCTGGTAAAGTGTCAGAATCAGGATAGGAACCCAAATAGTCTGCTCTCACAGGTTGCTTTTTAAGCCACTTGGCTGTGCTGCCTCACTGCAGTTTTTCTCATGTATGAGAAGCAGCTCACAAAAGGGTATTATAAAACCTATGCATCTGTAACAGAAGCGTGTGCTGCACTTCATAGACAAGGTGGGCTTCACTCTTGATGGCAGTTTATCAACTCACATATGGCCAATTTGATTGGGCCAGGACTGCTGTTGATTTTATTAATTTATAAATTTCTGCTCTGTAAACATTCTTTAGGTATTAAATAGTGCTTTAGTGTTTTCCTTCTAGGTATGAAGGAAAGATAAATTCTAGAAAAAAAAGCCTAAATCTGATACTGGTAATTTTGGGGAAGTAAACATGGATTTGTTTCTAATCTCTTCATAATTACACCTTTATTATGATAATTTATGTTAAGATATTGTTCAAGACTTTGGACAAAAGCCTCATTGGAAAAATGTGAACTGGGGGTGAGTGCTATGGCACAGTGAGTTAAGCTGCCACTTGGGATGCCTGTGTCCCGTGTCTGAGTGCCTGGGATCAGGTACCACCTCTGCCTCCAATCCAGCTTCCTACTGGTACAACTGGGAGGCAGCAAATGATGACCAAAGTGCCACATATGTGTGAAACCAAGATGGAATTCCTGGCTCCTGGTTTCTGCTTGGCCCAGCCCTGACTGTTGTGGGCATTTGGGGAGAGAACCAGTAGATGGAAGATCTTTCTCTCTGTCTCTTTGCCTTTCAACTAACTAAATAAATCTTTAAAAATGTGACCTATATTCAATACTTGCCCTATGATATTCAAAGTACATAGACCTCATGCATATATAATTGGAATTCTGTTACTTTTGTTGTGTCCAGTAGGATATTTAGAGTATCTTCATTGAGGTATCTGGAAACCTTCAATAAGGTTTGGAAACCTTTCCTGAATGATAGCTTTAAAATCCAGAGTCATAGCCACAAGGCTGGGACAGCTGAGAGAACACTTTTTGAAAGTACGTGAGTAGCCTGTGGTTGTTCATGTTTAAGCAGTGCCCCAGTGCTATGTGCCAAAGTCACAGCAGATCTCATCCCACACATCTGTGGTTTGAAGTGGCACTGTGTTTTCTAGTAGAGGACATGGACATGCTAGAAGGTTGCAACCTTCTTTTTTCCTATAAATTTGACCATTAGCTCATAATTCATGAGGACCCTTCACTAGTTCCCAGTTGTTTTGTTTGTTTGTTTGTTTCAGATTTAAAAATGCTCATGAGGGAGAGGGACTAAATATCTATTTACAGTACTGCTTCCTCTGGAGGAACAGTGTCTGTTTAAAAAGTTGGTGAGCTGTTGCAAATATATTCTGTCATTTGGGGAAAAAATATATAAGATCTTAACCAATGAGCTTATTTTCACAATATTCTTTAAGCTATGAATTCCTAATAAAAGCCTCCACTCTATCTTCTTTATAGTTACTGGCATGTTTTTCCCTATATAGATTTAAAAAAAAAATTAAAAGATTTTATTATCTTACTTGAAAAGTAGAGTGACAGAGAGAAAACAAAAGACAGAGAGAGAGGGAAAGAGCAAGCTTCCATCTGCTGGTTCATTCCCCAAATGGCCACAATGGCCAGGGTTTGGCCAGGTTGAAGCCAGGAGCCTGAAAGTCCATCTGAGTCTCCTATGTGGGTGGCAGGGACCCAAGCACATGCCCATTTTCGGCTGCTTTCCTAGGCACATTGACATGGAACTGGATTGTAAGTGGAGTAGCTGGGACTCAAACTGGTACTCATGTGAGATGCTGGCATTGCAGGTGGTGGCTTAATCCACTGTGCCACAATGCCAGCCCTAATTTTTTTTTTTTTAAAGAATTGCATATTTGCTGAACCTTGGACTTATTAGATATACAGCCACTTTTAAATCTATATATTTACATAGATATTTATGAGTTAACTTGAGTGTATATGAATATATCTACCGTATGTAATAGGTCAAAGATAAAGTTTGCATTTGTTTCTCATCCTTTGCTGCCTATTGGGGGATCAGTGGTACTTATCCATTTTAAAATTTGGGAAATCTCTGGTGAGATGGACAGAAGGGATAGTGGACTGTGGTACCATGTTTTTCAAAACTCATGGCCACGACTTGGTTCCATTTGGAGTTGCAACCACCTGGATCACGCGCACACAGACTCCTAGAGTACTGTTGTAAAATTGAGACTGAACACAAATTATGATTCATTTACCCATCTCACTGGTGCTTTTAATTTTAATTCCAAAGCTAGCCAGTTATTCTGACAGCTTCATTTGTTTATTTGCCTTATTTTGTTGTGATGATTTGCTTTGTAAACAAATCTCACCCCAGAAAGGCTACCTAGTATATGTAACATTTAAAAATTACATATAATATGAGGCAGAACACGAGGGTTAGCCATGTCTTGTTAACACCGGTGTTTTATGTGTAATCTAGAGACATAAAGGTCATTTTGTAGTTTTGGCCAAAATGGATCTCTAATATTTTCATGCCATTGCCTTATTTTATGTCTTCTGACTTGTTTAGTGATAAGTGAACTTTGCAGGTATTGGCAAAAGTGTCTGTTTTATCTTATTTTCTGTTAATCTTAATGTGGTTACTGTTTTGTCTTTGCCACTGGCATCTGCTTCTGAGACAACCCATGATAATAGCCTTGGAGTGGGTGGATATTAGGGGTTTGTAGGATGAGGCTGAAGGAACAAGACCCTCAGTTTAAAAGTAACTTACCTCTTGCAGTTTGTGGAGATTCTCATTATAGCATGTTAAAACATGTTATTTGTTAAATGATGAATTAATGGGAGCAGGTGTTTAGCCTAGCAGTTAAGACATCTGTATCCCACATGTAAGTACCTGGGTTTGATTCCTGGCTGTGACTCCTGTCTCCAATTTCCTGACAGTGCAAACTGTGGGAGACAGTGGTGATGGGTGATGGCTCAGGTAATTGGGTTCCTGCCACTCACACTGGAGACCTGGATTACATTTCAGGTTCCTGGGTTTAGCCATTGTGGGCATTTGAGGAGTGAACCAGCAGATGGAGGTGTCTCTCCTCCACCCACCCACCCCCACTTTTTCTGTCTCTTAGGCTAAAAAAATAATAAAAAAGTGAATAAATGTGAAATACAAATCTCTAGAATTGTGCTTTTGAAAAAAGCTTTTCAGATCCTGTTTTGTTAAATCTAGAGGGGCTTGAAGGCTTGCCAGTAGAATCTCTAGTTAACTCATTCACCTCTCTGGTGTTTGCTTCCTTGCCTTCAGATGGTGAGGTCTACAGCTTTGGGACCCTTCCCTGGAGAAGTGAGCCGGCAGAGGTTTGTCCAAGCAGCCCCATTCTGGAAAATGCCCTGGTAGGGCAGCGTGTTGTGACTGTGGCAACGGGGAGTTTCCACAGTGGAGCGGTGACAGAAGGCGGCGTAGTGTACATGTGGGGGGAGAACTCTGCCGGCCAGTGTGCCGTAGCCAACCAGCGCTGTGTGCCGGAGCCGAATCCCGTCAGCATTTCTGATTCTGACAGCAGCCCTTTGCTAGCTGTCAGGATTTTGCAGCTGGCATGTGGCGAGGAGCACACTCTGGCCCTGTCAATAAGCAGGGAGATTTGGGCATGGGGCACAGGCTGTCAGTTGGGTCTCATCACCACCACCTTCCCGGTGACAAAGCCACAGAAGGTAGAACATCTTGCGGGCCGAGTGGTGCTGCAGGTGGCCTGCGGTGCCTTCCACAGCTTAGCGCTTGTACAGTGCCTGCCTTCTCAGGACCTGAAGCCAGTCCCAGAAAGATGCAACCAGTGCAGCCAGCTCCTGATCACCATGACTGACAAAGAAGACCACGTGATTATATCCGACAGTCACTGCTGCCCACTAGGTGTGGCGCTGTCCGAGTCCCAGGCAGAGAGCCAGGCCAGCACTGCCATCAGCCACTCCGCAGAAACCCTTGACAGTCAGAGCGAAGTATTCGAGAACGCTCTTGCGGAACGTGAGCTGCCCGTTGTTGAACTGAAGGAGGGGAACGTTCAGACCACAGACGGCAACACCAGCTGCTCCCAGCCATGCGTCACGGGAACAACAGAAGTGTCTCCTGCCAGAAGCACCCCGTCACACCCCGACACCCAGGCAGCTACCTCGGACCACTCAGTGAGAGGGGACTCAGAGGACAGTGAGAAGCCAGTGCCATCTCAGGTACCTGCTGCAGTTTATAACGCAAAGCTGATGCTGGCGTTGAACCATATGCATTTGTCTTTAGAGGTTTTAAATGCTTAAGGCTTGGTAGCATTTTTGGAGTTTGACTAGAAAAGGAAAGGACCTGGATTAATTAAAAATCAGTCTTTATGTTCGAGTTCCTTTATCATATTGAAAGATGTCATGTTGGGCTTGTTTTATAAGATGAATCCCATTTTTTTTTTTTTTTTTTTTTGAAGATTTTATTTCTTCGAGAGGTAGAGTTACAGAGAAAGGGAGAGACAGAGAGATCTTATATCCACTGGTTCACTCCCCAAATGGCCACAATGGCCAGAGCTGGGCCAATCCACAGCCAAGAGCTAGGAGCTTCTTCCAGGTCTCCCATGTGGGCCATCTTCTACCACTTTCCCAAGCCATAAGCAGAGAGCTGGATCAGAAGAGGAGCTGCTGGGACTCGAACCGGCACCTATATGGGATGCTGGTGCCACAGATGGAGGCTTAGCCTTCTATGCTGTAGTGCCACCCACAATCTCATAGTTTTTTCTTGCCAGTACTTTTCTCCCTGTGGCTAAAGAACAGAATTTTGGTGAGTCCCTGCATAGTTTAATATAGCTACTGAAGGTTACTTCAGAAAGTTCATGGGAAAATGAAGTTAAAGCAAGTTATTTTGATGTGGTTTTTTGAAATTCATGTGTGGGGGCCGGCACTGTGGTATAGTGGTTAAAGCCACTGCCTGCTGTGCCAGCATCCCATATGGTGCCCGTTCGTGTCCTGGATGCTCCACTTCCCATCCAGCTCTCTGAGAAAGCAGTGTAAGATGATCCAAGTGCCTGGGCCCCTGCACCCACGTGGGAGACCTGGAGGAAGCTCCAGGCTCCTGGCTTTGAGTCATCCCAGCTCCAGTGGTTGCCTTCATTTGGGGAGTGAACCAGCGGATGGAAGACCTTTCTCTCTGTCTCTCCTTCTCTCTCTAACTCTGCCTCTCAAATAAATAAATAAATAAAACCTTAAAAAAAATTCAAGTGTAGATTTTCTCTTTTTTCTTTCTTTATTCTTAAAAGATTTATGTGTTTATTTGAAAGGCAAGTTACATAGAAAGAGAGAGACTGAGTAAGCTGGGCCAGGCTGAAGCCAGGAGCTTCTTCTGGGTTTCCCATGTGGGTGCCAGGGGCCCAAGACTCAGGCATCTGCTGCTGCTTTCCTAGGCACGATCGCAGGGAGTTGGATCGGAAGTGGAGCAGCCAGGACTCCAAGCAGTGCCCGTAATGCTGGCCCCAGCACAGATGTTCATAGTATGCATTCCCCTCACTTGTCCACAGAGGTTTACCGGGAAGTCCTTCCTTTAACAGGGAGGGCCTCCGTGGCAGGGCCTTCAGTTGTAGGCCGACTTCAAAGAGCTGCCAGGCATTCCCTGGGGTTGCAGTTTCTCTCCCGGGACAGCTATGGTCCTTAATGGGCTCTGCCGAGGGGTAATATTTTTCTCAACAATTCTCATTTTGAAAACTGGTAAAATGGGCAGAAGCCACTTGTCAGTGGCATACAGTAAAGTGTGACTCTTTGCCTACAACAAGTTGTTCTAAAAGAATAGTGTAGCCTTTGAGTTTTGCTTTTCTCAAAACTCTAAGATAAAACCAAATCAAACCAAACCATCTTCATAAAAGAACTGTCCTGTGGTTTTATTTTTGTTTTGTTTTTTAGATTTCTGAAACCACGTATCTTCTTGATTCTTTATTCTTATTGTTTACTCTGTCAGGATGAGAACATGGAAGTATTTTTAGAATTGGTCTTCATTTCATAGTCTAATAAGTGAACTATGTAGATATTTGAATTTTTAGAAAATTAAATGTAAGCTGGAGAGAGGATAAAAATCTAAATAAAAACAAAGTAATACTTCAACAAGAATGCATGTAGAAAATTCTTAGACTGTACATGATTGTAAAAATGTTTCACTTTTTGAAAGTCATTGCTCTTACTAAGCTTAAAATATAGAAGTAATATATATATATAGTTTATTTGATTGCCATCATTGAAATTGTATTTTCTTTTGGACTTATTTGCTAAATGCTTTTTTTTGTTATTCTAGTTTTGGCAGTGTGTGTTTTATTTTATTTAATTTATTCTTTGTAAATAGCATTTCAGTTATACAGCTTATTCCTGAGGAATTTATGTGAGTCAACACATAAAGAACCGAGAAGTTTATCACTTTGTGATACAAACCGAAATATTATTGGTTGCCTGGGACCCCTCAAATTGCCTTTCATCAAAATTGCTGGTCAGATGTATTTTTGGTTGTTTTGGTGTATTTTTTTTTAGTTACTTACTGAATTCTTAAACAATTAAGTAGAAGGAGCTAGTTAGGAAATAGTTTAAGGTTTATAAGACATAGTTTTGTGACTTTCTATTACCTGGCAGTAAGGACCCTGTAAAATACCCCCAGACACGCCTGCTGCCTGTTGGGAGCCTGGTAAGCAAAGGGCTGTCGTTGGGTCATTCGTTCTTCTGGGCAAGTCAGGAGAACTCTGTCACCACAGAAGGAATTGGCTTTTTATTTATCTTTTGTGTGCTATATTTATTTACTTTATTGGTTATTTTAATTGCAGACTGCTCACTTGCACAGAAGTAGCTCTTCTGAATTTGGTATTTAATTCAACAAAATATGTTGAGTACCTGTGGCATGCCAGGCATTGTGCTAGGCACCAGGAATTATTTCCCTTAAGAAAATAAGAAGCCAATTTTTTTAAAAAACGTATTCATTTAGTTTTAGTTCAAGACATATTTGAGAATGTATATATACCCTTTGGGATCATTGGGTAGAATAAGAAGCAGATGTTTTTATTATAACCTATGCCGATAAGCCAAAATGGTTTTGTGTGTGTGTGTTCAGCAGGTAAATTTAATGATTTCTCTTTTTTAAAAAAAAAACAATGGTGTTTGACAGCTTAGAGTAAGTTTCAACTGATATTTCACCAAGATATTAGAAAACTTTAGTTTGACTTTCTAATACATCTGCGAATCACACTTAGAACATTGGTTCCAAATGTTTAATTATTAACCTTCCACGTTTACCCTCTCGCTGGTAGCAAGAACAAACATAATCCTGCAGCTTATCTTGTCCCTGGGCCATGGAAAATAACTCATTGATGAGATAGTAGAAGGACTTGAGCTTAAAAGTACAATTTGGGGGAAGGTAGGTCAAAGTCTGCTTGTATGCTATATTTAAATTTTCATTTATAAAACATTCTAGGAAAAGCCATTTCTTTTTTTTTTAAAAAAAGATTTAATTATTTATTTTGAAAGTCATAGTAACAGAGAGGGAGAGGAAGAGGGAGACAGAGAGAGAGAGAGAGAGAGAGAGAGAGATCTTCCATCTGCGGGTTCACTCCCCAGGTGGCCAGAAGGTCTAGTACTGGGACTAGGCCCATGGCAGGAGCCAGGGGTTTCATCTAGGTCTCCCATGTGGGTACAGGGGCCCTCGCACTTGGGCCATCTTCTGCTGCTTTCTCAGGTGCTTTAGCAGGGAGCTGGATTGGAAGTGGAGCAGCCTGGGCAGGAGCAGGCACCCAAATGGGACCAGTGTCCCAGGTGACAGCATTACTCACCATGCCATGACACTGGCCCCAATGCCGTTTCTTCTTAAAATCCAATTTCTTCTTGCTATTTCTTAATAGCAGTCTATATAAATTTTCCTAAAAGTGTACAATAATAAAACTTCAATTTGCTCAGCCATCTACAGGTTGTCACATTGCACCTTATTTTAAAGACTGTGTTGGGGCTGGTGCTGTGGTGTAGCAGGTAAAGCTGCCCATGTGGGTGCCAGTTGGAGTCTTGGCTGCTCCACTTCCGATCCAGCTCTCTGCTGTGGCCTGGGAAAGCAGTAGAAGATGGCCCAAGTGCTTGGGTCCCTGTACCTGAGTAGGAGACCTGGAAGAAACTCCTGGCTCCTGGCTTTGGATCAGCGTAGCTCTGGCTGTTGCAGCCAGTTGGGGAGTGAACCAGCGAATGGAAGACCTCTCTCTCTCTCTCTCTCTCTCTTTCTCTTTTTCTCTCTCTCTTTCTCTTTCTCTCTCTCTGCCTCTCCTCCTCTCTCTGTGTGTAACTGTGACTTTCAAGTAAAATAAATCTTTAAAAGAAATAAATAAAGGCTATGTTTTCCATACCTTTTCTCCCTCTTCTGTGCTTAACTCTTTGAACGCATATAATAACAGGGCTTATTTGTAAATGCCATGGAAAAACAGCACCCAGAGAAAAGGGAGCATTTTTGGTAAGGAACTGAAGGTTCAGTACTTGTTTCCGTGTGATGTGCTAACTCTGTGATCCAGGGGGAAGACCTGTAAGTGGGAGGTGAAGAGACCTGCTTCTTCTGTGGATTCTCGTATGCAAATAGGAATGGTTGTTAAACTTTATTTATTGCTTGTCATGTAAGGGATTATATTTTTATATGCTTTTTTTTGTGTGTGTGTATTTTAGCCTCTTGTAGAAGAAGCAATTCCTAATCTTCACAGCCCACCAACCACAAGCACCTCAGCCCTAAACAGCCTGGTGGTCTCTTGTGCGTCTGCTGTTGGTGTGAGAGTGGCTGCTACCTATGAAGCTGGGGCCTTGTCTCTTAAGAAAGTTATGAACTTTTATAGCACAGCCCCTTGTGAAACTGGAGCTCAGGCAGGCAGTGGTTCCCCAGGCCCGGAAGGTCTGAAGGATAGCAGAGAAGAGCAGGTCAAACAGGAATCAATGCAAGGGAAGAAAAGCTCAAGTCTTGTGGATATCAGAGAAGAGGAATCAGAGGGAGGCAGTCGAAGGCTCTCCCTCCCTGGATTGTTGTCACAAGGTAAGGAAATCACCAGGGTTTGTGAACTTTTGGCCAACCCAAGGTGCCCCTGTGCTATATTAAAATAAATGAGCTTTCCTGATTACTGAAACTGGCATATTCAAATGTCAAGTTTACTTAATGGTAGCTTACTAAAATGGTCGTTTTAAGAGAAAGTCACCTTTATTTAAAAAACAATACAACCCTAGAGGTGTTTTTTCTATAAAAAAGCATTGTTTGGAAAGATAAATATATTTACCCTGAGTGGACATTATACAATGTATACATGTAATGAAATATCACACAGTAACCCATAAATATGTATTATATATATCTGTTAAACATTTTTTAAAAAAATTAAGAGAAGGTTGCATTCTTCTGCTTAGGATAATTTTAGAGCTTTTTGGATATCTACTTCTGCTTATAATAAACATTAAGTCTGTTTGCAGTTTCCCCCAGGCTTTTAAGAAAGGCTGCTCGGGTGAAGACGAGAACAGTGGTTCTGACCCCCACGTACAGCGGAGAAGCAGATGCCCTTCTGCCGTCCCTGAGGACAGAGGTGTGGACCTGGGGCAAGGGGAAGGATGGACAGCTGGGCCACGGCGATGTTCTGCCCAGGTGAGTGCCATTGGCAGTCCCCGGCGGGAGCAAGTAAGCGCTGCGCTGCGAGGTCTGCAGGTCTCTCAGTGTCAGGTTCCTCACCGAGGTAATCTGCTCCCTTCTGCCTCCAGATTCTCATGCACCATTAGCCCTGATAAGAAGCTCTCTCTCCTTAGTCTTGAATTTGTTTTCAGCAGCAAAGGGCGTAAGCATCCCTGATGCGCCTTTCTGAGTCGTCTTTGATGTGTATTCATTTAGGAATACAGAAAGGAGTGGTAGGGATAAGACAGCATTTCAATGGGATACTAGAATGGTGCACGTTTTTAACCTACAAAAAAGAGCCAAAAGGTTCTTTTTACCTGAAAGGTGTTTTTTTGCTACTGCCAAAATAATTGTGACCAAGGTAATAATCTGTGTTTATCCACATATATCAGGGAAAAACTCATTTTGTGTAATAGGAACTGTTAGGATTTAACAGACATAGTATTTGTGAAGTTCATATGATTACACAGTTCTTAGAAGCACAGGAAAGGAAACTATGGTTTTTTAAAAAAACTACCTTAATTTCCCCTCTGTGGTTGTAATTCATTGTGTCCTAAGTATACTCAGCTATAATGAATCATTTGTAGTTTTATCATTTTAACAGTTCTGGATTACGGGAGTTAATTAGTGATTGACAGACAAAGATTATAGTATTTATATTTATATAACACTTATAATATTTATATAATACATAAAATTATAATGTTTGAGTAGTTTGGGCATATATTGATTTTAAATTTTAAAAGATTTTTAAAAATTTTTTAAAAAAGGCAGAGAGAGAGAAAACATCTTTTATCTGATGGTTTGTTCTCCAAATGCCCACCACAGCAGGGGCTGAGCCAGGCTGAAGAGGGCAGCCCAGTTCTTGATCTGGGTCTCCCACTTGGGTGACAGGGTCCCACGTGCTTGAGCCATCAGCTGCTACTTCCAGGATGTGCATTGGAAGGAAGCAGACTCAGAAGCAGAACCAGGCCTCAAACCCAGGCACTTTGATGTGAGATGCTGGCGTCCCGAGAGGCATTTTAACTGCTGCCTCAGGGGTCTGCCCCTGTTGTTTTTATTTTCATATTTTGCTTTGAAATACTTATCTTTTTTTTTTTTTATTTGACAGATAGAGTTATAGACAGTTCCGTTGGTTCACCCCCCAAATGGCCACCACGGCCGGTGCTCTGTGCCGATTCAAAGCCAGGAGCCAGGTGCTTCTCCTGGTCTCCCATGGGGTGCAGGGCCCAAGCACTTGGGCCATCTTTCACTGCACTCCCGGGGCACAGCAGAGAGCTGGCCTGGAAGAGGGGCAACCGGGACAGAATCTGGTGTCCATATGGGATGCTGGTGCTGCAGCAGAGGATTAACCAAGTGAGCCACGGCATGAGCCATGGTGCCGGCCCCTGAAATACTTATTTTTACGTGAAGCTATTTGCTCTGTGGTTTGAGAAAGGTGTGGCTCTCACTGCAGACACTCAGATGTTGCGTGCGTGTTTGTGTGTGTGTTTTCTTGAAGGCTTCAGCCGCTGTGTGTGAAGTGTCTGGACGGTAAAGAGGTGATCCACCTGGAGGCCGGCGCTTCCCATTCCCTAGCACTCACTGCGAAATCCCAGGTAAGGGGCAGTGCTCTAAATGCTTATCTTATTTCCGTGGAAGGCCGATACGGCAAGATTGGATGGTCGTTTATTGAGTGTCTGCAGTGGTCAGACACCAAACCCGTATCTTGCTTGAGCTTTCTAGTTTTTTGTTTTTTTTTTTTTTTTTTTTCATGGTATTATTTTCAGTTGACAGATGAGGAAAGTAGGCAGGAGAACTTAACGTGAGTTGTCTGCAGTCACACGTGATACCAGAGCTTGTCTTTGAACACTGGTCTTCCTGGCCAAGAAACTGTCTGTACTGTGATCTCATTTAAAGATAATACCCCAAATTTCCCAGTGTACTGATGAATTTTTATTTGTTCTTTGATGAAGAAAATCCATAGCAAGACACTAAGACCAAAAACAAATGATCTTTTTCCTTTTAAATTGTGGGACCTAAAAATGACCTCGAGCATTCCTTAGAACCCTGCCTGTAGGTGCAGATACACCTCTCAGAAGGGGAGGTGTTTGCAGTTCTTCTTTTCCTTTTTTTTTTTTTAAAGATTTATTTATTTTACTTGAAAGTCACAATTACACACACACAGAGAAGGAGAGGCAGAGAGAGAGAAAGAGAAGTCTTCCATCTGCTGGTTCACTCCCCAGATGGCAGCAATGGTCAGAGCTGAGCTGAGCTGATTTGAAGCCAGGAGCCAGGAGCTTCTTCCGGGTCTCCCACATGGGTGCAGGGGCCCAAGGACTTGGGCCATCCTCCACTGTTTTTCCAGGCCATAGCAGAGAGCTGGATCAGAAGTGGAGCAGCTGGGTCTTGAATCGGTGCCCATATGGGATGCCAGCACTGCAGGCAGCGGCTTTACCTGCTACACCACTGTGCCAGCCCCTGCAGTTATTCTTAAATGTACCAATCCATTCATCTTTTTAGGAGGCCAATCAAGGATCCTGCAACCTTCAAATACTACATTTTATTTTAAATGTAGCATGCCAAGAAACTAATATAACCAGTATAAATATTACTATTAGGAAAGAAGGGGATGATTTATCATTACTTATATTATAAATCATCCAGAAGACTTTCTAACAGATTAGGAAGGTGGTCAGCTACAAAATTAAAATTACTGAATTTCTTATATCCATATAGTAAGACAGAAAAATGATTGTGGGGGGAAAGCTGTTCACAATTACGGTCAAAGTATTGTGGAAATAGGGTAATCTTAATAGGAAAGGCAGAGTCCTGTGTGACATAAACTCTCGCTATCTTTTAAAAGGTTCTGAAAGAAAGCAGGTGTAAAAGAGAGGGATTTTATTTCCAGATGAGAAGTATCAGTGTTACAAAAATATTTCTTCCTTGATCTTTAAATCATTATAGTGTAAATTCAATACAATCTCAAAAATATTCCAGTAGAATATTTGCAACCTGATAAAATGATTACAGAATTATTCTAGGAGAATCAACAGAGGCAAGCCAGATAAATTCTGAAAAAGAATAGAAAGGAAGGGTAAGATTTACTTTTATCAAATATATTAGAAAACTATGTACAGATTAGTGGACTGGAAATATGCCTATAGACTAGAAATAGACACAGATTTATATTTGAGAATTTATTGTGTGATAAAAGTGAGGAGCCAGGACTTGAACCACAGTCAGATCTGCGATGCCTGCCTTGCAAGTGGAGGCTTAACTCACTGCACCACAACGCCAGCCTCAGTAGACAAATTTAAGTTAAAACGACAGTAAAACATTCTTCTCACCTGTCAGCTTAGCAAGAATTGCATTGACTGTTGAGTGTTGGTTAGGATGTAGGGCAAAGGTATCTGCAATGCTGGTGGGAATGTAAATTGAATCTTTCTGGCACCCAATTTGTCAGTAACTATTAAAAACAGAACATGTGTACTCCATTGACCTAGAGATTCTTTGCCCAAGAATTTGTCTTAAGGAAACAGATACGCAAATATGTATGTTCAAGGATTTAAAATCTTTTTTTTTTTTAACTTAAAAAAAAATTCGTTTGAAGGGCAGAGTGACAGAGATCTGCTGGTTTACCCTCCAAATGCCCACAATAGCCAGGGCTGGGCTAGCTGAAACCAGAAGCCTGGAATTTCATCTAGGTCTCCCACGTGGGCGGCAGGGACCCACATACTTGAGCCATCACCTGTTGCCTCTGGGGTGTGCATTAGGAGGAAGCTGGATTCGAAGTGAGGGTGGGATTCAGTCCTAAGCTCTCAGATATGGGATGCAGGTATCCCAAGAGGTGGCACACAACACTCACTCCTAATTTTTTTTAATATTAAATAATTAGAGCTTAAAGATTGATGAAAATATACCCACAATATTATTCTATATAGTTATTAAAAATCTTGTAGATATATTATTATTTTCAAACTAAAATATTAATTAATAGCATTAAATTTAAAAAATCAAGTTGTAAAATTTGTAGTATGGTCCTGTTTTGCCCTTTATATTTTATATGTACTGTATCTAATAGAAGACATTGAATTTTCTGGAAGGATGTATGTTCCCAAGACAAAACTGGTAGATTCATCAGTGTTTTTCATTTTCTGTTTTTTTTTACTGTGACAGTTTCGTACAATGACCATGAATTGCTTTTTTTAAAAAATATTTATTTATTTGAAAAAGTTACAGGAGCCAGGAGCTTCTTTTGGGTCTCCCACATGGGTGGCAGGGGCCCAGGGACTTGGGCCATCTTCTGCTGCTTTCCTAGGTACTTTAGCAGGGAGCTGGATCAGAAGTGGAGTATCTGGGGTTTGAACCGGCGCCCATGTGGAATGTTGGCATTGCAGACAGCAGCTTTATTCACTATACCACAATGCCGGCCCCTGTGAATTGCTTTTATAAATAGAATAAGGACCGATTTTTGTTAAATGTCATCATTATGTATTAGTTTTCATCTGTAGTAGGATGTGGGTGTTGGATGTTTGTCCTACAAAGACTCTTCATATATAAAAGACCTTCTAATCATTGCATAGCACTCTTGCCTACAGAGTAAGGAAGCATGGCTGCTTTCCTTATTGTTTCCTCTCTTTGTTAAGAGGTATGTAGGATAATTCTTGAATTTAAATACTCGCTCTGCCATTTACCAATTTGTTACTTTGGTTAAGTTAATTAACCTCTCTGGACCAGTTTCTTTATCTGTAAAAAGCAAACAACCAAAAAAAAGATCATTTTAGGAATTAAACATTGATTAATACACAGAAAGTGTTAAGAACAGTGCCTGTAGGTAGTAAGCACCTTAAAAAAAATCAGTTGTTGCTAGCTGTTCACCTCTGTGTCTTCTTGTGTACTCCATGCACACATTATCTTTGGTTTTGCTTAAAACTGGATTTTCTTAATCTGTATTATTTAAAGAGAGAAAGACTATTATAAGTCATTAATGTGTAATGGTATGTATCCTTTAATTATTATGAAATATATTGTAATTCAGAGTTGATTACAAGGTCAAATTCTCAACTCTTACCTGCTTTCCTGTGTTTTTCTGATAGGTTTACTCATGGGGTAGCAATACCTTTGGTCAGCTTGGGCATTCTGATTTTCCAACAACAGTTCCTCGTCTTGCAAAGGTACTTTTATAAACTTGGTAGCAACTTATTCTGGAATGCTAAGCTATAACAATGTTTCTCCATTTCTTCTTTTAACAAATTAAGAGAGTTATGTATTTGTAGCATATGTTTGTTTTGATATTCTTAAATTTTTTTAAACATGAAACTGCTTATTTTCAAGCTGAACATTTTTTTAAAGGTTAGTTTATGTTTTTGTGATGCTTCATTGAATATTCGTAGTTCTTTTGTCTTTTTAAAGTGAAAAACCTTTTTTTCAAAACTTAAAAAAACCAAAACAAATGTTTTCTGAGCCCTGTACTACAGAATCATGTCTATTCTTTTTCTTTGCATGTGTGTAGCTTTTCCATAGCTTCATTTGGGTTGATATGCTTTTATGTGTGTCTTGTAGCATTATATAGTACTAAAATCTTGTGGTAAACTTTCACTTTCTGTAGTAAAGCTAAGCACTGTAGGTTTTGTTGTTGTTGTTGTTTGTAACAGCTGTATGTAGCGGTTGTAGTTTATGCAGTGCTGTTGAGGGAACCACAGCTTCCAGTCGTCTTGTGCAGTGCTGGCAGTGTCTCAGCGTTTTTTCAGCCCTGATACCCTGAGGAAATACCAAGTTCCTGCCGATAGTATTGGTTCCTTATCCATCAGTTTTGGCTTTTTGGTGGGTGCAGATAGTGTGTGCATGGTAAGCCGAACCGAATGGAATATGAGCTCATGCTTGTGTCGTTGGATTCTGGTGTCTTCCTCATGCCCACACAGGCTTCCTCTATTGAGAGTAATAAACTCCAAAAAGGTGGTTACTTCAGCTTTAGAAACACGGGTCAGACATCAACTAGTTAGTAAATATTCCAGTAATTCATATACTCCGTGAACACCATGCATCCACCACTGTCTAGGACTTTTAATTGCTTCTTTTCTTTCAGTGAACTTAATTTTCCAGGGTAGAAAAGTCTTAGTAAAACATTAGGGAACAGTTATGACTGTAGCTTCACTCTATTTTTAGAAATAAACAGTCCAGTTCCTGTCTTATCACAAACAAAGATATAACAAGTCATTTTTCCTTGTTGTTTTGCTTATTTGAATGAAGTAGAAAATATACTTATACCAAGGAAAGTTTTGTAGTATGACAAGAAGACCCTGGAAATCAAACTTTTATTCAATATTTTAGAATTAGAGAAGAGAAAATAGAGATTTTAAATACTGTCTTAGTTTCCTAACCAACTGTACATATAAATACTACAGCATGAGGATTGTGGTTTGCTTATTTGATAGATGGTAAGAAAAACATTTTGAAGTCATTCTAATTTGTGAGAATTAAAAGTCTAGACAGAATGAGATTTGAATGAATTTTGATTAGACTAAAAGGATGATTCTTTGCCTCCTGTAAACATTTTAATTCATTCTTGGTAAAATGAATCCAAAGTTATTTGGGTAGTTTGGATTTGAGAAGAGGGCAGCTGTAAAGTAGCAGAGACTCGTGTGTGCACACATGCACACTTGCGATCTCCTAGGCTTAGGAGCCAGTCCAGGTACAAAGGATGTAACAGAGGAGGAGTTTTTGCTCATCAGTCTGGGAGTGGAGGCTGAAACTGCATCTGGAGATGGGAGCAGTACACTCTCCAAGTGAAATCTTGGAGGAAATCCACCCATGAACAGAGGAATGTCCACCTGCCTGAGGAAGGGTGCAGGAGGGCTCCCTGGCCCTGGCCCCTGCCTGCTTGTGGAGACTCTGGATCTCTATGGAGAATCTGTGGTTTGAAGTTGTGGCTTTCAGGCAGTTGTTCTCAAGCTTCTGTACAGCACAGAGACTGGGGCTGAGAGCCTGCACCGCCACGTGCTTCCAGGTGATTGCTGCTGCTTCGAGAACCACAGGTCAGCATCCCACAGTTGGCACAGTGAAGTCGTAATAGAGAGCTAGTGGATTCCAAATGGGAAAACTGAATTTTGGCAAACAAGGGTTTAGGTGGCCTGAATGGAATTTAGGCTTATTCGATTTTCTTTTCTTTGTACCTTGATTTTTGTGTGCATACCAGAATGCAGGTGGACACAGGTGTGTCCTACCTGACACTTCTAAAGTAGGGCTTTAGAAGTTCCTGGGCATCTAGATTGTTATGCAGGCTATTTATGGGGTTTACAAAAACAATAAAATATTAGATCCACAGTTTTTCCTTCTTAAATTCCAAGTTTTCAGATTTTTAAAAATTTTCATTTTTATTTGAAAGAGAAACAGAGATCTCCCAACCATTGGCTTACTCCCTAAATGCTCCTAACAACCAGAGCTGAGCCAATCAAAGCCAAGAGCCTAGAAGTTCATCTGTGTCTCCTGTGTGGGTGGTGATCCAGGATCCAAGTACTTGAGCCACCGTCTGCTGTCTCCCAGGGTATGCATTAGCAGGAAGCTGCATCAAAAGCAGAGTAGCTGGGACTTGAACCAGGCTATGGGAACCACTGTGCCAAATCCCTGGCCCACATTTCTTTTAAAAAAAACGATCCAGCTCTAAATTTAAAAGCTGTATGTGGGATTTCTTCTTCCTCCTGCATCTGTTACACATTCGATAGGGCGTTCTGCTGGCTGAGATTTGCCTGCCTCAGTAACCTAACCTTTCAGTTCCTGTAGATGTCAGCTGGCCGAGCGCCTTCACCATGGACACACACATCTTTCTGTCGTTGCAGGTGAGCACTGACAATGGAGTCTGGAGTGTAGCTGCAGGCCAGGATTACTCCCTGTTTTTGGTGGATACAGAAGACTTCCAGCCTGGGTTATGTTACAGTGGCCGGCAGGAACCTACAGAAGGTGACAACCTTCCAGAGAATCCCAGTGGTACTAAGACTCCAGTACTTCTCTCCTGTAGTAAGGTGAACAGGAATTGGATCCTTAGGCCCACATTCTATAACACATGAGAAATCTCTATCTGTGGTGGTGTTCGTGTGCCTGACTACCAAGTTCTCTGACTACCTCTCCTCCCACCCTTTCACTGTTTATCTTCCTAATGCCTTACCTCCATTGTGCCTGTCACTGTCTGATGCAGTGATCACCTACTTGTTCTGTCTGCTGTCTGTCCTCTTTACTGTAATGTAAGATTCGTGAGGGCAGGGATTTTCAGCATTCTCATTCACTGCTGTATCCTTGCTATGCATACTTTAAAATAGTTGTTGAACTAACACCCTCATGTAGGAATATTGAAAAGTACATATCTCAGTGATGTTTCTTGACAGTGTTTGTGGAATCTTTACAGGTGAACTCGAATAGAAGTGGAGTGGGTGACTTTCTGATGTCACTGGGAAGTAGTTGTGGGAGCCCGAGCTGGGCTCAGGCAGCCTGTGAGGGACACGAGAGGCCCAGCAGTGTCCATTTCTTATCATTCCTCTCTTCTCTTAGCTTTCCACTGAAGTTCTTGTTGTTGAGCCCCCTTTTTGCTTGCAGCTCTGACTTTCTCTCTGCTTTCCTACTTCCTCTTTCTCATAAACTTGAACCATTGGCTCCCCACCCCGCCATAGTAACTCATATCCTTGAAGTGACATGCCACAATTACAAAGCTAGTACATTCTGGGTTTGTTATTTTTGAATGATATCTCCTGTGGACTGCTTTTTAGCCTTAGTCTTTCTGGAGTAACCTAGGAATGTATAGGAACATGATCGGTGTTGCTAAAGGCAACACAGGCTATGACTAGGCTCTTAGGCTTAACCCATTCTTTCATGTGTGCTAATTGACTCTGGTTGTTGGTCCTGGCTCCACATTCCCCATGAAAGAGCCTGTGATTTATTTATTTTTTAAAGATTTATTTATTGTTTATTTGAAAGTCAGAGTTACACAGAGAGAGGAGAGGAAGAGAGTGAAGGAGAGAGGTCTTCTATCCGATGGTTCACTCCTCAATTGGCCGCAATGGCCAGAGCTGCGCTGATCCGAAGCCAGGAGCTTCTGGGTCTCCCACGCGGGTGCAGGGGCCCAAGGACTTGGGCCATCTTCTACTGCTTTCCCAGGCTATAGCAGAGAGCTGGATTGGAAGTGGAGCAGCTGGATCTCGAACTGGTACCCATATGGGATGGCAGGGTGTTAACCCGCTGCGCCATAGTGCCGGCCCTGAGCCTATGATTTAGGTAAAGGGTGAATTAGCCTAGTGAAAAGGATGAACTTTTGCTGTGTCTCTGGTTACCATGAGGAATTAGTAATCCATTGGGGTGTGCAGATTGCCTGCTTAGTTTAATAAAGTTTGTAAAGACATTGAGTGTTTTTGTTGAGTGGCATTATGGGTAAATGGTAAAAATTCCTTTTTGAAGAAAATCCTGTTATGTGATACTTTTAAGAGACACAAAACCTCTTAGCACCTTGATATTTTATTGTTTAGAGCGCCTCTCTGCTGTTATTACTTCGTTTTAGTGCACAGTGGCCCTTGAGGCTTGTATCCCTAACGTATCATTCCATAGCTAGGATATCAGTGGTTCCAACTGCCCGTACTGTGAAATAGAAATATCTTGGAAATGAATTATAGATCTATATATATGTATATAACATTGGTGGACTGGTAATCAGCTCTAACACAACAGAACAAACAAGCAAACAAATGACCTGATCTGTTGTGTTTCCAGATTTTCACTCTGGCTAGTTTTAAACTGCTAATGGTTTAAAAATGTACTTGGAAAATTCCCAGTATTTAACAACTGGATTTTGCCAGCTAATATGAGCCAGCTCAGTGCACCAAATTGGCTCGATTCAATTAGACTCTAATCCTTGTATTTTCTTCTGTTTCAGCTTGGATATATAAGCAGAGTGACAGCAGGAAAAGATAGCTATGTGGCGTTGGTGGATAAAAACATTATGGGTTATATCGCCAGTCTCCACGAGTTGGCTACTACAGAAAGACGGTTCTATTCAAGACTAAGTGACATCAAATCTCAGATTCTCAGGCCTCTTCTCAGCTTAGGTAATGGAAGTGTCCCCTGTCCTGTATACGCAAGTCATTAGGCTCTCATGTTTTCTAGTCTTCCTGTATCAGAAGGAAGAAAACCTGTGCGTTGTAGTTTATTCCTTTCTTTCCAGTCTCTCTCTTTTTGTGAGTGAACAACTTGCATTTTCCGATATGTCCCTGGCCCAGCTGCCTGTGTGCTCTCCTGCCATTCCCACAGCTCCTTCTACTCACAGAAGTAGACAGTGAGACTTTTAGGATACAGCAGAGAAGCAGAAATAACTGAGAATATTGACCCTGGAAGCCAGATTTCCCAACAACACTTCTAGCCCCATAATCCTCAAATATTCTCTACTGTACTACCTGAGCTGTTCATTTTCTTGGTTATCATTCTTAGGATTATATCAAGTAGATAGTCTTTTGGATTTATATGTAATCTCTTAAAATTGTAGATAACTCTAAGAGCTTTGAGAGTTTTATCCTACATTACGTGAGCTGATGGAATTAGATTCTTTTTCTTAGCTTTACTTTAGCTAAGTCTCCCGAAGCCCTTCGTAACATTCCAAGGGCTCCAGCTGTCTGATTTTTGAATTGCCCCTCTGCACGGAAAGGTTGGGCTGTCTGGGGCAGGGGTGAGAGTAGGGAGACAAGCAGAACAAAAGTCAATCCAAAAAGTTGAAAATGAGAGCTAAGATACAAATACAAAAGTGAGTTTAATTCATGACCATTGCTAACTATTGTGTGACATTAGAAAATTCAACCTGCCTTTTTTTTGGCTTCAGATGACTTAAATTTGAAATGGAGGAAAGTTGAATTAGCTCAGTGGTTCTCAAATTTGTCTGATCTTCAGAATCACCTGGAAAGCCTTTTTTTTTTGTAAATGCTCGTTTTTTAAAAACTGTTCTTGTGATGTATTTTAACAGGTTCCTCAAGTGACTGAAATTTGTGATCTTTCTTTGTTTTGTTTTTAAGATTATTTATCTATTTGAAAGGCAGAACAGAGGGAGTGAGAGTGAGAGAGACACACACACACACACACACAGAGAGAGAGAGAGAGAGAGAGAGAGAGAGAGATATTTTCTTCTGTCTGCTGTTTTACTCCCCAAATGGCCTTAACAGCCAGGTCTGGCCCATCCAGCAGCTCCAGCCTGATCTCCCACACACATAAGTCCTCTCTCGAGTACCTGGGCCATCTTCTTCTGCCTTCCCACACACAGAAGCTGGAAGCTGAATGAGAAGTGGAGCCAGCGCTGAGGTGGCTTGCTGGTGTCTCAAGCGGCAGCTTAACCCCACTGTGCTGAAACACCACCCAGGCCACCACCGACCTTTCAAGTCGCTTTATTTAACCCTGAAATTATTTGGGTTTCGTAGATAGAATATACCTCAACATGGTAAACGTTCTTAGAAAGGGAGAATTTCTTGCCAAGTATTCTTAGCAAAGGAGACTTTACACTGTTGGTCTTAGGCTTGTAAGAAATAGTCAATCCTGCGGTTATGTGGTTGTCATTATTTCGTTACAGAAAACCTGGGCGCGGCTACCACGGTGCAGCTGTTGCAGGAAGTGGCAAGCCGATTCAGCAAGCTGTGTTACCTGATCGGCCAGCACGGAGCCTCGCTGAGCAGCTTCCTGCAGGGGCTGAAGGAAGCCAGGAATCTGGTGATTCTCAAGCACGCCAGTCTCTTCCTGGATAGTTACACAGAGCAAGTATCGGCCCCGAGTCGTGTGCAGTCCCTGCAGGGCTGTCCTGCCGAGGAGAGCACCCCTTCATCAGAAGAGACTAGCGCAGGGAGAGTAGTCGAAGGTAGCACAGATTGCCGTGCAGCGTTGGGAGCTTAGCCAACGATAGTTCTGCGTGGCTGGAAGCTAGTTTTCTCTGAAACCTTTTTAAAAGGTTTCAGAATAATGAAGTCTTGCGTTTCCCTCTGTATCCTAGCAGAATTATTAATAGTGTACTTAATTTACAGAAAATATGTTACTTTATTTAATGATGTAAATTGTACTAAAACTTGACCAAGTGTTTCAAGGCCAACTGGCGGTTGTAAACATGGCACTGTTCTGATGTCTGCCTGCACTGTTTTGTCAGTGGAAGGTTTAGAAGGTGAACTACTTTCAGCAAAAACAGAAATTTTCTTAAGAAAACCCAGAATAGTTATCGAAGGTTCTTTGTCTGGTTTTTTAGTAAAATTTCTCTTTTTTTCTTAATTTGAATTTTAACACAATGTGAGGCATAATTTAAGTGTTACTTTCATGTATACTGTGTCGATGGCCTCAAGTGTGTATAGTTTTAATTCTTCACTTATTCATACTTCATCCATCCAACAAATACTGAGTGCCCACGGAGTGCCATGCACTGCACGGGGCTCCAAGCCCCCCAAAGCTGCAGCTGGGAGCTCGTGAAAGGCACCTGCCCTCAGGGAGTTCATGTTCTGTTTTCACTTTGGGTATTTAGGTGGACTCTGTACAAATGCTGAAAATCAAAAGGATATTTAAAGCTGCCCATAATCCTACTACCAGAAATAACCACTGCTAATCATTTTAGTGTGTTTCCTTTGACTCATGTGTGTACACCTGCAGACTGCTGTATGCAATTTTAATTCTAAGCAAATTTGAAAATATTAGAATGTGTTTTCTGAAAGCAAATACCCCAGTTTGAGTCTTTTAACTTACCATCTTTCAGGTGTACCAAATAAAAGTAATATAACTTGATACTAATTCACTTTTTAAAATCTAGATTTTGCTGTTTGTTGAAGGTTTCAGCTTTTATTGGTGTAATTTTCTTTTTTCTGCTTGTATTTACCTTATAATAGCTCTTTTTCACTTTTGCTTCTCTCTGATACTTTAGGTCTTATGCTTCAAAATGCTTCTGTTTTGATAGATGAGTTACTTTTTAAAATATTTTATTACATAATAATCTTGCCTCCTATAGATGGGGCAAGTAGAAAACATAGACTTATGTAAATTTCAAAACTTGTATATGAATAAACATATATAAATTTATATGTAAATTTAAAAAAAATCACTGCTTCACAGTGATCTGTGACCTTTTTTGTTGGGTGAGGTAAAATTCGCATGACATAAAACTTTAACCTTTTTAAACTGGGTGGTATTTAGTACTTTTACCATATTCTGCAGCCATCAGCCCTCTATCTTGTCCTCCCCAATTTTTGTCATCTCAGAGAAAAAATTCTTTACCCACTAAGCAGTCAGGCCCCACTCCAAACCCTGGACATCAGTGTGATGCCCTGTGCCTCCATGGATCCACCTGTTCTGAATGCTTCATACAAATGGAACCATGTGACACATGGCCTTTCTTGTCTCGCTTCTTTCATCTAGCGTGATGTTTTCAGGTGTATAGCACCTTGTGCTGCTCTTAGTAGGCATTTTCCTTCTCTCAGAGTCAGCTGATGCCGTTTGCCAGCCTGGGAGGAGGAATTTCTGTACTGGAAGCAGTACTTCTACACTTGTTTTCTAGCAGTATATCAACATTGAATCAACATTTTCTAAAACTGTCTCACGCTCTTTAAATCCGTTTTCTTACCTTCACTATTGTTCATTTTTTAAAAAAGTTTATTATTTTTATTTATTGGAAAGGCAGAATGACTGAGACAGAGAAACACATCCATCTGCTGGTTTACTCCTCAAATGCCTGAAACAGCCACGGCTGGACTAAGCTGAAGCTGGGAGCCTGGAACTCCATTCAGGTCTCCCGTGTGAGTGGCACAGACCCAAAAACTTGAGCCATCATCTGCTTCCTCCCAAGGTGTGCGTTAGCAGGGAGCTAGATCAGAAGCAGAGACAAGACTCCATCCCAGGCACTCCGGTATGGGAGGCAGGCCTCCTGAGAGGTAGCTTAGCCCTCTGTGCTCCAGTGCCTACCCCTCTTACTCATTTCTGAAGATTTCATTGGAAAGCCTGAAGTAAGCATTAGAAGAAATTTTCATTAAATATCTGACAAATTTGATCCCATTTTCTTAAGTTACCAAGTACTATCTACCAAGTGAATTCTGACATATTTTGCATGATTTGAGGTGTTTTTAAAATTTCCTTTAATACTAACCTCATTACTTAACTGGTACCTCCCTGGTTACTGTGATTATCACATAACCTGCTTTCTATTTAGTCTCGTATAGCTCACAAATGTTGACATCACGAAAGTTCTGAAACTTATTGGTGAAATACTAAGAAATAGTTGTTATAGGTACTTGCTTTAAAACTGAAGGAGTACTTTACATTTTAACACTAATGTTCCCATGTTTTCTTTTTTGCTCAAGGTATTGCACATCTATTACAAATTTCCTGGTTATGGGCGGATTCCCACTTCTTGCTAAGCCTGCCATGTAAGCAAATACAATACTTTCCCATTACTGTTCCAACAACCAAGGATTGAGTTTTATGGGGTTCTGTGTTTTTGAGTATCTTGGGAAAGCTTTGGCTTTTACCAAAGGAATCAAACTCTGATTATCATCAGCAGTACTGAATCAGCAGATACTGAAAAGCACTGTACCAGAAGGCCCGCGATCTGGATCCATGTTTAGTGCCACCACTTGTTATCCCTGAGACTTTGGGTAACTCTCTTCAGCTTAGTAAGCCCACTTTTCATCTGCAAAATGGGACCATACTCTCCCCTCTTGTTAGAAAGCAAGTAATGTATGTGATGGCTTATAAAAAATAGAACATGGAGGTCGCCAAGCACACTCTGTGTCATTAAGTGACATGGAAAGAAACTGGAATAGTTGTTTCTTACAAATAGTAATGCTTGAAGAAAACAAAGTTTTGTTATAGGAGGATGCAAAAGTAAGTAGAGTGTGGGGAGCTTCTGGGCTTCTGGAGGACCATGGCAGCTGTTGGCCCTGTGCTTTATTCTGCTGCATTGTTCACCTGCCTCCACTGTTTCAGAGTTAGGGTGACCTGAGTTTCTGCTAAAGCAGCTAAATGAGTGACATAAGTGGAAGCCCCTTGCTGCCTTCACAGCACCATGCCCACAGCCTGGGCATGTGGCAAGCAACCAAGGTACACGCTGAGTGATGGCAGCTGATAGTGAGTCTGGATTTGGGCATCGTTTTCTAAGTGGCAGTTCATGAACCCCTGGGTTCTACGTAATTAAAGGCAGAAATGCCGTCCTTTTTCAATTTCGACTGACAAGTCAACATTTCAGAGTTGGGAAGCTCCAGAGCACAGCAGTGGGTTCCATCCACTCAGTGGCTCAGGCTCTCATCCCTTGGTTAGTTTAGCTCTGGGCTTCAGGCTTGTCTGCTGCTTTGACCATTAAACAGGTGTTTTTTTTCTTTTATTTCTAAATTGTGATTAAATATACATGACATAGTATTTACTGCTTTAACTATTCATAAGCACACAGTTCAGTGGTATCAAATATACTTACAGTGTTGCGTAAGCACCACTATTCACTCCCAAAACTTTATCACTGTCCTTAACAAAAATTCTGTACCCATTAAATGATGCCGCGTCTGTCTGTCAGCCCCTGGTAACTGCCAGTCAACTTTGTGTTTCTGTGATTTTGCCTGTTCTGGGTACTTTATGTGAGTGCAATCACATTTGTCCTTGTGTCTGGCTTATTTCTGAAGCATAATGTCTTCAAGCTCCATTCATGGTGTAGCATATATCAAGTTGAATTGCTTTTTGTGACAAAATAATATTCCACGTTTTATTTTCCCATTTATCTGTTGAGGGATACTTAAATTGTTTCTCCCTTTAATGTGTTTGTTTTCATTTTAAAAATCTGAGTAACAATATAAATTAGCCATTTAAGGAAAGAGCATGAAAGACTCCCAGAGGAAGCTAGGCTGAGCAGGGTCCCTGGGGAGATGTCCTGAGAACGTACCAGGATTCTCTTAGAGGACGTAAGTCTCTAGGCGTGAGCAGGAGTGAGTCCTGGAAAGAAATGGGGGCCACAAGAGTTGGGCTGTTTCTGCTCTGGTGGGGACTGGCGGTGAGCATCCAGGAGAAGTCTGGTCGGAGGGAGAATGCGTTCGTCACGTCCTACCTCCTTCTCAGGAGTAGGCCAAAGCAGTGTCCTCGGCTGATCCCTGCCTCAGAGCATGAGGAGGAAGCAGGAACATCGGCAGAAGCCAAACATCCACAGAGATCCGGGCCATGTTAGTTGTTGCTCATTAAGTGACAGATGATGAGTCTGCCCCACCAACTCTGGTTGTTTTGTAAACAATCTAAGTATTTTGTGCTGGTGAACGTATTCTTAGTGGATGACTGATCAACATTAAAATTTGCAAATTAAATTTAAAAGTGTATCTATAAAAAAAAATCCTGACTTTAAAAACTAAATTTGACTTCAGTTTGAAATGCTTTTGAAGATCTCAGCATTGAAATAAATCTTCATATAATTTGTTTTACTGTTTACTATTAATTATAGTACTAGTTCCTACAGCTTTTTATTTTTCTTCTGTTGTAAACTCATATTATGTGATCAACAATTGGCAGGAAAAAGAAGAAATTAGAAGTATTTTAATATCCATGCCAATGCTGTTGGAACAAGAGCTTTGTTTTTCCTCTAGTATTTCTGTTTAGCACAGTGGATTAGCACATTAATTTTATCATTTATTACTGTGATTTCTGGCCTTGCAATTAATAGGTAAAATGTCAGCTGGCCTCTCATTGTTCTTTGAAACTGGGACGCATGATTCATTTCCTAGAACATAAGGCACAGACATGTGATTAACCATTTTAATTACAGTTACTGTTGCTACCATTTACTATTCTTTATACTCAAAATTCCCTGCCTTATGGATAGGGAAATTTTTAAAAATTATGTCTTGTGTATTTCTCTGTAAATAATTAATATATAAGTCATTACTTTCATAGCATCTAAATACATATTTTCTGGAACATGTCCTACCTGGTGAAATATTCTATTTAGTTACCTTGTGTATTATCAATACCAAAATGACTAACCAAATTATTTTTTCTTTACCTCTAGTGATTTCCTAAATAAAAACCAAGAACTGTTACAAGATTTATCCGAAGTGAATGATGAAAACACTCAGTTGATGGAAATACTGAATACTCTGTTTTTCTTGCCAATCAGACGACTTCATAATTATGCCAAAGTTTTGCTAAAGCTTGCTACTTGTTTTGAAGTGGTAAGCTCCTGTATATACCCCTCTTGGGACACTTCTGAAGTCAAGTTTATTTGTTTTATGCCCCCTTAATGTCTGGAACTACCTAATTTAATATTTACATGTGTTTAATTCAGTATCCTTTTTGTGCAGGGAAATGAAAGAGGAAAGAATGACTGTAGGTATAGCTAGTGGTTTGTTTTTTTTTTTTTTTTATATTATTATGGATTCAGTTTCCTTTGGGGATCTTATCAAGATTAAGTGTTCTTATTCTACTGAACTGTGTCTAAGGTTAAAACCCTATTACTAGTGCTACTCATTCAATAGTTGCCAAAATGTATTAAGTGCAGAGTGGAATGGGTTGCACAGAGCTCCTTGTTGGCCGGGCTCTCTGTGCAGGCAGGGGTCTGGGAGGCAGTAGAACGAGCACCTCCCTGGGTGTGAGATAGGCTCATGCCGGATGTTCGGGTCACCTTAGAAATGCTGTGAGAAGTCAGTTTTACAGAACGTTGTCCAGTGCTGGCCAGCTCATTTTCTGTGCAAAACGAGTTTAATAGAGCCCAGCCTAATTAGTGCCACTCTCCTACGTGGCTGTGTGAGGAAGCTGGTCTGGAGGCCTCCCCTTTGAATTGCAGTGCAACGTGCGGTTTCGTTTTGTCTCCACTCGGAAAGGCTCCGGAGAAACCACAACTCCCAGGGCTCTTTCAGGTTTACAGTCTTCTTAATCTTGAGGTCCCTCTCCTGACCCAGGCAGGTCCCAGTCCCCAGAGAGACCTGGAAACCGAAGCGAACTGTTTCTATTTGATCCTACTGTGGTCTTGGGGCTTTTAGTTTGTATGGTTTCCGTTTTAACTCCTAATGATCTAGTGTTAGCTGTGCAGGTGTGAGCCACCAAATAACCCAATGGGATACAGATTTTACCTCAGTATGGCTTTGATTAATGGAAAAGTCTTCTCTACTGGATCAGCTTAGACTTGTTCCCAGTCTGAAGGGCCCGGTTCTGTGAGTGAATCGAGACTCTCGAGTTTGATGTTCAAAGGTGTACGTAGTGTGATGCCTTCTTTTGTTTTTGGCCTTATCCTTTGTCCTGAGTCCAAGCGTTAGTTCAGTTTCCTTGGATGTTGCTCATGTGCTTTATAGTTCCTTCCTGAAGCACCCACCCCCATCTCATTGTGGAAAGCCTCAAGGCCTGGGTTGAGGGCATTTTCTCATGAAAATGAAGCCCTCTCCGACTACTTCTGCTTCTCCTTCCCGTCGCTTAAGAATGATGTCCTCTTCCTCTGTGCTTCGCTAACACTTTATTTCTCCATTACTCGCTCTGTTTTACAAGTGGTCCTTATCCTTGTCACAGGGCATCAGAATCATTTGCGGGAGTTTTTTTAAAACACACATAGCTTACGCTCCATCACTGTAAATAGTACTAAGTCTAAGGCACAGTCTAGACATATACATACATATACACACATGTGTTGAAGCTTCTACATATGAAAAAATAATACTGAATATTTATGGAAGGCATTCCACATGCTAGTGGCTATTCTAAGCGTGTCCTATGTATTCATTTAATCTCCACCTTAACGCGTGAAATTGGTGGTATTATTATCCCCTTTTTACAGAGTGGGGGGAGAGTTGAAGCACACGTGAGAACCGACAGAGCTAGAATTCACATTCAGGCTTGCTGGCTCCAGAATCTGTTCCCTTATCTGCTTGACTGTGTTCTAATGCATAACCTATTAACAGAACCAGTGTGTTATTCTGACGTGTTGTATGTTCTCCTGTCTCCTTTGCCTAGTTATGTAAGCTCCCAGAAGACAAAAGATTGTGCTTTTCATCGTTTAGCTGCTCATTGTTTCTCAAATGAATATGAGGGACTCCTAAGCATTGAGGAATGGGATTGCTCATGAATGGGAGGGGCTGCCCATTCATCTGACTTCCTGCTCACTCCCCATTTAGCGCAGTGCCTCTCACCCCTGTGCTGCAGTTCTCAGGTTCCAAAGATCCTTTCAGAGTACAGAGGACCAACACTATTTTCCTGGTGATGCTAACACATTGCTTTCCCACCAGGCTGTCATCTGCAAAAGTAAAGGGGGTAGAACTGCTGGTTCTCTTGCAGGAATCTAGGCTGTGGCCTCAAACTCTACCAGTAGCTTTTGGCCATTGTATTCATCATCAACACAAGCTTGTGTTAAATACAAACAAACAAAAGATGCATTTTTCTTAAGAATGTTCACAATGAAGCAGTAAAAACAAATCCTATTTATTTGCCCTCAACCCATGAATAGACGTATTTTTAACATCCTGTATGTTGACGTGGCAAACATGCATAAAGCACTTCTGCCACATACTGAAGTGCTCTCATGAAAAAGGATGACTGATGATCTGAGCTGGGAACTGTTCTTTCTTGTTAACTTGAAAGGGAAATGGACAGATAAACTGTGGGTTATTCAGATTTGGTTATTAGCAGATAACTTCTCAGAAATGAGTACATAAAGACGTCATTTGAAGTAGAGTCTGTTAGTCAGTTTTTTGTTGCCACAATGAAATATCTGAGATAAGCTACTTATAAAGAAAAGGGACCTTGTTTGGGGTGATGGTTTTGGAGATTCACAGTCCGAGATTGGGCAGGCGTCCTTGGTTCAGCATCTGGTGAAGCGTTCTTACTGGCAGAGACCTGAGGCAGCCCTGGGCATCCTGTAGCAAGAGGGAGTGTCAGTCCATGCCTTTGTGGTCTCTTATAAAGCCACCAGGGGGGGGCCTCACCCAAATGGCCCCATCTAAGCCAGGCACTTCTTCAAGGCCCCACTTTCAGGTACCATAAGTGTATCATTTCCACCCTCCTCCTTATACCATTAACATAAGATTTTAAGGATTACATCCGTAAGACGTGGGCCTTTGAGGGACATCAAAAATCCTAAGTAATTCCCAAACCATCGCAGAGAACAACTGATAAAGTTTGTTACCAAGGACAGAATCTGTACTTTTAAGCAAAAATTAGCATTAAAATCTGTGTCTAGGCCAGCACCGCGGCTCAATAGGCTAATCCTCTGCCTGCGGCACCGGCCCACCGGGTTCTAGTCCCGGTCAGGGTGCTGGATTCTGTCCCGGTTGCCCCTCTTCCAGGCCAGCTCTCTGCTGTGGCCAGGAGTGCAGTGGAGGATGGCCCAAGTGCTTGGGCCCTGCCCCCCATGGGAGACCAGGATAAGTACCTGGCTCCTGCCATCGGATCAGCGCAGTGCGCCAGCTGCAGCACGCCAGCCGCGGCAGCCATTGGAGGGTGAACCAACAGCAAAAAGGAAGACCTTTCTCTCTGTCTCTCTCTCTCTCTCACTATCCACTCTGCCTGTCAAAACCAACCAACAAACAAACAAACAAAACACAACTGTGTCTCGCACTGTGAGCCCGACAGTTTTGCAATTCTTAGGACTCTGATAAGCTTGCTAGTAATGCTAATGTTGCTTTAAAAAAAAAAAATGAGTATTTGAGAGGCAGATTACAGCCAGAAGGAAAGATCTCCTACCCCTGGTTCACTTCCCTAAATGCCTGCAATGGTTCTGACTGAGCCATGGCCAAAGCTGATGCCAGGAACTCAATCCTAGGTCTCCCACTTGAGTGACAGGAACCCAATCACTTGAGCCATCATCACTGCCTCCCAAGTTTTGCATTAGCAAGAAGTTGGAGTCAGGAGCTGGGTGTGGGTATAGATCCCAGACAATTCAAAATGGAGTGTGGGCATCATAACCCCTAGGTCAAGTGCCTGCCCCTAATGTGATTTTTGATATATAAAAAATTTACCAATATTTTGAAGATCCAAATAACTAAATCAACCAATGTCTTTCAGATATCAAATCTGCATTGATACAAAATCATGTATGGTAAAAGGTCTGTTCAACGTGTAAAATAAACCAATGGATTTTAGTAGAACAGAATATAAACAGTCCAGTGCTGTGGTTTCAGATTTCTCATTGTAGCTACCCCTTGAGAAACCCATTTAACAAGAGGACATTCCAGAAAGTTTGTGGGGAAATGATACTAAATAAGTTTATTTTGGTGTGAAAAATTTAGAAATCAATGCATAGTGTTTTCATAATACATATTTTCCATGAAATTTTTTGGACACTCTTGTTTACCTTTAGAAAGTGAGTTTTCTTCATTTCTCTCAACCAAATTGCATTTCATAACTGATGAAATGCAGAAGCAGATTTGATGTCTCTTTTTTTTTCCTTTAAAGGCAGAGAGACAGAGATTGTTTATCTACTGGTTCACTCTTAAATACCCACAGCAGCCAGGTCTGGGTCAGACAGAAGCAGGGAGCCCAGAACTCAAACCAGTTCTCTCACATGGTTGGCAGGGAAACACATACTTAAGCCACCATCTGCTGCCTCCCTGGGTGTACACTGGCAGGAAGCTGGCTTGGAAACAGAGGGGCTGGGACTCAAAAACCAGGCACCCCAGTGTGGACTGCGGGCCTCTGAAGCACACTTAACCACTATGCCAAATGTCCACCCTTGCTGTTATCTTTTAAGCCAGATAATAACAAGGCTTGAAAAAAAAGTGGACTAGTGCTACTTTTTTTTTTTTTTTCACTGAGAGCTATTTTGTTTTGGAAAATATGGTTTTCACTTATATTTTTTGAAATGATTAATAAAGGTTATAAAATTTTTCCTATTTTCTAATATGGTAAATATCAGTAGATATAACCCACACATGTCAAAAAAAAGGGATCCTGAGAGCAAAACCTGTGAGGGCTGCCCATCCTGAGGGCCTACAGTGCTGTTTCTCTCTCCCTGTGTCCCTCCCCTGCTTAATAGGTACCTGTAACTAGCAGAATTTTTCCAAAACCAGTCTTCCCTTTTTCCCGGCTCCCTTTAGTGTACCACTTTTGTCCTGGGCTGAGTCTTCTCCCTAAACTTAATTCCATGTATCTAAGTTGCACTGAGCCTACAGGTGCCAGACAGTTGTTTTATGTTCTTTTTTCCTCTCCCTCAATTATTGACCTCTAGACGTCTCCCGAATATCAGAAACTGCAGGATTCCAGTGCTTGTTACGAGTCTCTTGCTCTCCATCTCGGCAGGAAAAGGAAGGAAGCGGAGTACACACTGGGCTTCTGGAAGACCTTTCCCGGCAAAATGACGGTAAACCGTGCGGGCGGTCGTGGTTGCCCAGCGCTCAGCGGCCCTTTATTTCTGCCGTCGCTCTCTCTGGGCCTCGCTCGTTTATGGTAATAAGGTTTTCCCGGTCCCTTTTCTAAAACGTCCAGGGACTGTAGCGTGGGCACTGCGAATATCGCCGTCTTCCCTCCTCTCTAAGAGTGCTCGCTGGACTTGATCGCTTTCTTCCTCTCGTTTGTTCCTAACTTGAGCTGTGATTTTATGAAGTGTTTGCATCCCATCTACATTTAGATTTAACGCCAAGCTAAGCCCTGGGCAGTAAATTCCCTTACGTGTGATTTCTGGCTATTTCGTCTTCTCCTTGTATGTGACGATAATCTTGATTGTTGTCCTGGGTCATTGTTTTTAATTCTAGGATTCCTTGAGGAAGCCAGAACGGCGTCTGCTGTGTGAGAGCAGTAACCGAGCCCTGTCTTTGCAGCATGCGGGAAGGTTCTCTGTGAACTGGTTCATCCTCTTTAATGATGCCCTGGTCCACGCCCAGGTAGGCTGGCTTCCTGACCTTAAAGGAAGCCCCGGAAGGGGGAACAGGAGTGCATTACTTGTTAATTATTTCAGACTGTCAGCCCGTGCGATTCTGATGAAGCTGCGCATACAGGAAAGTGTGCACATGCTACAGCTTGCATCTGTGGTGTGGGCTTCGGTTTCCAGCTTATGAATGCACGCAGCATGTGACAGGTCCCTGCAGAGACATGGCGAGGGCACCGGGTTAGCTTGGCTATGGGAACCCTGTGATGGAGACGGTAGCAGCCACATGACGTAGCCTTCTCTAGGAGGTTGTGCAGCAGAGAGTACAGGGCACACATGGGCTAATGACCCCAGGGGGACACAAGCAGAGACCCCTAGGTCTGCACAGGCTTTCACAGACGTGCCTCTGTGTTCTGCATTCCAGTTCTCCACGCACCATGTTTTCCCTTTGGCCACACTGTGGGTGGAGCCGCTGTCTGAAGAAGCTGGTGGTGTGTAAGTGTACTCCCTCCCCCCACCCCATCCCTCCTGTTCTCCCTGTTACCCAGCTTGTGTCCTTAAGTAGGAAAAGAGCTCAGGAGAGTGTGAGAAGCTTGCTTCTGCACTCTGCGTAATGAGGCTCACATCCTAACACAATCCACAGGAAAATGGCCTGTTGGGATGAAGATGACAAATCATGGTAGTTTCTAGAACAGCATCTCTCCATTGCTTACATCCTCATTGTTCAGCGTAGAGCAGGGTAATCTGAAATCATTCCCCCTGCTGTGAGACCCAAAACCAGGCGTGAATGTTTACATTTAATAGGCTACTGCAGGCCGGCGCCGCAGCTCAATAGGCTAATCCTCCGCCTAGCGGCGCCGGCACACCGGGTTCTAGTCCCGGTCGGGGCGCCGGATTCTGTCCCGGTTGCCCCTCTTCCAGGCCAGCCCTCTGCTGTGGCCAGGGAGTGCAGTGGAGGATGGCCCAGGTGCTTGGGCCCTGCACCCCATGGGAGACCAGGAAAAGCACCTGGCTCCTAGCTCCTGCCATCGGATCAGCGCGGTGCGCCGGCTGCAGCGCGCCGGCTGCGGCGGCCATTGGAGGGTGAACCAACGGCAAAGGAAGACCTTTCTCTCTGTCTCTCTCTCTCTCTCTCACTGTCCACTCTGCCTGTCAAAAAAAAAAAAAAAAAAAAAAAATAGGCTACTGCACCTCCTAAATGGGTTGCTTTTCGTGTATGAGGATTGGTGTTATAATGACAGGTTGTCATACCTGGCGTTCATCCTTGTGAATGTTTCAGGAATGGCATAAAGATAACCACACCTGAGGAGCAGTTCACTCTGATTTCATCGACACCCCAGGAAAAGGTTAGTCCTTTGTGGAATTTTCTTTCCCTCTTTGGCTTTGCTCTTTCTGCCCTCTGTAGTCGTAAAGAAGTGGTTTCTGCAGGACTCAAGGTCCACGATTGTATTTGATAAATTTTCATTAAACCAAAACTCTAGATTTTTAAAAAATCATTAGTTTTAAACATTTAACAGTGGCTGCCAGTCAGCAGTAAGTCATGTTTAACGAGAAAAGCAGTGAGGGACGGAAGAATGATTCACGCCGAGGAAAGCTCAGATTGAAAGCCTGCATGACGAGTCGCTGCTGTGCACTTACTGCTCCTTACTTTCTGCTCCCAGACGAAGTGGCTGCGGGCCATCAGCCAGGCCGTGGACCAGGCTCTGAGGGGGACATCTGATCTGCCACCTTACGGGAGTGGCAGTGGCGTTCAGTGGCAGGAGCCGCCCATTTCACGCAGTGCCAAGTACACGTTCTACAAAGACCCTCGCCTGAAAGATGCCACCTATAATGGGCGCTGGCTTTCAGGGAAGCCTCACGGCAGGTGAAAAGGTTTAAGGTTTCTGCCTGGGGTGAGGACGATGCCCGTTATGGAAAAGGGTCCGTTGTCCGCGACTTGGGCTGACTTGAGCTGTTCTTTGCTTGTGCACTCCAGAGGCGTTCTGAAGTGGCCCGACGGAAGGATGTATTCTGGCATGTTCAGGAACGGCTTGGAAGATGGGTGAGAAAACCGGGTCAGACGTGAGGGGGTATTCAGGTGTGGTCACCGATCACAGTATTTCCCATTCAGAGTTGCTTTTCAAACAATCAATAGACTTTGGTTTTTTATTTATTTATTTTTGTAGAAAAGCATCCATCTAGTGCATTAGGGCTTATAATGCAGATATGTGAGCGTGAGAGACTGGGCGTGTGGGGTGAAGCCTCTGATTCACCCCGAGTGAGTCATTCACCCCGATAGCAGTATGATACCAAAGTCATGTAGCCCTCCGTGTGTTCAAATGGGACTCCCTTTTATTTATTTATTTATTTATTTTAAAGGATTTATTTATTTATTTGAAAGGCAGAGTTATAGGAGGAGGGTGTGTGAGGGAGACAGATATATCAATCAATATTCCATCAGCTGGTTTACTCCTCAAATGGCTGCAATGGCCAGGGCTGGGCCAGGCCGAAGCCAGGGGCTAGGAACTCCATCCGGGATTCTCACGTGTGTGGCAGGGGCTTAAGCACTCTGGCCACCTTTCGCTGCTTTCCCAGTGCTTTGGCAGGTTCTGGATTGGAAGTGGAGCAGCCAGGGCTCACAGTGGAGCTCTTATGGGATGTCGACATTGCAGGCAGCGGCTTTACCCATTACACCGCAGTGCCAACCCCAGGACTGCTTTCTAAAATCCACTTCTCAGGGCTGGCACTGTGGTGCAGTGGATTAAAGCCATGGCCTGCAGTGCCAGCATCCCACATGGGCACTGATTATATTCAGCTCTCTGGTAATGCACCTGGAAAAGCAGTGGAAGATGGCCCAAGTGCTTGGGCCCCTGCACCCACATGGGAAACCTGGAAGTAACTCCTGGCTCCTGGCTTTGGTCTGGCCCAGACCTGACCATTGCAGCCATTTGGGGAGTGAACCAGTGGATGGAAGATCTCTGTCTCTGTCTCTCCCTCCCTCTGTCCGTGTGTGTGTGTGTGTGTGTGTGTGTGTGTCTGTCTCTCTCTCTCTCTCTCTCACTCTGCCTTTCAAATAAATAAATAGATATTTAAAAGTAAAGATAGATAGATAGATAGATAAATAAATAAAATCCGTGTCTCAGTTGGGAGGCCTGAGAGCCTGGGTACTGTCAATGGTGAGGCTGTTAAGACAGTGGTGCTCCATTTACAACAAAAGACAGAGAGAAATTCTCCTTTCAGGAGTTAGTCATGCAGAATTTCTGTGATACGTTAAAGGGGAAATCCTCTGTGTGATAGCCCACTGATGCTCTGATGACATTGGCTTTGTCATAGCTTATCGTGTCTCCTGACACTAAAGATATTCACATGAGAAATTTGTGTTAGGGAAGAAGTTTGTATCTTGTAAAGCTGTAATATATTTTACAACATAAAAAAGCTGTAGACATTGGGTGCGTAATTTTGTGTGCATATGTGATAATGTATGTTTTCTGTGAATTATTTTAATACTTTTTAATGGGTTTTTAGGATGATAAAAGACTTTAGATAATCTGAATTATAGTATTACACAGATAAGGGTGCTGGATACCTGGACTTACCTAAGGTATTGCATCTAATTAGTGACAGAGATAGGCCTGGGACACAGGTCTTCTGTTCTCACTGGACTTGGGATAAACATCTAATCTCTCAGTGTAGTGGGGTTGATGTCCTACGTCGCTAAGACTTGCCAGACAGCTCAGGTAACTGAAAGAGTTTGAACCAAGGCTCTGTCTGCCCATTTCCTGCTGTAGTAGATTTTTCCCTGCCCTCCCTGTTAAACTGCTTACAGATGTTTGTACACAAAAGATGAGTATGTCAGAAATGCATCTTCTGGTGCTTTCTTTTTTGATTGCTGTAGGTATGGGGAATATAGAATCCCACACAAGGCTCTGAACAAAGAAGACCATTATGTGGGCCACTGGAAAGAAGGAAAAATGTGTGGTCAAGGAGTCTACAGGTAATGACATTGGAAAGTGTGTTGGACTGGTCCTTTTTCTTTTTTTAATGTCATTTTAAAATATTTTTAAGCTTTTATTTATTTGAAAAGGCAGACAGAGACAGAGATCTTCCATCTGCTGGTTCACTCCCCAAATGCCTGCAACAACCAGGCCAAAGCCAGGAGACCAGAACTTAATTGGGTCTCCCATGTGGGTGTCAGGGTCCCAAGTACATGAGCCATCAGTTTCTGTCTCCCAGCGTGTATTTTCACAGGAGGCTGGAATGGGAATTGGAACTGGGATACAGGCTTCCTAAGAGGTGTCTTTACCACCAGGCCAAACAGCTCCCCCTGGTATTGCCTTTTCAAAGAACCTCTAAACTTAAATATTTATATAGCCAGGATTTTCAGGGGGTGAATTTTATTGCTTTCTAATGGCTGAAACTCTTGTATAAAGTCTTCATTTAAAGACCAACGTGAAAATACTAGGTTATTAAACTTTGTAACATACTTTAAATCATGACTTTCTCTGAGAGTCCTCTCCAGGTCTTGTCTCTAACTTTCTTACTTTTACTAATCAACTCTAATTTGAACAACACTTTCTAATTCTTCCCTCTCATTAAGAACTCATTATTTAGTTTTCACGTAAGGATGAAATATACTTTTTTTGGCCTATGCTAATACAGAATACCACCCATGACAATTTTTAACTTCCTACCCTCAATAATTCAAAAATGAGATTTTTTTTGATGGGTGAAAAATAATTGTATACACAAATAAATAAATATAGCTACCAGTGAGACTGAGTATAGTTTTAGATTTCCTAAATCATGTAGAAGTGAGCACCAGAATTCGACATGCATGTGATCTTTGTCCATTCTTTCCAACCACAGTTATGCCTCTGGTGAAGTGTTTGAAGGCTGTTTTCAAGATAACGTGCGTCATGGGCACGGTCTCCTTCGAAGTGGGAAATTGACTTCCTCCTCTCCTAGTATGTTCATTGGCCAGTGGGTGATGGATAAGAAAGCAGGATATGGTGTCTTTGACGATATCACTAGGTACAGTATTCTGCTTCCAACCTCAGAGTTTTTTGTGACAGAGGATAATGTTCCTAAACCTCTCCAAAAAGTGATAACTGTATGAAGACTGAAAATTTAACTTGACAATATTAAGGAACAAATTTTAATAAGGAACAAAGTTGTTAGACATCATTTTATCTGTTTTCTGTGGAGACAACATTAGATTACTTCTTTAGGAAATCTGGTCATTCAGAACTAACACTGGTATCATTTTCCTCCAAATTCAGCACACACAAAGCCTTAGTGGCTCAGTGAAGGTACCACATCTTGACTATATAAGGAAAATCCTGTAATGCATTCAGTAGAAAATGAGAATGCAAGGTACAGGGGACAGATGTGTTCATGCCAGCAAGCCAGCTAGCAATCCTAGTGAAATTCAAACCAAACCTTGGGGAGGAATCTAGTTTTTGTCTCCAGGTTTAGTTGGACCTGCTCTGCTTTGTACTTAATGTGTACACTTTTCTCCCTCATGTTACGAAGCACCAGCGTTTTCATAATGTGGGATTTTAAAAAAATTGCTGTTATTACTACATTCCATGATTACTAAATTTCATGATTAAACAAGTGGTTTATACTTATTTTGTCTTTTTGGTGGAGATGAGTAATATTTCTCTGAGTTTAAGTAGGTGGAAAATGAGCCTTCTTTCATGATAAGCCCCATTCCTTTCCCTCTTCTGAAGTTAGCAAAATTTTGTGAAAATTTTTAATATATTTTTAATACTGAAAGGTGGAGAAGACAGTGCTCCCATCCACTAGTTTGCTCCCCAAATGCCCAGAGGTAGGAACTCCATCTGGGTCTCCCACACGGGTGGCAGGGACCCAACTTGAACATCACCTGCTGCCTTCCAGGGTTGCCTTAGCAGGAAACAGGAATCAGACTAGAGCTGGAGCTGATGTGGGATGCGGGTGCCCAAGCAGCATCTTAACCTCTGTGCCAAGTGCCCACCCATAGTTTAGGCAACTTCTTGGGTAATAAAGACTTGTACATAGATTTGATTCTGCCTGTTAGATTCCTAGTGAAATTATTTCGAGTTGAATTCTTGGCATTTCAAAAAGCTATGTGTTTTAAAGTTTTTAAGGAAGAGGAGCAACCGGGACTAGAACCCCGGAGTGCCGGCGCCGCAGGCGGAGGATTAGCCTAGTGAGCCGTAAAGTTATTAAGGAAATACTTACCCATTTACAGATCTGTGTCAGGTAGTACAATTTTAATTCCAGGGAGCTCATTACTCTTGCTATCACAGTGCCCCGTGTTTGAAGAGACAGAAGGAACCACTTTAGCTAGAAAGATGGAACCGGTTCCAGCCCAAGGCTGATGCTTCTCCCACGTGGTGCTTGTTCTGTACCCCTCTTAATGCTTGTTATCCCAACTTTTTCTTTTGATTCTATGCAGGGGGGAAAAGTATATGGGAATGTGGCAAGATGATGCCTGTCAAGGGAATGGCGTGGTCGTCACCCAGTTTGGACTATACTATGAAGGCAACTTCCACCTTAATAAAATGTCGGTGAGTGCGGTATCGGCATGTAGTTACTTCGGCCTTTTAAAAGCTCCTATATCCTTGGCCGGCGCCGCGGCTCACTAGGCTAATCCTCTGCTTGTGGCGCCGGCACACCGGGTTCTAGTCCCGGTCGGGGTGCCGGATTCTGTCCCGGTTGCCCCTCTTCCAGGCCAGCCCTCTGCTGTGGCCAGGGAGTGCAGTGGAGGATGGCCCAGGTCCTTGGGCCCTGCACCCCATGGGAGACCAGGAGAAGCACCTGGCTCCTGGCTTTGGATCAGCACACTTTGGATCAGCACAGTGCACTGGCCGCAGCGGCCATTGTGGGGTGAACCAATGCAAGGAAGACCTTTCTCTCTGTCTCTCTAACTGTCCACTCTGCCTGTTAAAAAAAAAAAAGAAGAGCTCCTATATCTCCTATATCCTGAACTCTGAAAATAATATTTTATTAGTGTCTGCCTTCTTCCTCCTTTCCTTTTCTTTTGAGATTATGTATGGCTCTGGGGGTATGGCTGCAGGTACTCTGGCATTATTCTTCATTTTACATGTTCTGATTTGTGTTTTGTTTCTTCCACAGGGAAATGGGGTTTTACTTTCCGAAGATGATACTATCTATGAAGGAGAATTTTCAGACGATTGGACTCTTAGTGGAAAGGTTTGAAAACCAACTTTCTTCTTTCTCTCTCTATTGCATTCCTTTGCTAATGTTTCTTGGCTCTAAAACGTTTACTTAGATACCATAAAATTCACCATTTGAAAGTGTACATTTCAGCGATTTTTAGTAAATGTGCAGTTTTTTTACATCCATCACCATCCTTCAGTTTTAGACCACAATTAACCACCTGACCAGCTCTCTCCTGCCCACTCAGGGTCACTGCTGTTTGCACCTCCAGGCTGAGCTCGCACTAGTGGACTACTTCACTGTCCCCAGATTTGCCTTTTCTGAAGCTTTCCTGTGAACAGTCATCCATGTGGCCGCTGGCACCCAGCCCCTTTACTTCAGGGGGACCTTGCTCCTCCTCTGTTTTCTGAAAGACTTCATGAAGCCTCAATAACGTTTTTATTTGAATGTTTGAGGGAATTCAGCAAGCCCTGAGCATTACTTTGTGAGATTTTAAATTTCCTCTTCTTATTCGGATTTTCCGTCTCTTCTGGAAGCCGTTTTGGTAATCTGTGTCTTCCTAAGAATTCTTCTGTATTTTAAGTTACATAATTTGTTGGGATAAAATTGTTTTCTTAGTATTCATTCTCTCTTAGTCTGTTATTGCTACCATAAGAAAATACCGCAGCTGGGAAATTTATTTCTGCACAGTTCTGTAAGCTTGAAGTCCAAGATCGAGGCACCAGTATCCATGGTCTTGATCATTTGTGACTGATTGCTTCCCCCAAGGTCCCACTTCTTACTCCCACCACCGTAGGGATTAAGTCAGCAGGGACGTGGAAGGGGATATGCGTTCAAGTCATAGCACCTTCTAACCTTTCTAGGAGCAGTACCCTAGTGCACTCCTTACTTTGTGAATGCGTATCTTCTCTTTACAATTTTTTTTTGATCTGTCTAGTTGAAAGTTTGTCCATTTTGTATATCTTTTCAAAGAAACAACTTTTGGGCTCATTGATTTTTTTCCTCTATGTTTTTATTTTCTGTCTTACTGACTTCTGCTGTAAGCTTATTATCCCTTCCTCCTTCTTGGTTTGGATTTCATTTGTTCCCCTTTTTCTAACTTCATAAGCAGAATGTTAAGTTACCAATGTGAAATATTTCTATTTCCCCAGGTAGGTGTTAAGAGCTTTACATTTCCCTCTGAGTACTGCATTAGCATCACCCTATACACGTTGATCCAATGCATGTTTGTTTCATCTGTCTCACAATATTTTCTGATTTTTCCGGTGATTTTTCTTTTATTCATGAATTTTTTTAAAGATTTATTTATTTACTTGAAAGTCAGATTTACACAGAGAGAGAAGAAAGGCAGAGAGAGAGAGAGAGGTCTTCCATTCGCTGGTTCAGTCCCCAACTGGCTGCAACAGCTGGAGCTTTGCCGAGCTGAAGCCAGGAGCCAGGAGCTTCTTCCGGATCTCCCATGTGGGTGCAGGGGCCCAAGGACTTGGGCCTTCTTATGCTGCTTTCCCAGGCCATAGCAAGGAGCTGGATTGGAAGTGGAGCAGCCAGGACTCAAACATGCACCCATATGGGATGCCGGCACTGCAGGCCACGGCTTTAACCCACTGCGCCATAATACCGGCCCCATGACTTGTTTTTATACATTATTTTGGGGGCATGTGTGTATGCGTGTTTTTTTTGTTTGTTTGTTTGTTTGTTTTTTTAAGATTTGGATACTGGTAAATAGCAAATTAAAAAGGTGAACATTAACAGTGTAGTGCATTTTCTCTTGACTTTTAATTTGAAAAATACTTCTGCATCCATGTTTTTTATCTCTAACTTTACCCAGGGAACACTGACGATGCCAAATGGAGATTACATTGAAGGTTATTTTAATGGAGAATGGGGATCTGGGATTAAAATCACCGGAACCTACTTCAAACCCAGCCTGTATGAGAGTGATAAAGACAGACCCCCAGTTTTGTGAGTAACTGGTATTAATTCTGGATTAATTATTGGATGTTTGGGTTGTGTTGCTTTTAGCAAAGCTAGTTAATATTTTAAAAGCAAAGTTAAGTTTGTCAAGTTTTTTTGCTTTTTTAAACAAGGTATAACCTCCTTGAATTGTTAGCTGATGCTGCTGTGGGTAGCTAAGTCTATCGTCATCTTAGGTTAGAAATCTCAGAGCCAGATGTTTGAAATAAACGTGCCCTGTGTGAGAGCAGCCCTGCTAAAGGTGCAGGTGCCCAAGCCCACTGAACAGCATTCTTCAGTGGGCTCTCTGCAGACCTGGTTTAGAAAAGTAAAGATGAAGCCGAGGTAGCCGAGCATACCGAGTGCAGTTGTCCGGTCTGCATAACTGGGAGCAAAAGACAAAGGTGAAGTGTGTTAACGCCCGCCCCAGTTTTGGCACGTGTCTGTTTTCCTTTTCAGACAGCAGTTCTAGCTCTGTCTTTATATTTTGGTGGCATCTCAGATTCTGTGTTCTGAGAGGGCTTGATATATGTTCTGTACCATGCTTATTCTTATTTTTAGAAGCTCGTAGGTAATACATTTCACAGTGTATGTGCAACGTACAGAAAGTCCTTGCTTTACCAGCAATTTTACAAAATGAATTCTGTGGAAATGTAGGAGGCAGAGGAGTCAATTCTGATATGCTTCAGACTCAAAACAATCCAATACCCTTTAGTGTCTAATAAACGTGAATTAGCTAAGAACCATTCCTGTCAAATTTGCATAGTGTTTTAAAGAAGCACTATCAGTCTAGGCAGTTCTGGTCACGGAAACATTTTCAGTTGTACGTTAGAAAGTTTCTGTTCTTCAGAGTGATTTTGCCCAAAAGATGTGATTAGTAAAAAGTGAAATGACTTTATTAGCAGGAAGCTGGGAACACTGGCAGTGCAGGCTGATGAGAAGTGGAAAGCAGTGTTTGATGAATGTTGGCACCAGCTGGGCTGTGAGAGTCCTGGTCAAGGGGAAGTTTGGAAAGCGTGGGACAATATTGCTGTGGCCTTGACCACCAGTCGGCGTCAGCACAGGGACAGGTGAGTGAAGGCCTGCCCGGCCCCGAGCATGTTAGGGAGATGAACCTGAAAATCAGGAAATAGTTAAGGCTCACTACATTTCATTTTAAAATATGATTTAATGGAGAACTCAGTGCTGCTCTTCTGCTTCTGGGCAAGATGGAATAAGTGCACCTGCTTTGTCTTCTGTTGAACTCAACTATTAAAAATGAACAGAGGGGCCAGCACCATGGTGTAGGCTAAGCCTCCGCCTGCAGTGCCGGCATCCCATAGGGGTGCTGGTTTGTGTCCTGGCTGTTCCTCTTCCGATCCAGCTCTCTGCTATGGCCTAGCAAAACAGTGGAAGATGGCCCAAGCCTTTGGGCCCCTGCACCCGTGTGGGAGACCCAGAAGAAGCTCCTGGCTTCGGATCAGCCCAACTCTGGCTGTTGCAGCCATTTGGGGAGTGAACCAGCAGATGGAAGACCTCTCTCTCTCTCTGTCCTTTTCTTTGTCTCTAACTCTACCTCTCAAATAAATAAATAAAATCTTGGGGGGAAAAAAAACTGAACAGAACACAGGAGCAGCTATTTGTGAACTCTGAAAATTTTGAATAGGTTGACGAAGAACATCTGAATGCAAATACCACCAAGCCAGCGATGAGTTTCCTGGCTTTTTCTGATTCTGACTCAAAGAGTGCGACAAGGACTCCTAAAACTGAGAGTTGAGAATATCCATTTGATTTTCCTTCCCTACTTTGCCCCCATTCCCTTATGCCCCAGCCTCCAGGGACTTCTGTGATGGTGGTGGCTAGGGCAACCATGAACAGGTAGCTTGCAGGAGCCAAAACTTTAAGGGAGTGGAAACTTTTTCCCCTTTGCTGTATCCTGAGGCCCAAGAGGCTGGGCCACTACTTTATTGGCCTTTCTGTATTCTACTTGCTGGCCCTAGACATGGGTGGTTTCTGTCCAACAGATCTAAAAGAGCAGTTGCAAGAACTAGAAAATACCTGGAAGGTAATAGAGACAGAGGAGTTCTGGGAAGCAATCCCTTGCACTTACCAACTCCTGGCCTCACCCCAGACCCACATAGACTAAGATTAAATTCTAATTAGTCTACCAAAGACTTTGAGAACTGAGCTAACTGGTCGACCTGCACTCAGGTCGCAGACGGACCATTGTCATACACTTATGAACAGACCTAAATAAGGCTGCAGAGGCTTTGAGAAGTGAGCTGACGGTGGAACCACAGCTCACAGAAGACTGAAACGAAAACATCAGCTGTCTTCAGAGGCTTCCAAGATCACTTACGCATTCAGTGATTCACCAGAAGGACTCTACAACTCAACAGAGCTGATCTCCCAAGGAAAGTTAACGGCAACACGGAAAGGCACAGAGCCAGGTCCTAAGGGCAGGAGACATGCAGAGTCTGGAGGTTTCTGTGCGTGAAGCTTCCCTTGTTCTTTCCATTCTGTGGGGCATCACCAAGAGCACAGTCTCCTCCCAGCACTAAAAATGCAGCCACACATGTGCAGTGTTTCTCTCCAGGAAAGCCCATTAAAACTCAGTGCCCAAGATTTTTATTGGAGGCTGATTATGTAGGCTCCCTGTGCCTGGCAGTTAGCAAACTTCCATAGTTCTGGAATGAGCATTTAGCCTAGCAGCTGACTTGGGATGCCTGTGCCTGTGTCCCAGGTTGTTGTCACTGGGTTTGATTCCTGGTCCTGGCTCATGACTCCAGCTTCCTGCTAATGTGCACCCTGAGAGGCAGCAGTGATGGCTCAAGTATTCAGGTTCCTGCCACCATGTGAGAAACCCAGACTGAGTTCCTGAGTCACAGCTTCACCCGCTAACCAGCCCCCTCCTTGCTGTGCAGGTCTTCAGGGCAATGAACCAGCAGATGGGAGTTCTCTTTCTATTTCCCTGTCTCTCAGATGAGTAAATAAAATTTTAAAAGTCCACAATCCCAGAAGGAAAGCAGATGTTGACCATAAATCACATTACTAATACCATCTATGAGCAACACGACACCCTTATCAGTTAGGGGATGTTTCCTATCAGTGTAGGGAACTTACAGCAAGCTTAGTTCCCAGGCACCAACCAAGGGTCAGTCTTCAAAGTAGGGCCTTCTAAAGATAACAGTTTAAACCTGCTGTGTTTACTCTTTTATGCAAGTCACCATTCTTATAGGATATAAACAGAACTGAAAGTCTCATAACATAATGCTAAATATGTTTAGCATATCAATGAAAATTACTCAGCAAACAAAAAACCTTGAAAAAACTCCTTTGGTGGAAGACAATCAACAGACATCAATGATGAGATGATGGAGATGTTGGAGTTGGCTCAAAATGCTCAGATGAGCAATTTCAAGCACCCTTGAAACAGATATTAAACCAACAGGATCAGCAGAGAACTAGAAAATTTAAGGAAGAACCAAATTGAAATGTTAGTTAAAAATACGATAACCAAAATAACTCTGTGAACTCAGTAGCAGATAGAGCTACCAATGGAAAGTCAGTGAACTTGAAAATATGTCAGTAGAAATTATCCAGTCTGAACAACAGAAAGGAAAAGCATGGGGAAAAAAAGCAAACAGGGTCTCGAGGACTTGTGGGTCTCTGTGTTCTTAGAATTCCAGAAAAAGGAGAAAGTATATGGGATCGAACATTTTTTGAAGAAATAATGGTTGAAAACACCTCAAGTTCTTTTTTTTCTTTCTTTAAGATTTATTTATTTTATTTGACAGTCAGATTTACAGAGAGAAGGAGAGGCAGAGAGAGAAGTCTTCCATCCACTGGTTCACTCCCCTAATGACCACAATGGCCAGAGCTGAACCAATCCAGAGCCAGGAGCTTCTTCTGGGTCTCCCATGTGGGTGCAGGGGCCCAAGGACTTGGGCCATCTTCTACTGCTTTCCCAGGCCATAGCAGACAGCTGGATTGGAAGTGGAGCAGCCAGGACTTGAACCAGTGCCTGTTTGGGATGCTGGCACGTAGGCGGTAGTTTTACCCGCTGTGCCACAGCGCTGGCCCCAACACCTCAAGTTTATTAAAGGATATGAACCTATAGTTTTAAGAAGCTGAGCAAACCCCATCCTGGAAAAAATTAAAGCTATTCATGAACAGATGCATCACATTCAAATTCAGAGATAAAGATCTCGAAAGCAGCTAAAGAAAAATGATGCATTGCACAGAGGGAAAGAGTTATTCAAGCCACCGTATGTTTCTCACCAGAAACCTTGGAGGCCAGGAGGAAGTGGCACAGCAGTTTCAAAATGCTGAAAGAAAAGTTACAGGTGTACCTTTTTCTTCTTCTTTTTGTCTTTCTTTCCTTGGTTTCTCCTTTCTTCTTCCTCTACTTTTTTCTCATCTGCCTGCCTTCAGGTTGCCCTGTTTAACTGCCAGCATCACTTAGCATTTGTACCTAAGGACCTTACAGCAAAACCTCTTAACAAACTTTTAAGTGTAATTCTAGGTAATGGTTTATTTGAGCTATTCCTTTATTGTTAAAAGATCAAAGAGCTTACTTTGTTGATCATACGTGTAACTGCATTCACTTGGCTTTTGAAATCGGTTTTATGCTGATTTTCTTTACACATGTCAGTAATACTTAGGAATTAAAAAAATAAAACTCAGCAGTTATGCATTTATTCAGACTGTAAATTTTTGTTCTAAATGATTAAATGTTCTAGTTTTCTAAATGTTACCAAAGTCTTTGAATAAATTCTTAATTTTAAAATAATTTTAATATACTAAAGCATAATACAGTTACATAGAAATTAAATGGTAGAGATTGAAAAATATTTTAGGAGCTTTAAATACCTCACAGTCAAATGTAACAAATAATTGTTATTCTAGCCTAGAGAGATTAGTCTAGTTTCCATCTAATTGAATATATCAAAATTAATATTTCAGGTAAACCAAATATCTGCTAATTTCTATTGCTCTGTGTGTGTGTGTGTGTGTGTGTTTTAAGAAATTAGATACAGAGGCCAGCACTGCGGCTCACTAGGCTAATCCTCCGCCTGTGGTGCCGGCACACCCGTTTCTAGTCCTGGTTGGGGCACCGGATTCTGTAAGAGAACATCTTGGCCGGTGCCCTGACTCACTAGGCTAATCCTCTGCCTGCAGTGCCGGCACCCTGGGTTCTAGTCCCAGTTGGGGCGCTGGGTTCTGTCCCAGTTGTTCCTCTTCCAGTCCAGCTCTCTGCTGTGGCCCGGGAAGGCAGTGGAGGATGGCTCAAGTGCTTGGGCCCTGCACCCACATGGGAGACCAGGAGGAAGCACCTGGCTCCTGGCTTCGGATCTGCGCAACGCTGGCTGTAGCGGCCATTTGGGGGGTGAACCAATGGTAGGAAGACCTTTCTCTCTGTCTGTCTGTCTCTCTCTCTCTCACTGTCTAACTCTGCCTGTCAAAAAAAAAAAGAAATTAGATACAAAAAGAAGTGCCCCCCCCATCTGTGATATACAGTAATCGCTTACTGTGTTTCATTCATGAAGTACATGATTGTCACCTTCTACTCTTTCCATCCATGGATGAAGTAGAATCTCCCAGATCCAGTTAAAGCAGTGGGCTGGTTGTGTGTGGTGCCGATGGGCAGTCCTCTCAATACAGCCCGTCAGTGGAGAGCTCATCACTTTAGCCCTTGGTGAACTTGTTAGGTGTTTCTGAGAAGTGAGGATGAATGGACCTTTATTTTCTTTTGAAACCTAAAATACAGTGATCATGGTTGTGCATTTAAGCTTCTGGTTGGCTGTCGTGTAGAGGTAGAGTGCTGTTACCTGGTGCTCGTGTGGCTCCCTCTCACTAGTAGGTGTTGTTTCTTAGCCTCTGTCCAAGGCGTCACTCTACCTCTGATGCGCTTCCCTTGCTGCCTGTCGGGGAGTCCTCGTCATCTCCCTGCTTCGTGAGCTCCTCTTCATTTCTTCCCTGCCCTTTGGTTTGTCCCCCTTGTCCCCTACCTGTCGTGACATGGAGAGGTCTGTCAGTTTTCTCCTCAAGCTACTGTCATAGCACTTCCTAGCACTGTGTTTAGATTGGGGCAAAACCTTCGTTAATTCATTGTTGTCGGTACAAAGTCCTCTTCGGTGCTGTTTGGAATGAATGTTATGTACACTGGGTGCCTCACAGCAAGTCTGTTCGCGTTTTTGAGCGTGTTTGGGGCCACACTGTGCTGGCTGCTGCACTCCATCCTTAGTGGGTGACTGCGGTTCAGGTGCATGTCTGTACTTACCTTGCTTTCTTGATGGGAAATCCATCTTAGGCTTCCTTTCCGTTTTTGTAGCCCGGAAATACTAAGTCGTTCACAGACTCAGACACTAGAGAGTTTGGAATTCATTCCACAGCATGTTGGTGCCTTCTCTGTGGAGAAATATGACGACATCAAGAAATACTTAATAAAGGTAAGCCGGAGTTAAAGTTACATTGGTCATGTGATGCAACTGTCACAGTAAATCACTCAAGTCTACTTGGAGCTTAATGTTCCCGTCATCCTAGTCTGTCTCTAATTTCTTTCTTGCTTTCTTTTTTCTTTTTTCTAATTCTCTGACCACCAAGATCACAGTTCTGCATGAAGATTGTCCCATTGTTAGGACAGAACTTTGGAAATTTCACAGTATCAAGGGTTTTTTTTTTTTTGAGAATTAAGATTAGAGTTTAAAATGGCTCCTTGTTAGGAACATCAGCAGACTAGAGGAGGTATAATTAAACCATGCTGCCTTGCCCCTTGAAAATGCTCTTCCTCAGCCCTGTAAGCTGAGCCATGCTTTGGGGGTGCAGAAAGGGTGTGATGAGAAGCCGTGGGGACTGGAGTTTAACCCACAGCAAGATCCATAGGGGTTTCGTGAAGTTTGACGTCTGTGATAATCTTTCCTTGAGTGGCAGCTCACAGCAGCACTTCTGCAGCTGTTTTCCTGAGATGTTAAAGGAATTCTTTGATTTGGAAAATTAGGAACTCTAACTTCACATGATTCGGGTAGACTTGGTACTTTCAGAAAAGTTAAAGCACTGCATTTGAATTTGTCTGATCGAAAAACTTGACTCCCGACATTTTGAAAAACGTGTGCTGTTCATGAGCTCATCAGTCCCCAATTGCTGAGCTGTTTCTGCTGCTGGTGCACAGACTGATGGCAGTGCCTCTCCCTGCTCAGGCCTGCGACACTCCCCTGCACCCCCTGGGCAGGCTCGTGGAGACCCTGGTGGCAGTGTACAGAATGACCTATGTGGGCGTGGGAGCCAACCGCCGGCTACTACAAGAGGCCGTGAAGGAGATTAAGTCCTACCTGAAGCGAATTTTCCAGCTGGTGAGGTAAGATGTCTTCTGTGTCTAGCAGCTGTGGGCTACTGGTCCATGCTAATGCTCGGCTGTCTTCACTCTGAACTTAGAGAGTACAACTCCGTGAGCAATTCTGAGAGCTCCCCTTTATCGCAGAAGTTGTTCATCCAGAAAATGATTTCATGCCACAGGTCCTCAAATACATTAATAATGAAAATATTCTTAATTTATGTGATGCCCCAAGCTTAAAAAAAAAAGATGAGACTTAGCCCTTGTTACCTCTTTCCTTCTATATGTTTCTTACTCATTAAATGTAACAGAGGTTAAAATGTTTGTTCAATCCTAGTTTTGGTATGAAACATAATTGTATTCTTATTTGGATTTAATCTCCAGGCAAAATTGTATCTCTAAAACCTAACCCCAGGGTGTATAAAGTTCTATATATTGGGTTGTGCTGAGTGTTTATGTCCTGTCCTTTGACAACAGTATCATGCATACTTATTCAACTGGGATTTATTGAGTGCTGTTATGTTAGTCACTATTCAAGGTTCTGGAAGGATTTATCCACTAACAAAGCTGCCACCACCCCTACCTGCCCCCCACCCCCCCCCAAAAAAAAAAAGAAAAAACCAAGCAAGTAATCTGAGGGACAGGGTAAACAAATCAAGTGTGTGCTAGATGGTGACGGGTGCAAGAGGATGGAGCTGGGGAAGATGCTGCTGTTCTAAATAGAAGGTCAGGGAAGCCAGACCAATACGCGGGCATTTGAGCAGAGACCTGGAAGAAGGCAATTAAATGAGCCAGTGCCCATCTTCGGGAGGAGACGGCTCCAGGTGGCGAGCACATTGGAGCTTGTGTGACACAGGATCTCTTCACTGGATTTAAGCCAACAAGTAGATGCTTGTATTCAGCTAGTAATACAAAAGTTTAATAACTTTGTCCCGGAAGATTCCTTAGATTTTTAATTTCAAAACTGATAAAAAAACATTAGGAAGTGTTTGGGGTTTCAAGGGAGCAATGGAAAGATCACCTGGCTGGGGTGTTTCAGCTCTGACTTTAGCTAGCTGCGTATAATGAAAATGAGTTTCCTAGCCTTTTTTAGTTATCCCAACTATTAGGACAGAGGGAATATCTGGTATAAGCCTACAAAAATAGAGAAGATACAAGCCACCTTTAAAGGGTCAAGATTAAAGTCTGTAAAAATAGGCTTATTTATAATATAGCATACAAGCATACACGAAACCAGAGATAAAATCTAGGGTAAAGATCCAAATCTAAGGGGAAAGAAATTCTCAACACTTTAGCTACTTGGGCATTTAAAGAATTAATTGTGAAACTTTGATCTTTTTGAAAATTTAAAATTTTACTTTGAATATTCTACAATTTACTTAACCATTTTATCTTAATGTTGGGCATTTAAATAGGTTCCACTGGTCTTTGCTTATATTCTGAGAGTAATGGTTTGTGCTCAGAGGCAATAGAGACTGACCTTGGGTGAGACTTTCCAGTAAGAAACACATATGGATAGAGAGCAGAAGTCTCCATTCCTAGTAAGTTGACAGAAAGACCACAACACCTGAAGATTCTTATGTGGTATTACCCGTTAGCTGCACTGTTAATTTTATCCTGTAAGAAACGTCAGTGAAGAATCTCAGGGATTAAAATACTGCGTTGATAGCAAAGTTCCCTTGCACTGGTCCTTAAATGAGCTAGCTAACGGACATGAGTTTTATTCTCAGTTCCGCCACTCTGGAGGTGTGATGGTCCCATTCCATTTTTCCATGATTCCTTAGGTTCCTATTCCCTGAGCTTCCTGAAGAGGGCAGCACAATTCCTCTCTCCGCTCCCCTGCCTACCGAAAGGAAATCCTTTTGCACTGGGCAATCAGATTCCAGATCTGAGTCACCGGAACCAGGGTAAGCGGAGTGGAGATGGAGAAGGAAGGGGGTGAGGACTGGGGAATCTCATCCCGAGAGGCCCACGGGTGAGTTGTTTTCTCTAGCTCTAGTGAGCTCATTCCCGAAAGGGCGCAGTGGAGCGGGGGATCTGTGTTAGCTGTGCCGCAGGACAGCAGCAGGTGAGCAGAGGGCACAATGTGGGCCAGAAACGCCTCAAGGAAGTGGGCGTAACGGGGGGCTGGGTCAGTGAGGTCCGAATGCGTGAGCAGAATTCACGGTTGGTTGAAGAGAAAACCCCAGTGCCGTGGTAAACCTCCTCGGTGCGGAGAGAAGAACTCCCCATGTCTCCCCCTGACCCTGAGAACCCGAGGCGCCATTTGTGATTCCGAGATGAGCTCTGACGCGAATGGTCCTCCCCTCCCACGCCCGTGTGTTGCAGGTACGTGGTCACGAGTTCTGGGTTAGTGCTGCCCGTGCTGCTGCCTCGGCTCTACCCGCCGCTCTTCATGCTCTACGCTCTGGACAACGACCGCGAGGAAGACGTGTACTGGGAGTGTGTCCTGCGACTGAATAAGCAGCCCGACCTGGCGCTGCTGGGCTTCCTCGGGGTGCAGAGGTGAGCACGGGCGTCCTAAGAGGGGGCACTGTGGACCTGCCCCGCACTTCTCTTCTTACTTAGGAGAGGGTGATGCTTCCTAATCTGGATGTCTGAGACTACTTGGAGGTTAGGATGAAACCTGCTCCTTCTTCGGAATGCGTGATTCATGTTTACATATGAATTCAGCATGAGTCACATCACCTGTGGCTTTATGTTTGTTTAAAGCAAACAATGTACGCACTCTTTGGTATTCTTCCTCCTTCTCTTGCCTTCATCTCATCTGTAACTTTTAATTAAAGCTCTTTGAAGTACTCTTTTTATTGTAAGACACTATTTCTTGTTACTCCAGAGCGGGGGTGGGCAACAGCCAGCCCGTGAGCTGTAGGAAGCCCATGAAGGCATTTGGCCTGGCCCTGCCAAGGCACCCGCAGGTGGGACTCAAAATTCAGTACATCCACCGCAGGCTTATTTTATCATTATTAATACCCGAATGGCCTTTGGCAGGAGCAATGCCTTGCCCCTCCCCCTCCCCGCCAATGCTGATCGATTGTGCTTTGTTTCTAGTGTGTTGATAAAGCTGACCCTCCCCTCAACCAGTAATTACACGTTTGTGCTGTCAGAACAAAGTAAAGAAGCCTTAGCTGGAAGGGGCATTTTTCAGTGAAACAACTTAGTGAGATAAAACTCCTGGATGGATTTTGGGCAGTGTTCGCTAACCCTTGTGGTGTAGATGTATTGGAGTGTAGAATGAGAAACCCTTTAGGAATATGACAGAAACTCTTAAATTGTGTCTGGAATATCTATTAAAACTTCACCTCTCTGTGGAGCACTGATTCTTAATGGGGCCAGGGCAGCCAGTGCGGCTGTCAGTTGTTTTTGTGGGCATTCATCTACCATCAGTCACAACCTACAGTAATATTTATGGATTCCATTGTAGGAAATTTTGGCCAGTGACCTTGTCGATCCTTGGAGAGAGTAAAAAGGTACAGTAGTGATTACTTTCCTCAGCAAATGTACTTTTCTTTGGTGCGAAAGATTCGAGATGGCAAAAGTTCGTGTTTTATTTGGGTAGAACGCACCGCACTGTGCTGGTGTCGGTTGCTCTGCCACTGACACCATGGATTTTACTGTTGTTGCAAAAGACAGCTGTCTTCATTGACCCCCACGGGTTCCCTTTCTGCAGGTTTTACCAACCACAAAAGATGCTTGTTTTGCGTCAGCAGTGGAATGTCTGCAGCAGATCAGGTAATCCCCGATTTGTTGAAAAATCACCCAAATCAAAGTGGGGGTTAATCTATTAAGATATTAATAAGCTCTCAGCTTTACCTAAGCGCCAGAGGGTGTCAAGTGCAGCCTGCAGGTCGGAGGGGCTCCCAGGAGGCATCTGGGTGGTCTTTCCGGCAGGCAGCCCTTCCCTTGTATTCTCCTTTCCCTTTGTAAAGATTGGTTTGTTTGAAAGGCAGAGTGACAGCAGCAGAAACAGATCTTCCATCTGCTGGTTCAGTCCCAAGATGGTTGCTACTGCCAGGGCTGAGCCGGGCCAAAAGTCAGGAGCCTGTGACTCCATCCGGGCCTCCCACAGCGGTGCAGGGGTCCATGTGCTCAAGTCATCATCCAGCGCCTTCCCAGGCGCATTAGCAGGGAGCTGGGTTGGAAGCTGGACAGGGGGGACGGGAACCAGCACTGCAATTTGGGGTGCCCGCGTGGCAGTGGAACTGGCTGTGCCACAGCGCTGGCCTCCGTTTCCATCTTCAGAGGGCCAGGGAGCCCATCCAGGCACTTCATCCGTATAATCCAGTCTTTAGCCAGACGGGAATTACACAGACATGTCCCTCAGAAAATAGCACGTGCTGGGAGAATGAGGTTCTGCCTGGATCCAGAAGCTGACGTGTGACGTGTGCCTCCTTCCCTTCCCTGTGAACTGCGACGGGTGTGGGCGCAGGTGCGGGCACTCCTGGGTCACAGAGGCCATCCCCCACCTCCCACCCCCACTGCCCGTGTGCCTGCGGTCTCCACTGTCAGGCCCATGAGCCCCAGGCAGGGACGTTGTCAGCAGTGATCGAGAAGTGGCTTGAGACAATCACAGGAGCCCTTTCTCATCTTTCTCATTTATGTTCGAACGGCAGCACGACATTCACCCCATCAGACAAACTGAAGGTCATACAGCAGACCTTCGAAGAGATCTCGCAGAGCGTCCTGGCCTCGCTCCAGGAGGACTTCCTGTGGTCCATGGACGACTTGTTCCCTGTTTTCCTGTACGTGGTGCTGCGGGCCAGGTGAGCGCCTTCCTGATGCCCCTTAGTGGGCGGTCGTGTCAGCGGGTCTGCTCTGCCTCCTCTGAGCTGACGAGGGGAGTCCTCTCCCACGAGAAAAAGTCCGCTCCTCTGATCCCCTTCCAGCGCGGCGCCGCCCCGCCCCGTTGAGCCGTTCGGCCTTCTCCCAGCAGAGGAGAGGAGGAGGGTGGACATGTGAGCGTCTCCTTTTCTTTCGGGCAGGATCAGGAACCTGGGCTCTGAGGTGCACCTCATCGAGGACCTCATGGACCCGTACCTTCAGCACGGGGAGCAGGGCATCATGTTCACCACCCTGAAGGTGAGTGTGGCCAGGGTTCCCGGTGGCGTCGAAGTCCGCCCGCCCTCGGCCTCGGCGGCGCCTGTCACGAACCCCTTTGGTCCTCGGGCAGGATATCCGGGCAGACATTCTTACACGCCTTTAGGGCTCCCGCGGGTGGGAGTTTAAACAGGGGTGGGGAAGCTTTGTTCTGCCAAGGGCCGTGTGCATATTTATAACATGACAGGGGCCACACGATGTGAGCAACCTAAAAACCAGCCTGTTGTAGGTGAGCTCACTATCAAGTCCCTTCTGTGGTTGCCTTGGCGAGGCCAGACCAGATGATTCCGTGGTCTTACGTGGCCCGCGGGCTGGACATTCCCCACCCCGGTTTAAAACATGCTGAGAAAGTAGGTTAAGTCAGTTGCGCTTCAGAACACTAAAGCAAGCTCTTCTTCCTGTCAGTTGATCTTTCGGTTTGTTACAAAGGCTTACGCTTACGTCAGTGATTATAACTCTAGAAAGGATTCTTAGCGTCCAGAAAGTTCTCAGCAGTAGTTATTAGAAATAAGGTAAAACCATCAGGCAGTATGTAAGTAACAGATTCGAGATCTGTCTTCTTTCTGTTGTCCGGTGTGTACTGTGAAAGGTTACAGACAAGGTCCTCTATCCGGGTGCCCTCTAGGGGTTCTTAGGAGTCGCTTCCATTTTCTTCCTCGGAAGAGCAGCACAGAGGGAGACTAGGCTCTGCCACTTAGTAGAGTGTTGTAGAACTACAATAGTTAAGGTAACAAAGTATGTTACTATCATAGGAACAGATATCCGAAAGAAAAGGATCAGCCCATTATAGACAGTATTATAATAAAAATTTCACATAAAAACAGAAACATCAAAATAGAAGAGAGGACTTATGTTTTGATTGTTTGTTTTTAAAGATTCATTTATTTGAAAGGGTTGCAGAGAGAGAGAGATAGAGATCTTCCATCTACTGGTTCACTCTCCACTCTCCACATGGCCACAACAGCCAGGGCTGGGCCAGGTCAAAGCCAGGAGCTTCATCCAGGTCTCCCACATGGGTGCAAGGGCCCAAGCACTTGGGCCATCTTGTGCTGCTTTCCCAGGCGCATTAGCAGGGAGCTGGACTGGAAGTGGAGCAGCCGGGACTCAAACTGGTGCCCATATGGGATGCCAGCGCTGCAGACAGCAGCTTTGCCCACTACACCACAAAACCGGCCCCAAGAGAGGACTTATTAATACATGGTGAAGCAAACTATTGTATACTGCATTATCACTTTTGGAGGAAGGATGTGGATTAAAGGAATTAATTGAAAACATTGTATCAGACACCTAGTAAAAAAGATGGGGTTTTGTTTGAAATTTGGAGGGCAAACCTATGGTGTTTTTATCTATGCTCATTACACAGCTAGGCAAGAAATGTAGCCATTGGATGGGGGCCTGGCACTGGAGCAGCAGGGAACAGTGAACGCAGCTGGGTTTGTGGGGCCCTCGGTGCTAACGCGGGTTAGGCTTGCTTTTGTCCCACGTGCATTGCTCTGTTTCCAGTTTCTTTCCAAGTAAACTTGGACTTGTTTTGGACTTTTTTCAGGCCTGTTACTACCAGATCCAGCGTGAGAAGCTTAACTAGGCTGCATGACAGCTTGAACACGGGATTATCTGCTCTGACAGTGCGATCGCACCAGCTGGAGCCTCCTTCGCGGCAGAGAGCAGGTGGAAGTTGGAAAGGACGTTGTGCTATTTCAGTTGTCGTTTCTGAGCCTTACCAGTAATCACAGCCCTGAGGCCGGCTGGGGGCGGGGGGTGCGGGGGGGAGACTGAGTAGTTTAAAGGGAGGATGGAAAAGGTGGTAGACAGCCGTGAAACCAGCCCTTGGCCCGTGTTAAGTTCCCGACCTACCACACATCCCGTATTTGGAAAAAGAGGCAGTAAGGGCACATCAGTGCCACGGAGCTGGAAGAGAAGTTCCCGGCGTGGCTTCTTACATTAAAGGAGTTGATGAGTATTTTTGAGTTTCTGGTTTGCCTGAACCCATCTGCAGTTACCCCAGGTCCCTTTGCAAGGGCCAGACTGTACTGGACAGCATAGCAGCCACGCTATGCCTTCCTGAATCCTGCCCTATCCCGTGTGCAGCACGCTTCGCTGAGGGAGGGGAGAGATGAACTTTCAAACTGCAGATTTAACGTTTGTGAAGCTTTTCTACCAGGGTAGTCATGATGGGAGTGGTTCCGAGCAGTGGCTACAACGGCCTGACCCCCCCATACGTAGACTGCATCCAAGAACATAGGAAGTGTGGCTTTTCCTTCCTCCCTGTGCTGCACGGAGTGAATACACTGGAATCCCAACGCTGCCAGGGTGCTGCACACGTGTCCACGCACGAAGGCCGTGTCCCGAGGCCCGCTCACGCTTGCAGGCTGTGTTGTGGAGCAGGGCTGAAGATTGGGAAAGACGGAAGCAAAGACTCGCACGGTCGCAGCCTCGTGCCGTGGGTCTCCCCACATTACCTCGCACTGAACTCACGGACGGGAAGTCAAAGCAAGGAAGCAAGCTTTGAGCGCCTCCCATCTCACAGGTGTTGTGGCTCCTCGACATTTTAGGGTTTTGCTTTTTTTTTAAACATGCCGTATTTGTATTGTCCTGTCAGTTTACACTGTCACACTGGGAGTCACACTGGGAGCTGTTTCAGGTCACAGGTGCTCCCCTCGTCTCATCTCCACTCCACGGTGAGCGTTCGCGCGAAGTGACTCAGCAGACGTTCATGACATTGGAAAAGGATCATGGGTTCCGCTCTACTTTATAATCAAGATAAATGTTCGTTAAACACTGTTTCGGAGTGGTGGCTGTAATGGAACAGCAGTTTTCGTAATAAAAGATGTTGATCTTTCTGAGCTTGTTGTATGATTGCAGAGCAAACGACCCAGGGCAGCCTGGACAGCGAAAGGAAACCAGGCTTAGTATTTCTTTTGCCCACGTTGTAATTCATGCCTCTCTGTTCTGGGCCCAGAGGTGCCTGGTGGGTATTAGAGCGTGCCCTCTGTCTTCTCCAACACCCTCCCCCCTCCTCTCTCTAAAATAAACACAAACTGATTCATAGCACCTTTGCTGACACAGAATAAATTAACTTTCCAATCAAACAGCCTAAGGACAAGCGTCGTCAGGAACTCTATTAGTCCTTTAAATCAGAGGCCTAGTTTCATTGGTGCTAGTTATTTTTCCCCCTCTCCTAAACCGTCAGGCAAGGGAGAAGTAGGAGTTTAAAATTCTGGCTAGGGGCCGGCGCTGTGGCCTGGCTGGTTGAGCTGCTGCCTGCAGTGCTGGCACCCATATGTGCACCAGTTCAAGTCATATCACTTGGCAGGGGAGGGGTAGTGGGGGTTCTTTTAAGGGTACTTTAAGAAGCTCCTGGAAAGTGGAATTAAAAGATAAATTTGTTTTGGTGCAAAAAATATTGAAATCCATACATATGATGGGGTCTTCAAAAAGTCCTTAGAAAATGTGTATTATGAAAAACCTTTGCATTGATTTCAATGGTTTTTGCACTAAAATAAGTCATTTTTTCCATTCTTCCATGAACTTTTTGAAGTACCTTCAAATACAGGAATGGACAAATAAAACCTTTGTCCATTTCAGCCAAATGTGCCTACTAAGAAATTCTTAAATGGTGACCAGCTGCCTTAGTTTTTTTTTGTTTGTTTGTTTGTTTTGTGTAAGATTTTATTTATTTGAGATGCAGAGTTAGAGAGAGAAACAAAGTCTTCTGTCTGCTGGTTGATTCCCTGTGGCTGGAGCTGGACCAATCTGAAGTCAGGAGCCAGGAGCTTCTTCTGGGTCTCCTGTGTGGGTGCAGGGGCCCAAGCACTTGGGCCATCTTCCACTGCTTTCCCAGGCCATAAGCAGAGAGCTGGATTGGAAGAGGAGCAGCCGGGACTCGAACTGGTGCTTGTGGGATGCCAGTGGCACAGGTGGAGGCTTAGCCTGCTCCCACACAGCGCCAGTCCCTTGCTGACTTAGGTCTAAGCACGTGTTACAGTTCGTCCTTTCTCTGGAGCCTTCAGTGAGACTGGTTACTTCATACCGGAGGGGCTTCCTACTACATTGATACTTTCCAGATACTGTATTAAAATGATAAATTTGCAAGTCTCAGAACACAGCTGCAGGTTGATGTCTGAAAAGAGAAATGTCTGGCACTCTTGCCGCCTAGGCGGGTCTTGGACGTGCAGGAGGAATGCTCACAGCAGCCTGGGGGGCCAATGCAAACCCCCTTTCTACCATTTTGCAGGTAAGGACTGGCAGTGATTTGCTCGCTCCCAGGGCTGAGCCTCCACCTTGGAGCTTTTCTAATCTAACCCTAACGCTCTTCCTTACCATGGCTGCTGGAGCTGGCATTGCAGGTAGGGTTGTGCACTGAAAGATCTCAAGGTAAAAAAAGAAAATGTTAAAATGAAAACTTCATTAGAATTAAAAGCTTTGGATAAAATGTACTGTGTGTGCAAAGCATTGCCAGATGTGTGTATTCCCAGCTGTGTTTTCATCTGCAGAGGAGAGAGAAGGAGACTTGTTTAACTTGGGATAGAGTCGATGATGAACTTGTTTGGTCTCTACCTTGGGCCTTGCTGTCGTCAGTAGCCCTTCTCTTGCACTTTCTGTGATCCCTGCCTCCAGATGGTCTCCCCACAGCCCAGGCCCTGCAGCAGAGAATTTTCACATAAAGTTAGACGCTTGGTTCTCTGTCTCCACAGGTTCCACACCTGGGGATTCAACCAACTGTGGATAGAATATATATATATACACACACACACATACACACACACCATCACACACACACATATATAAAGATTTATTTATTTATTTAAAGAGGCAGAGGTTGAAAGAGAGAGAGGTCTTCCATCCACCTGTTCAGTCCCCAGATGGCTGTGACAGCCAGAGCCGGGCTGATCTGATGCCAGAAGCTTCTTCTGATTCTTCCACACGGGTGCAAGGGCCCAAGGACTTGGACCATCTTCTACTGCCTTCTGAGGCCATAGTAAGGAGCTGGGTTGGAAGTGGAGCAGCCGGGACTCCAACAGGCGCCCATATGGGATGCCACATGCAGGGGGCGGCTTTACCTGCTACGCCACAGTGCCGGCCCAAAACTATATTTTTAAAAAATTGCTTCTGTACTGAATAGAGATGGTGTTTGCATTATTTCCTAAATCATACATTATAGCAATTTAAGTAGCACTGCCATTGTATTGGATAAATAATCTAGAAGTGATTCAGAGTTTAGGGGAGGATGTGCATTGGTTGTGTGCAAATGCCGCACCATTTTATGCAAGAGACTGGAACAATCCCAGTGCCAAGGGATGCCCGTGACTCCAACCGGAGACAGGGTGAGCTACCTGCTGGTAGCTTGTGAGCCGATGCCAGAGGAGCTGCTTCTGGAAGGCCTCACCATTGTGGGCTGAGGGGCTTCCCTCGTTGACTCACGGGAATGTGAGGATGTTAAGGCTGATGGTGGCTAACACCAGGTGCATCCACAGTGTTTCTTTCATTAAAACAACATGTGTACTTTGTTATAGGGGTGAGGGGGTTATAATCCTAAAAGAGCCAACAAAAATGTTGTTTTTGGTATTAACTGTGTATTGGCAACTTGAGAAAGAAAAGAGGAGGTGAAGATTGAAAATGATACAAATGAGAGTTTTCAGTGCAAGGCCCACTTAAGAAGATTTGTGACAGGGCAGATTTAGGAGTCATTTCCTGGTTAGGCCGGGCTGGGGCCACGGATTAAGTCAAAGAGGATGTGCAGAGAGTTTATCTGGAGCAGCGAGGTGACTTTGGCAGCTAATAGCCAGCTCGTGTTTCCTACTAAAGCTTGTGTCTGTGTGGGCGCAACAGTGCAGGTGTGCAGTCTTGCAGGTAAGTGATCTCGCCAAATAATCCTCGGGTACCAGCCGAGAATCCTGCGATGGTCTGGCTTGTCTGGCTAATTTTAATAGCTGAAGGTAGAATTCTGGGTAATCTACTACAAGCGGTTTAGTTTCTTGGTAATCCAGGCTGTCTGGAGAATTTTATTATTTTAGAAGAGCAGGCTTTATTTGGGAAGCTGTTTCCTGAGTACGGAATAAAGAGTTGTCATGGAGATCGAGTAAAATGGAGAATTCATCCTTGTCCACAACATTTGGACCCAGAGGAAGCTGCTCTTATGGGTATGGGTCATTTCTTGTCGTCAAAACTTCAAGTACTTTGTCAGGGTTTGTCTGGTAAAAAGCTTTATCTTGAAAAGCAAGCATCCTAGGGGTAGGGGGTAGGGTCATTCAATAATCAGTGTATTTTTAAAAGCCAATGGGAGTGCTGATTTTTAAAGTAACGTTTAGGACCAGTTCTTCAGAGTCAGGTACCCTAGTGCAGCTTCTGAGTCAATGCCAAGAACTGGCCGTCCCTCCCGAGTCACTTAATCGGCCTCAGCTCACGTGTGGTTGGCTGATGCCTCGCTTGCAGGCTCAGTCCAGAATTCTTGTTCTCTGGACAGCAGACACGGCTCCATCCTAGTTGACAAAGACGGTCCAGAGACCCTGAGAGGGAGGGAAGGGGAGACCTTGACCTTGTACTGGCTAGTTCTCCAGAATACCTCATTGACTGTCAGGTTTGCTCTCTTCGGAATGAAGGTGTTGCATCTGGTTACCTTTAAGATCCCCCTCAGCCCCTGATTTTACAGCTGGGTGGAGAAGGAGGTTAAAGTCGGTGAACCAGGGTAGGGAGAAGAGGAGGGGCCAAGCTGCCTCCTGGCTCAGGTTTCCGGTCCCAGCTGCTTCCAAGTCCCTGGGAGAGGGCCCAAGCTTTTCCTTCCATTTCTGGGCCTCCTGTTTCTCTACCCCTTTCCAACAAGAACTGAACATCGGGAGGCCTTGCTATGGCCAAGCACCTGGGCAGGTGAGGCCACGCCGTGCACAAGACAAAGCCTCTGCTCCCCAGGCGTGACACACACAGGCCAGCGGGCGAGTTTATGAATGAGAGAATTGGGAAGCAGAGGGGCTGCGAGGACATTAATTCACAGCTGTTTTCGTAGCCTCCTGGAGGGAGGGAAGACCGTTTTCTTTCGATGAGTTGTGTCTTAGTGTGGGCTGCCATAACAAAATGCCATGGCCAAGTGGCTTGAACTGCAGACTGACTTTAGCACAGCCCTGGCGGCTGGAAGTCTGGAGTCTGAGTTCTACTGAAGGCTTCCCGGCTTGCAGATGGCTGCTTTCAGGGTGGGGGGTGTGTCCTGGGGGCGCTAATGCCATCATGAGGGCCCTGCTCATGAACTCACCTAAACCTAATCATCTTCACCGTGTGACTTGGGGGTCGGCAATATAGTCCGTGGTAAATTTGCCACAGAAAACTGAAGATGTCCAGGTGTGCACGGTTTTTAAGAGTTCGCCTATGTTATGGGGATTGAAAATGACGGTTTCCACCTCTGTAAGTGAGAAGCTTTGGGTCAGGATGAGCTGTTTGGAATATGTGAATGAGTGAGTTATCCGGCTGCCCCAAGCTTGGCTGTAAATGGGTCAGAAGCTGTTTAGTCTGAGCAGCCTCATCCAGGATGTGTGACGTGTGAGATGCGCTAGAGTAACAGAATTTTAGGAGATTGCCTGGCGCCAGCCCCGTCTGCTGCTCTGATTTGCCTGGTGGGCTGTCCATCTCCCTGTCCGATTCCCCACCCTCCCCTCCCTAAGGAAGACAAGTCGTTATTTGCCACTCTTGCGCTCAGTGATGCAACTGAGGCTTAGAAAGCAGAACACAGGAAAAGGTATGGTTTCACCTGACTCAGTTGGGATGGGGCAGGGCAGATGGTGGGGCAGCAAGGCAAAAGCACAGTGCTACCAAGTCTACCAAAGATCCAGAGAACTGGAACGTGGCATTGAGCCTGGGAGGGAGTGTATGGGAGAGTTGTGGAGCATTCCATACCAGCATTCTTGCTTCCACTTAATTCTGATCTCTCTTTCTTTTAGACAGAATCTACGTAGTTTCTAGAGAATGCTTCTCAGCTCGTTCAGGTTCAGTACTCCAGACTTTAGCAACTAACTGGAAGTGCTGCTTTTAAAAGACATTGGCATTCGTTCTTTATTATCCTGGTATAACAAATGGTGTTGGTACCTCACCCATACATATCTTGTCCTCACCAACTTCCACCTGCCGAAGCGTGCACTTGCTATCTGACCGTGTCCATAGCAGTGCCAGGAGTAATGCTGTCTGGGAGGAGCCCCCGACCAATGACTGGCAACGTTGGTAGGCAACCAGCCCTTGCCCTTGACCCTTGTCCCTCCATGGGATTGAGCTCCACTTGCCCAGGTGGTCCCCCGGTTGATGACACACCTTCTCCTGGCTACCCCCCTTTCCTGCCGCAACACCCCATGCCCCACTGCTGTTTCCTGGGATTCCTTCCCAAATAAGCAGCCTGCACTAGAATCTTGGCTGTGTGTCTGCTGCTGGAAGAACCTTGACTGAGAACCTTGACATAATTTTTTGGTAATGATAAAAAGCACAAATGAAAGAAGCATAGTTGATAAGACATCGTCTACTTTAGGTGTAAATATGGAACATCACTACCCCAATGAAAGAATGAACTAGCACCTGTCTGAATCTGTGAAGATCCAACAGGGAATGCAGGGGCGGACATAGCTTGATTGTGGGATGTGTTAGAGAATCCCCTAAATGCTACAAGCAGTGCTGCGCATCATGACATAATTTTATGGCTTGGGAGCAGTTTGGTAAGGTTTAAAGCAGAACAAAATAAATGTATTTCTCGATGCTGGTAGCAAACCAAGTTCAATGTACATTAACACTGAAAAAATGTTGTGTTTATACACAATGAAAAGTTGGATTCTAGGTTCAGACAATTGTAGCTGCTTTTTTTCCCCTGAGGGGGTCATTTGAAAGTTATACAGGGCGTGATTCCTCATTGTGTAGGACAACTTCTGGAAGACTTCCTTACACAGCAGTGGGCTGAAATGTAGGAGTGATGGCTGGAGCTTCAGCCACCATCTTGGAGAAAGTGGGTGAAAACAATATGACTCCGCTGGGTGGTGAAGCTGTGAGCTAGAAGAAGTCTATTCCCTGATGACTTCCTGGAACAGGGCTACCCTTCCAGCCCTGGGTCGCCTCTGCCTTTGAACTTTTACATGAGCCAGATACAAGGGGATCCAAAAAGTTCAGGGAAATGGAATTAAAACATAAGTTTGTGTGACTGCAACACAATTTTCAAAGGCCCTTCCTAGTTTTCTCACAGTATACACCCTGCATGGCCGTTGTGCAGTTAGTTCACTTGTGCAGCATTACTTGTCACTTGTTTAAAAGCTAGGCGGCGGGGTGGGTGGTTTTACAAAGCTAGTGCTGGTGAGTTGAGATTTGCCACTGCCACAGTGTTTCAAAGCCAGCAGGGTTTGATTTGCTGTCCATCCCAGGGCACAGCTTGGTGCTCGGCTTGCTCAGCCGCGTGCTGAGAGCTGCGTGGCCGGTGTGGCTGCGTGTGCTGCGTGCTGTGTGTGACGCCTCTGCTTTCCAGAGCTGAATTCCTTTCGGAGCCCAGGCAAGGGAGGATGATACAGTCAGACAGAGGAGCAGCTCCGCCGGACAAGGACAGGAAGCTTTCTTCAGCAGCCAAGTCGGAAAATGGTAGGTGTCGCCTGGGTTTCTTTAGACCACAGAAGCTTTACAATTTCACTATAAATATGTGCTCAGTGAGTGGAAAGAACTCCTGATGGGTGTGCTGTGATCCCTACAGGGATTCATCGTGCAGATTTGATTGCACTGCTACAAATTCTCGTAAGTTGGAGAGCAATTTTCGAGGAAAGAAATCAGCATGGTGGATTTAGAGCCCTTTGGCTCCCTGCCCTACAGTATTTTATTATAATGTAGAGCAGGGGTGGGGATTGTGTCTCAGCAAGTTGCACCCCTACCTGGGATGTTGGCATCCCATACGGGAGCACCAGGTTGAGCCTGCTCTGCTTCTGATCCAGCTTCCTGCTAGTGCAGCTTGGGAGGCAGCAGAAGACAGCCCAAGTGCTCGGGCCCTGCCACCCATGTGAGAGACGCAGGTGGAGTTCCCAGCCCCAGCTGTTGGGGGCATTTGGGGAGTGAACCAGTAGACAGAAGATTGATTCTCTCTCCCTCCTCTTCTCCCTCTCCCCTTTTCTCTCCCCCCAATAGATGAAAATAAATATACATTTAAAAAAAATCTTGGAGGCCGGCGCCGAGGGTCACTAGGCTAATCCTCCGCCTTGCGGCGCCGGCACACCGGGTTCTAGTCCCGGTCTGGGCACCGGATTCTGTCCCGGTTGCCCCTCTTCCAGGCCAGCTCTCTGCTGTGGCCCAGGAGTGCAGTGGAAGATGGCCCAAGTGCTTGGGCCCTGCACCCGCATGGGAGACCAGCTCCTGGCTCCTGTGCACTGGCCGCAGCAGCCATTGGGGAGTGAACCAACGGTAAAGGAAGACCTTTCTCTCTGTCTCTCTTCTCTCACTGTCCACTCTGCCTGTCCCCCCCCCCAAAAAAAAAAAAATCTTAGAACCGTACAACTTGTTCACATTAAAAATATCACTATAAAAATAGAATTTCTATGAAAACCTTTGTTGAAAAATCAAGCATTCACTAAAATCCATTGAGTCCTCCAATCAGTAGAAGCTGAGTTTGTCCTAGAAACCATTGGTACTTTCAAGGACATTTGCACTAAGAATTTTCAGAAAGGGCACAAACAAATGACGTGATGGTTGAGCTGGAGAAAGAGGATACGGAAAACAAGATTATTCTGGGATGCAGCACAGGCCTGGAAGATGGGGACAGGGAAACAGTCACATTATGCTATTGAAACCTTCCATTTGATGTCCTAATGTTATTTACGCTAATAATAGCAACAGCTCTACAAGAAAGCCCATGAAATTCTTTCAGGAAGTTCATGGAAAAGTGGAATTGAAAGATAAGTCTATTTTGGGGCAAAAAAAAAATTGAAGTCCATGCATAGTTTTTTTCAGGACCCACATTTTCCAAGAATGTTTTGTATTCTCATTTGGCCACAGGAAACTGGGTTCCAGAGGCTTGTGCGACTTTTTGAAGTTCCCACAGCAGGCGATGGGCTAGGGTGGGAAGCCAGATCTTTTGGGCCTAAATCCAGGGTTGTTTCTACTCCTCCCGAGACCGTAAGGCATGCCCCAGGTGTCTGAGTTGCCCTCTGCGATTGTATCTGCCTCTCTTGCCACGCCTGCCTACCACCTGCTCTCCGCGCTCTTTCCCTAGGCCTCTCCCACATCCTGAGGCTGGTGCTGCGAGAGCTGAGTCTGTTCTACAGCCGCGACGTGAACGGAGTGTGTCTCTTGTATGATCTCCTGCACTCCCCATGGCTGCAGGCTCTGCTGAAGGTGAGCGCCCCTTTGCTGGGAAGCCTCTGCTTACGGTGCAGGTAGGAAAACCATACCGTAGTCCATTCAGGCTGCTCTACCCAAGTGCTGCAAACAGGTGGTTGGAAACAAGAGACAGTTATTTCTTATGGTTCTGGAAGCTGGGCCTTGGACTCAAGATCAAGGCGTTAGCAGACCTGGTGTCTGCGGAGGGCTCGGCTGTGGTTCACAGAGGGTGAACCCCCATGGTGCATGGGGCAGAGGTCTCTCTCGGGCCCTAATCTCATCCGTGAGGGCTGCATCCTCGCAGTCTGATCACTCCAAAGACTCCACTGTCTGATACCACTGTCTCCGGGGTGGGGGGAGTGGTTACAGCACATGAATTTGGGGGTACACAGACATTTGGGCCGTAGCCACTACTCACTCAGTGATACCACTTGTCAGCTGACGGGAGAGTTCAACTTGGAGAAAGTGTTTGGAAGACAGTCCTCAGAGAGGAGCTGCACACAGCACCTAGGAAGGAAATGGCTTAGGTGGAAAAGACTATGCACCCCTGTCTTTTTTCTCCCTGCACCCCTGTTTCCTCCCACAGCCCTGGGATCACAGAGCACCCACCATGGTGGCATCAGCAGCAGCTCATCAGCTGCATGCAAGACTTGGTCCTTGAGGCCAGCTCTGAACGAACCAAAATGCTTTATTTCTTTCCTTTTAACATTTATTTGAAAGGCAGAGAGAGAGAGAGAGAGAGAGAGAGAGATTGTCCATCTGCTGGTTCACTCCCCCAAATACCTAGAATAAGCAGAGGTGGTCCAGGCTGAGGCCAGGAGCCAGTAACTCAATCTCCCATATGGATGGCAGGGACCCGAGGCCTTGAGTCATTCTCTGCCCCTCCCAGGTGTGCATTAACAGGAAGCTGGTTTGGAAGCTCAGTAGCCAGAATGCGAACCAGGCACTCAATATGGAATGCAGGTGTTCAAAGCAGTGCCTTGGGCCAAAGGCCTGCCCCAACAAAAATGCTTTCAAAAAATGATTCCTCTTTACTAAATTTGGAGAGTGAGAACTTAATGCTTCTGTTGAGGAATCTCAACGTTTTCTCTCCCAAATATTTCTTCTTCCTTTTTCATTTGGCTAAAATTGCATACTCAATACCATAGACTCTCCTAAGCAGGAGAGCTCCTGCCATAATCTTGTTGTTCTGAACAAATGTGATGAAGAAAGATTCTTTTGAAGTTGTTTCTGAAGGTGTAGGTGTTTCCTTCATGTAAATGTGAAATGAGAGCAGTTAATATTATAAATTATAAATTCTATATATAAATTATAAATTCTATGTATTATAAATGAGAGCAATTAATGACACGTGTTAAAATCATATTCTGAAACAGCAGCATCCTTAGCAAGATCAAAAGAGTACTTGGGTCATGTGTTTTCAAGCACTTGGTTTCTCCCAGCTACTTTGCCTGCAGGATCGACTCAGACAGGAATCGCGACTTTGTTCTGGCCATAGCTCTTGCTCGCCACAAGGGATCTTTGTGCTCCCTGCGTCACCAATCAGCCTCCACCACCTCCAGGTGGACTTGAGCGCTGGCCCGCGGGTAGAGCAGGGAAGTGAAGCCACCACAGAGGCGGACGGGGGAGGCTGGGCTGAGCCAGGCCCACGGGGCCTCAGGCCTCCACCTGTCTGAGAAGCGCCACTTGAAATGCAAGGTTAAAGGCTGCGCTGCAGAGCGAGGCAGACTCGGATGTACTCAGCCCACCTCTAGACCTTGGTATGGAAAAAAATTCCCAGGATTAGCAGAGAGGAAGTTGGGATTTTTAGAATGCATCTTCACTGGAGAATTAAGGGGGGAGTGGGAAATGGCTGGCCGCAGAGATCAGAGCACAGAGGAGCGGCGGTGGTGTGCCCAGCCTGTAGAGCCCTGGCTGACCCCTAGGCACTGCACTCATGCCTTGTATGGTGCAAGGGGCCTCACAGGGCTCCCCAGAAAGACCCTCCCTTGAGATGCCACTTTGAGCACTGCCTATAAATCCCAGCTGCTCTGAGCCCCAGAAACCCTACCCACACCCAGCTTGACAAACGTTTGGATTTCTGTTTATCAGTGAAATCGCACGGGGAGGCTCAGCTTCCCGGGGCAGCCAACCATCTCGCTGCGGAAGCCTGGCAGCCACTGAGTGCCTCTCTCTCTGGCCACTGGAGCCCCGCCTGAGCGCAGACCTGTCCACCCCATGTGTCGACGGCTCCGGCAGCTGTCCGGGCCGCATCTCCCCTTTGGCAGCCTTTCGTTCCAAACGTGACCCGTGCCCTGAGCGCCATCACTTCTCCCGCCCTCACCTTTCTGCAGGTGTATGACTGCCTCCAGGAGTTCCAAGAGAAGAAATTGGCTCCCGCCACGCACCACGCACAGGCATTGTCCCGCGAGGTAAGCTTGCCTCCCCTCGGGATAGCAGAGCTGTGGCTCACCTGCCGTGCTGGCCCCAAATCAAAGGCCCCAGTGGAAGCATTTCACTGATGAGTATGCATCTTAGTAAGTGTTTGTCATTGAACTTGAATATAAGGGAGAAAATTAGCTGGCTATTTCCCCAAATTAAAACAGAAAACTCCCACATTGTTAACATGTATCTACTGACCTCCTTTTGTCCCTAAACCTTGTACGCAACTTGCCAGTGTAGACAGAGTGGTACTATAGTAATGATTTCTAAATTTATAATTCTATTTTTGGAAAGATTTATTTATTTAAAAAACAGAATTAGAGAGAGAGACAGAGAGAGAGAGAGAATCTTCCACCCACTGGTTTACTTCCCAGGTGGCTGCAACAGCCGGGGCTGGGCCAGGCCAAAGCCAGGAGCCAGGAGCCTCTTCTGGGTCTCCCATGTGGGTACAGGGGCCCAAGAACTAGGGCCGTCTTCTGCTGCCTTCCCAGGTGCACTAGCAGGGAGCTGGATTGGAAGTAGAGCCGCCGGATCTTGCACTGGTGCCCATGTGGGACGCCAGCACCGCAGGCAGCAGCCTTACCGAGCAAGCCACAGCAGGGGCCCAGTACATTCATGACTCTAACCCTGAAGCGTGGTCTCAGCTGTTCATCTGCCCCCTCCCCACGTGACTTGGGAGTTTACTGGATGCCTCCAGCTCGGTGTGTCCGCCCCACCCACTCCGCTCGCGGCCCCTTCCAGCTCAGTGACGGCACCGCTGTTCTGTGGCCCTGGGTGAAGAGCTGAGTCTTTCCCTCACACCCATGCCAGTCTGAAGGCGAATCCTGTCGGCTCTACCTTAAAGCACACCCAGACCCTCACCGCCCAGGCCCCCAGTACAAGCCATGCTCATCTCTTCCACAGATAGTCACTCTGTAGCCTCCTGCCTGGTGTCCTGGTCTACCCGCGCCCCCTGTATTCCCAGTGTAGCAGCCAAAGTCAGTCCGGCCTGTCACTTCTCCACTGGAACCCTTCCCACGTCAGAGTAAATACTGAAATTCTTATACAACTGAGCTGCCAGCGCTTCTTTGACTTGACATTCACCACTCTCTCTGGCTCACTCTGCCCCAGCTATATTGGCCCCTTGTGGTTCTTTAAATTCATCAGATGTGCTCCTGCCACAGGACCTTTGCACTTGCTATTCCCTGTGTCACTAATGCTTTGCCCATGCACCCACACAATTTTCTCCCTCATCTCCACTCAGGCATCACTTGCTCACTGGGACTTTTCCAGGTCATGTGCCTAAAATTACATCCCTTCCTCGTACTCTCTCGGCACCTGCTTTTATTTCTAATTATCCTTAACTCTTCTCACCATCAAACAAAAAGTATTTTTCTTGTATATTTTATTTACTGTCTGTGTCTCCTGATTGCCCTGCCACCTCCGTGAGAATGGAGGTTTTTGCTGCCTGCTCACTGCTGTTCTATGTCACCTAAGGCGGTGCCCTGCATGTAGCTGGTGCTCAATAAATATTTTCAAATAGATTAATAAAAGTAATCCATTTTATTATTATTCATTGCCCAAACCATATTAAGAGGAATGGAAAAATAAAACCAGAAAGTTAAGCCTTGACCCTCAATTCTGGCAATCAACAACTCGGTTTGTCCTCAGCTGTCCAGAGAACGTGCGCACATTTCATTCTCCTGTCACTCTAGTGAGGGAAGCGAACGCTCTGTGAGCTGCTTGTTTTCATGGCCGGACGTCGTGGTGCTGCACTGCCCGAAACCCCTGGGGCTGATGTCCTCCCAAAGCACGTCCACGACGAAGCTGCGGCAAAGAGAGCAGAGTGTATTTTATTAGCACTTTTAACCATTGCAACTAACATGAAAATCGCTAGTTGAATGATACATTCTGAAATAGAAAAACATGTTAAATGTTTATTTTCATCTACTTGATAGGCAGAGTCACACACATGTGCATGCACACACCCCAAACACACTCACACATGATCTTCCATCCACTGGTTCATTCGCCAAATGCCTGTACCAACCGGGGCTGGGCCAGGCTGAAGCCAGGAGCCTGGAAGTGCATCCAGGTCTCCCTCTGGGTGGTAGGAGGATGACCTGTGTCACGTACACTGTCACAGCCTTGATCAGTTCTTTCTCCTAGGCTGTGATGTGCCGGGGCCAGGCACTTGGGTTTAGATCCACTCCAAACACAGGTCTGACCTCCCGTAGCAGACTGGAAGGATGAGAGAGGAATCTGACTTAAAGACAAAAGAGGCTTCGGAGCTGTGTTTCTTAGGTCAACATCATGTTGGTCGGCGTGTCTGTTATCTAACCTCGATCTGGTTAACTAAGTGATGGAGATTTTTTAACGTTCCATAATGCATGCTTTTCATGAACCAGGTGCTGGAGCTATTACGGGAAGCCCCGAACTCCCCTGAGAACCAAGAGCTGAGACGGATCCTCCAGGCTCCACACTCCAAGGCAAGCGTTTGCCATAGCAGATCTGCCCGCCCGGCACACGGACAGATGGGGAAAGAAGAAACGAATGCGATTGAAAATACGCTCTCAGAATAAGTGTTCTAGTGTACTCAGAGCTGTGGGTCTCAGATGGGACCGTCTTAGTGCTGTCATTCATGGAGCTACACCCGCTGTATTTATGAGGAGGCATCCAGAACTTTCTATGGCGTCTTGTTTCCTTCACAAAGCTATTGTCCCTCTAAAATTCTGGTGGACAATCAGGAGAGCTTCCAGTAATAGAGGAATAACCTCCACACTTCCTTTCAGACGGGAATTTTAAAAAAAGATTTATTCATTTATTTCATTGAGAGAGCAATAGAGAGAATGAGAGGGAGAGGGGAGAGCGAGAGAGAGGAAGGAAGAGAGACAGAGAGAAGTCTTCCCTCTCCTGGTTCACTCTCCCAATGGCCACAACAGCTAGGTCTGGGCCAGGCCGAAGTCAAGTGCTGGAAACTCCATCCTGGTCTCCCACATGGGTGGCAGGGGCCCAAGCGCTTGGTCCATCTCACCCTGCTTTCTCAGGGTCCTAGGCAGGGAGCTGGTTTGGAAGCAGAGCAGCTGGGACTCAAACCATTGCTCCAGTGTGGGATGCCAGCACTGCAAGCAGCAGTTCACCTGCTTTGCCACCATACCGGGCCCTAAACTTGGGAAAATTTAGGTTTCGGATAAAATGGGTGATGGCGTTTGGAAAATATGATATCATGATGATTACCCATGTGAGGGGCATATGAGAAGACTTGATTATAGAATGAAAATTTAGATTTTTGAGATGAAGCTATCGATAAAAGGTTAAGAAGACATTTGCCTTTGGAGCAGGGGGATTTATGAGTCAAATGAGTAGTTTACAACATAAGCATGGATTATCAAATATCCTCAACAGCACGCATGACTTGGGGGATTTTCTGAGTTCCCTCTGAATTCTGTGCAGCAGTCTTCGGGCTGAGGAAGCTTCCGCACCTGGGAAATGAGAATGTGACACAATGGGCCGAGAGGGGGCGCTCTGATCCTACCATAAACAGACCTACCTCTCCTCGTTCTGTGCCACGTGGTGTTGCTGACAAATTAAGCCTGTGAGATGTTCTGATGACCACTCCCCATGCTGCCTCAGTTGGGGGAACTCTTACAGACGTCGTTTTGTAATTGGAACTCAATAGAAGTCCCGTGGCTGAGCTGAGCGTCTGGAAAATGAGAATGTCACAGGATGAAACGTGCTCGTGGGAATGAAAGAGGATGCTCTTGTTTCCTTCCTGGGAGACTGGGGCCATAAATGTCTCCGCCCCATGGGGTTACTGTAAAGGATGAATGAATCCACGTATAAGCTAAGGACCGCGCCCAGCACGTCCACGTGGGGTGTTGGTGCCGGGTGCCTGACACAGTACAGAGTCGCTGTCCTCTGCATGGGTGGGTCCCAGGTGTGGGTTCTGTTGACCTCTTCCTTTCCTGTTCCCAGGCCTTGCTCAGCGCCCATGACACGGTAGCTCAGAAAGATTTTGAGCCCCTTCTCCCCCCACTGCCTGACAACATCCCTGAGAGTGAGGAAGCAATGAGGATCGTTTGTTTGGTGAAAAACCAACAGCCCCTGGTAAGGAAGTGGGTTTACACTAGGGTTACTTGTGAACCTGGCTGTATCTAGAGGTTGCTTGGGCAATGTTCTTTTCTGTGGTCACACTGGTCACATGTCCAGGGATGTTAATGACTGCAAATGATATAGCCTTTTTTTTTTTTTTTTTTTGATTGTATTGATTTATTTGAAGGGGAGGAGAGAGTGACAGCGAGGGAAAGGGAGAGAGAGAGAGGGGTATTGTCCTTCTGCTGGTTCACTTCCCAAATGGCCACAATGGCTGGCCAAAGCCAAGGGCCCAGAGCTCCATCCAGATCTCCCAGGTAGGTGCAGGGGCCCAAGCACTTGGGTCATTTCCCGCTGCTTGCCCAGGCACATTAGCAGGGAGCCGATCAGAAGAGGAGCAGCTGGGACTTGAACTGGCGCTATGATATGGGATGTTGGTGTTGTGGGTACCGCTTAACTCACAGCCACAGCGCGGGCCCCATGAGGTGGATTTGTTGGGGGTTTCTAACACGTTGCATGTTGTGATGTTTTCACTTAAGGAAAGACTTCTGCTTGGTGCCTTCCTTATTTGAAAAGAAAAACTTACAGGATGCATTTTTGTGAAAAATCAGATGTATATTTTTGGTTATTTGACCTTCTGATGTATGTATAGATGTCACTTAAATCCTCCGCCCTTGCCTATGTTTCTCTCTGTGGTTAATGGGAAGCTAGTGAGGTATCAATTTGATCTTCTAAGAATGAGGATGCGGGTATGAGACTTGCTTAGTCTCTGCAAGAATCTTTTATGTCTACGTGATAGGAAAGAGAGCTCAGAGGTCAAGGTTGAACGGCCTTTCCTCTGTGATGGCCGGGTGTGGCTGCCAGTCCACAGGACACCACGTGGCCCCCTTCTCCCTGGCTGCTGTGAATATTCTCATCTGAAAGACCACGGCTGCACTGACTGGGAGAAGCCACCAGAAAATTGTCACATTCGGTAAAGGAGGGGCCCCCTGTGTTCTCTCTCCAGGGAGCTACCATCAAGCGCCACGAGCTGACAGGGGACATCCTGGTGGCCAGGGTCATCCACGGCGGGCTGGTGGAGAGGAGTGGTAAGCTGGCGCAGCAGGTGTATGTGTGACCGGGAAGACGGGAAGCCTTTGACAGAAATCCCTCTTTCCTAACTGAGTGCAAGCTCTAATAAGACCCTCACTTGGTTAACACAGTGAAGAAGGAAGGAAGGAATATTCCAGAGAAGTCCTATCCCCTTCTTCACTGAGTCCCTCCTGCTCTAGGCACCGTACTAATGTTCTCTCAGTTTACACTGTCATGGAGACCTAACAAGGTAATTATTATCATGCCATTTTTAAAAAAAGATTTTATTTTTTATTTGAGAGGTAGAGTCACAGGGAGAGGGAGAGACAGAGAGAAAGGTCTTCCATCTGCTGGCCATCTCCAGATGGCCGCAATGGCTGGAGCTGAGCCAATCTGAAGCCAGGAGCCAGGAGCTTCTTCTGGGTCTCCCACACGGGTGCAAGGGCCCAAGAACTTGGGCCATCTTCCACTGCTTTCCCAGGCCATAGCAGAGAGCTGGATCGGAAGTGGAGCAGTTGGGACTCAAACCGGCGCCCATATGGGATGCCGGCACTGCAGGCAGAAGCTTAGCTCACTAAACCATGGTACTGGCCCTATCGTGCCCTTTTATCAATGAGGAAACAGAGGCCCAAGGAGATTACATGACCAAGCTGTGTTCTATACCTACGGCTGCAAGTCCTCACTACCCAAGCCCCCGAGCTTGGCCCGCGGTAAACTCAGCCTCCTGTTAGGAGATAAAGGGGACTTCCTTGTTCCCCAGAGCACTGGGCCTTCTTTTGCCCCAGGTTTGCTTCTTGCCCAGCTCGGTGCTGTCAAGACCTTTCTGGAAATCCTCATCCTTGGTTTCTGCTTTGTGACGTCATCCTCCTTGGCTCACATCTCTGACTACTGCACTGTGTTGCCCCTTGTTTCTTGATCCTTATTCTTTGTTGAAGTGGCAGATGATAATTGTCCACCTTTAAAGGTAGAGTGTGACAAGTCAGTGCACATCTTCAGCAGATGAAATGATCAGATCAATCCAACACCTGCCATTTCTTTGAGTGGGGCGTCTTTGATCTCCTCTCTCATAGCTCTTCATGAGTGGTGCAGAGAGTGCATTCTATAGTCACTCTGCTGTGTGACAGGCCATTCGAACTTACTCCTCCTGCAGAGCTGCAATTTTCCCATTACCCCACCTCCTGCCTGTGCCCTCCTTCCTACCCTCCCTTACTTCCAGGCTCAGGGCTAAATCTGTTTTTTTTTTTTTAATTTATTATCTTTATTTGAAAGACAGAATTATAGACAGAGGGAGCGGGGGAGAGGGAGACAAGTGTCTTCCATCCACTGATTCACTCCCCAAATGGCCACAACAGCCAGAGCTGAGCTGATCTGAAGCCAGGAGCCAGAAGCTTCTTCTGGGTCTCCCACACGGGTGCAGGGGCCCAAGGACTTGGCCATCTTCTACTGCTTTCCCAGGCAATAGCAGAGAGCTGGATTGGAAGTAGAGCAGCTGGGCCTTGAACCGGCAGCCTTATGGGATGCTGGTGCTGCAGACCAGGGCTTTAACCTGCTACACCACAGCACCAGCCCCAGGACTAAATCTTAATTGACACATTTCTTTGCATTTTCCCCCTTTGAAGAACACCCCACTTTCCCCCGCCCCTTTCATTTGTAATTTACTCAGAATCCTGACATCTCTGTTTTTAGTGATATCTTCTTCTAAGTGTCTGGTTCCACTTTATAACATCAGATTAGTGAAAATAAGTATATCCTCATTGGTTAACAAGAAGAGCTGGTGAAGAGGTGGGAAAGTGGAATGCGCACCCACTTCTGGCAGCGGTGGAAGTTGGGATTTATTGTTTGGCTTTATTACAATGATTTCATGACAAATTTAACAATCGGAACACGCTTGGGTTGGTGAATTTGGAGGGTAGTTATTGGGATACCTACCATAATTTTTTTTTAAATTTCTTTGCACCCTTCCTTGTTTTGTGTTCTTGTTTGCCTAGGACTGCTCTATGCTGGAGACAAACTGGTGGAAGTGAATGGAATTTCAGTTGAGGGACTGGACCCTGAACAAGTGATCCACATTCTGGTACTAGTCCTCCTGGTCCTGAGTGAGCCGATGGCCTTGGCTGGACTGAGCCTGTCACGCCCACATGTGTGCATGTAGCGTGGTGGGGATCAGGTGTGCTGGCGTGCACTGGGGGTCGGCGGCTGCCACCCGCCAGGCCCCAGGCTGGTCGCGCAGTTCACTGGTGGCTCTCCTTTACTGCCCCAGAAGTCCTGACCCCAGCCTCAGGAAGCTGCCTGGTGCCCCAGCCCAGGTCCTCCCTCACTTGGGTTGCTCTGCTGGAAGCAGCCCTGGTGGGCAGAGCGAGCCTTTGGAGGGGAGTCTGAATGTGAGCTCTCACCCACCCACTCCCCCAGTGGTTGCACCACCTGAAATCTGTTCCCCGCCTTCCTCAAGGGCAGTTGTAGGGCAAGAGCAAATCAACAGATGGCAGTGCTGGGGGTAGGGGGCGCCTTTGCTGGCCTTGGGGGAGGGAGCTGGAGACTTGTAACCTGATTATGGGAGCCTCTGGTCTCTCTGTCATCATTCCCTGCAACCATTCCCCGAATCCCACCCCAGGATGTCCGCTATCCTACATCTCTCCCCGCCCCCCATCTCCAGCCAGGCAGACTCCAGGGGTGGGGGTCTGAGGTGGATCAGTAGTGGTTCTCAAGCTGGGCTCCTGGGGGAGCTCTAGGTCTCCACAGAGGTGACTGAGAGTCTGAGATGAGGGGTGGTATTGTAAGGAGTATGGTAAGCGCCCAAGTATTTGGGAAGATTCTGGGTGACAAGCAACATGCTGCAAAGGGAGCTTGAAATATTAAAAGTCACAGCGTGTGTGTGCCTGCCTCAACCCAGGTGCCAGCTGAGTTGCCAGGATGGTGGGACTCTGAAATTCCCCAAAGTAAGATTGGAGCCTTGTTAATTTCTGGATTTTTTGGAAAGGCATAAAGAGAGAGAGAGATTCCCCCACCAATCTTACAGTTCCTGCCCTGAATGCTCACAATGGCTATGGCTAGACCAGCCTAAAGCCGGGAGCTTGGGACTCAACTCAGGTCTCCCATGCAGGTGGCAGGAACCCAATTACTTGACCCATCACCATTGGCTCCTGGGGTCTGTGCTGGCAGGAAGCCAAGCCAAGAGCTGGAACTGGAAACCAACCTCAGGCACTGTTGTGGGATATGGGCATCTTGGCCACTAGGCTGAATGTCCACTCTTCTGATCCCTGTCATGGTGCATAAGGGGGTTTCCAAACGTTCCCCCAAAACTCCCATTCTCCTTTACTGTGTTCTTCCATGAACTTCGGAAGCCTGCTCATTTGTGAGGGGGGATTCTTACCTCCCCCATCAGACTAGGAGTTTCTCCATATGCCCCATCAGTTCAAGGGGCTCCCCATTTGCACCGTTAATTTGGAAGTGAATCAGTTCTCCTAGAAAACGTGGGAGCCCTGGGACATCAGGGACAGGTAGTACAGAAACAGATACTCAGGAAATGCTCACTGAGTGAGGGGTCGGCAGGGGAAGACAGAGATCTGTGGGAAGAAGATGTGGCCGAGAGGGCTGTCTGTCAGCAGTGAGGCGGAGGGTCCCTGGGGGAGGCGACCCCATGTGGGTTCCAGCAGATTTGTGACCCAGAACCTGCAGTGAACTTGACTGGTTCTGGTGGTGACAGTCAGCTCTTGAGCCCTTGTGAAAGTCTCTGAGGGGGATGTCACTAGAGACCTGGATCCATTCCACTGTGACTCCGTCCGCCAAACCCCAGTGACCCTCTGGGATTGGGCTCACTCTAGGATTCTTCCCCCTTTGTCACTTTCCAGGCCATGTCTCGCGGGACAATCATGTTCAAGGTGGTCCCTGTTTCCGACCCTCCTGTGAACAGCCAGAAGATGGTAAGAACTTGCCAAGCCTGCAGCCTCATACACAGTGGGTCCCCAAATAGCAGTAACAAGGCCTCAATGTGGCTTGGAACACAGCTGTCCTTCACACCACGTTGGACATGTGTTCAATGCCAGCTTAGATATTTTTTCAATGCCTATGATCCAAGATGCCGAGTGGGCATACCCGACGGGAGATGGGGCTACCAAGTTCTCAAGACGCAACATCAAAAGTTGTGCAAATGTGAGCGAAAGCATCGCAGAGCCGAGCCAGGCTGTTCCTCAAAACACTTGTATTCTGTGGGCCCTAGAGCAAATCTGATCAGGAGGCTTGTTCTCCAGGTTCTCTCTCTTGGTGAGGGTGGAGAAGTGGGAGAACTGGTTTGTCAGTTGTGGCGGCCCACAGGGAAGGGCTCTTATGATGGCCCCGTTATTCCCCTGCCATCAGGTGTACGTTCGTGCCATGACCGATTACTGGCCCCAGGAGGATCCCGCCATCCCCTGCATGGACGCTGGATTGCCTTTCCGGAAAGGAGACATCCTCCAGATCGTGGACCAGAATGATGCCCTCTGGTGGCAGGCCCGGAAAATTACAGACCTTGCCACCTGTGCGGGGCTGATTCCTTCTAAGCCTCTTCTAAAGAGGTAAGAAAAATCCGTGCTTCTGGACTCAGGAAATGAAGTGTTCTCCTCAGGGTGGGATAGAAAGAGACAAGCAGAACACACACACACACACACACACATACACATGCAGGTAACTCAAATAACTCAGCTGTATGTCCTGGGCATCACACATACTCAGGGGACTCATCATATCAGCTAGAAACGAGAGATAATACTCAAGAAGGAAAGTTAACTTGAACACAGAAAGTGTTAGGTCTTCATGTTTATCTTCTCCCTCCCCATTCATATGTTGAAGCCTGATACCCAGTGCAATAGTAGGAAGGGGTAGGGCCGTAGGACTTGATTGGGTTGTGAAGGCAGAATGCTCATGAATGAGACTTGGGTCCTTCTCAGAGAGGCCCGAGGGAGCCTGTTTGCCCCTGCTACCATGTGAAGATGCATCTAGAAGGTGCCAAGTAGAGAGCAAGGTGACATGGAATCTGCCAGGACCTGAATCGTGGGCTTCCTAGCCATCGGGAACTATGAGCAATACATTTCAATTGTTTATTAGCTATCCAGTATGTTGTGCATACCACTATGGTATTTTGTGATAACAGCCCAGACACTACGACAAAATGTCATTGATCTTTCAAAGCCGAGTTGAGGTCAGTTACTGAGTCCCAAATCACCACCCTCACCTTATGCTACTGAGAGTTGACGAGATCACCAAGGAAGGGAGTGAAGAGAGAAGAGGGAAGGGGTCCAGAGCTCAGCCATGTTAAAGGATCGGGAAGAAGACAAGGACCTAGGGAAGCGGATTGTGAAAGAATGAAAATCGAGGCCGCCTGGCGTCCTGCTCAGCTCTGCCAAGGGCTGCTGGGGGCACTGTGGACAGGTGTGGGATTTGGCAATGGGAACAGCCCTGGCCTGCTTGTCAGAAGCCATTTCAGTGGAGGTATGGGGCCAAAGTCCGAGTCAGGGTGGGATTCGAAGAGGCTGATGACAATGATGATGGAAAGCTCTTTGAGACATGTTGGTGTCAAGCAGAACAGAGCAATGGAGAAATGGGGGAAGTGCAGGGATCACAGGGGGGTGAGTGATGCTGGTGGACATGGAAGAGGAGAGTGGCTGCTGCCAGGATCCTTGGACAACCAGGAGAAGCTGTCTGCTCTGCACATGGTGGACTTCGCTTGCTACGGGATCGTAAGCCAATGTTCGTGCACAGTAGTAGCAGGAGAGGAGGCTAGGTATGTGCGCACAGTTGAGGCTGGAGCTGGTGGAGGTTCTCCAGAGACGCTATTTGCAGTGAGAGCAGTGTCATGGGTGAGGGTAGGATGGTAAGAAGCTGTCAGGATGGGGAAGGGAACAGTTTGGCAAGTTTCCACAGGTACACACGTGTTAGGTCGATGTGGCACAACCAGTAGTAAGGTTAACCTTACTTAGGTTAAAGGCCACAGATTTGGAGCACTTCTGGTCAGCTTCCTGGGGTGTAAGTCCAGATTAGACAGAGCTGGAATCAATAACGAATCAGGAAAGGGCCAGGGGAGTGCTCAGAATGGACCATGGCATGTAAGCCATTGAGAACGAGAAGGGGAGGAAGCCAGAGGGAATCAGTAAAAGGAAGCAAGGTCAATGGATTCTCGATCCTGGGGGGGGGGGGGGTGTAGGTGTAGGCAGGAGGAAGGGATGCTGGGAACTGACGTGGTGGAGATGCTCAGCTGCTGGTGCTGATAGGCCTAGGGTGTGACGGCAGGAGGCAGTGGCTGGAGCTGGATGAGCACGTCATTGGAGGAAGAGGTGATCAAGAACCCTAGAGCCAGAGTGTCGGAAGGCGTGTTTATAGACTTAAATCATCGAGAGTGTGGCGAGTGTGGGAGCGAGCAGGAGTCATTAGTGGAGGATACTCACAGCAGGTGGCACCTACAGAAGAGGGTGAATGATCTGGGAATGGCAGTGAGGAGCAAGGACAGCCCTCCCCACCCCCACTCAGCCCACGGAGTGGGGCCATGTGCTGCTGTGTGCTGTGGTGTGCCATGGTGTGCCGCTGTATGCTGCAGTGTGCGGTGGTGTGCCATGGTATGCCGCTGTGTGCCACGGTGTGCCACGGTGTGCCGCGGTGTGCCACAGTGTGCCATGGTGTGCGGTGGTGTGCCGCTGTGTGCCATGGTGTGCTGTGGTGTACGGTGGTGTGCCTCTGTGTGCCATGGTGTGCAGTGGTGTGCCATGGTATGCCGCTGTGAGCCGTGGTGTGCGGTGGTGTGCCGCTGTGTGCCGTGGTGTGTGGTGGTGTACCATGGTGTGCTGCTGTGTGCCGTGGTGTGCCGCTGTGTGCCATGGTGTGCTGTGGTGTGCCGTGGTGGCTTGAAATCAGCCACATTGAAGGAGTGGACACCGCAGAAAACAGCACACCGCTGCTGTCTGTTTTGGCCTAGGAAGCAGCGGGAATTCTGGTGGTCTCAGCCGTACCAGCCTCACACCTGTTCCAAGTCAACCATCTGTGAGTGTTCGGTTCCTTCCGACCCAGCACAAGTTCCCGACGGACGGAGCCTGCCCCAGACAACATCCCTGAATGTCCCCAGGGCCTGTAGATGTTCTCCCTGGCAGCTGGCCCTCTGAAATGCCGCATGGACAGGGATGGCTTTGGATTTAGAAGATTTTTCAGGTTATCGAAACAGAAAGGTCCTTGTGCTACTGACAACGTTAAGACGCCCCTCCCTGCCCGAAGCCCGGCAGGAGCTCGGCAGCCTGTAAATGCGTTACACCAGACCAGCACCCAGCACTGCGAGCCATCACAAAGCTTTCCTCCCTCTTCTTCCCCTTCCTCCTTTCCCCTCTCTTACTCGTTCCTTTTTTTTCCATTCTGTCATTCAATATTTGAGTTCCTGAAATACACTGAGCTAAGCTCCTCAATCCAGAAATGAGTAGAACGCAACCTTTATAGACTTTATTGGGATGGGAGGGGGTGGAGTTTTCCAGAAGCAAGTAGATCCCTGAGTCCAACAAGACTCCCGAAGGCACTCATTGGTCACTTTGGTACCAAATCTCCATTGAACTTCTAGAGAATCAACCCAGAATATTAATTTCAATAATGTTGGCACTTTGCTTCTCTTATTGTAAATTAGCCTAAGGAACTACGGCATTGACATTGTGTTTTCTCTCTGTCTCTGCTCCCATTGCTTGTCTGCTCCCAGTGATTTCTATGGAAGAAGGTAAGAAATAGTATTTAAAGAAAAACCATGTCTCTCCAGAGTCTGGGAGAGACTTGCTGTAGGTTTTTTAAAAAATCAATTCAGTTCAGCCTTTAAACTCTTCTGAAGTAGCTAGTAGTGTGGGAGTCACTAATTTATAAAAAATTATAAAAAAGAACATGGGCAAAGTACTATTGTCCTAACACAAAGGATTAAGGAGAGGTAATGTTTATGAACAGCTTCAGTGTAATACAGCACCTGGAAAGAACTCAGCAAACATTGCAAAACGGATCAAGTGTTCTGTTTCAACTTCTGTATACATGTTATATACAAATAACACCATAGGAAACTGTCATTATTGTTCCCATTTTATGGATTAAAAGATTGACGCTCAGAGAAGGTAAGAATGGTTGTCCGAAGTTGCAAATGGTGTAGCCTGGATCCAAGCCTCCATCTGTTTGAAGAGCTCTGTACTGGGGGCAAATGGGACTTTGAGCTATGACCCCTTCCCCTTCTCCATGCCCAGCCATCTGGAAAACCCCATGAGGTGTCGCACACCCCTGTGCACACACCCATATGTAAATAAGATGCTGTCTCCTCAGAGAGAGGGGAGAGAAGGAGAAACGCAGTCCCCTTAGCCACCACTCACATTTCATCCTTGCATTGAAAGTGAGGCCAGGGACTGCAGAGGAATTGTTTTTAAGGTTTATTTATTTATTTGAGAGGCAGAATTAGAGAGAGAGAGAGAGAGAGAGAGAGAGAGATGTCTTCCATCTTTTAGTTCACTCCCTAAATGGCCACAACAGCCAAATCTGAGCTGATCCAAAGCCAGGAGCTTCCTCCAGGTCTCCCATGCTGGTGCAGGGGCCCAAGAACTTGGGACATCTTCTACTGCTTTCCCAGGTCATAGAAGAGGGCTGGATCAGAAGTGGAGCAGCCAGGACTTGAAGCAGAACCCATATGGGATGCTGGCGCCATAGGTGGAAGTTTAGCCTTCTATGGTATGGCACTGGCCCCAGCTGAAGACTTTAGAAAACAGATCTATAGATGTGGAGCTCTAGCCTGTATTCCCCAAGGACAAAAGGCATGTGTGATACTGGCAGATGAAGGTGGAAATATGAGCAGAAGGAAGTAGGAGAGGCTCAAATTTGGCACCTGCTCCTGGGTTTGTGTTCCTGGGGTCACATCACAGACTGCACTGTTTAGAGGGAGGTTTAGGGACCATGTGGTCCTGGAGAGTTACAAGCCCACTGTCTTGGATTGGGTTGTGTAACCAAATGCTGTAGGCTGTGGGGCTTAAACAGCACACACCTGTGTTCTCACAGTCCTGGAGGTGGCTAATTAGGACCAAGGTTCCAGCAGAGTCGGTGCCCTGGCTCACAGATGGCCACCTCCTTGCTGTATGCTCAGGTGGCCTTGGCTCTGTGCATTCTTAGACCTCTGGTGTTGCCTTCTCTCTCTGTGTCTCTTTTTAAAAGTATTTATTTGTTTGAATGGCAGGGAGTCAGACATACAGACAGCGAGAGCTCATTCACATCTTCTGGTTCACTTGCCAAATGGCTGCAACAGCCAGATCTGGGCTGGAGCCAAAGCCAGGAGCCAGGAACTCCATCCAGGTCTCCCATGTGGGTGGCAGAAACCCAAGTACTTGAGCCATCACTGCTGCCTCCCAGGGCCCACATTAGCAGGAAGCTGGAATCAATGAGTGGAGCCGGGAATTGAACCCAATTATTCTGAAGTGGAACTCGGGCATACTAATCCATGAGGCTCCAAACTTTGACTTCATTTAACCTTCATTTCCTCCCCATCTCCAAATCCAGGGATAGTGGAGGCTAGGGTTTCAGTCTGTGGATATGGGGGGAGGCCTAATTCAGTCCGTGATACCTACCTAGGCCAGAGGTGCGCACCTGTGGGTTTGGGGAGAGCAAAAGCACCAGCCCTCTCCTAGTGACAGGGCCAGAAGGGCCAGGGCTCTTGTGTGTTGCTGGAGAATCACCCCTGGTCTCTGTAGCTTCATCAGCAAATCAGAAATGACAATGTTTGCCTTTCAAAAAAACCCTCTGATTATGTCCTGAGAACTAATGAACTCATTGTTGTTATACAAGGCCCATCTGGAACATAATCTCTAAATGAATATAAAAGGGATTGAGTGACGAGTCAAAAACCTCAACCGTGTCACTTGTCTATCTGTACCTCTGAGAAGGAGTGCCATTTCTTAGAATCTATCATATTTCATAATTTATGTGAGAACATTCGTGCATGATGTGTTCTTTAAGGGGATGGTGATATGTGGTACTTTATGATATTTGTTATCCAAACTGTACCTCTGGAACATGTATAAGACTCGTTTATTAAACTCATTCTTAAACTATTTCTTGAACATGTGGGAAGTGCTGGGCACAAGATGTACAATGCTGAAAGAGGAAAATATTTTTTCAGAAGGTATATTTAAATAAATTGTTTTGGTCCTTAAAGGAACATTCAAGGGCAGAGTTTATGATAGGCCTACTATGTGCAGAACAGTGTGCTGTGCTCCGTGGAGTCTGGCAATACCAGGAAGCAGTGCCTGCTTCCGGGCGCTGTCTAAGAGAACAAATAAGACAAACAGCCCAATGGCGAAAGTACGGCATGCAGCTGGTGCATGGTAGCAGAGAACTGGAGGGGGCAGGAAGGAAATGCTGGCCCGTGGCAGGGGTGTCCATTCTGACCAACGTTTGAGATGGACTTTGGAGCGTGACAGGTGGAGGGGACAGCGTAAGCAGCAGCACAGGGGCAGAACCACAATGTCTGCTCCAACGGGACAATGAGATGGGAGAAGGGGACATCAGCCTTCCATGTGGGGTTCAGGCATGTTGTGGAGGGTTTTCAGCGGCAGGACAAGTGGTTTTATAAGTTATACTTTTTATCCTCTTAAGTGAGGGTAACTAATGCATAGTTTTTCATAATACGATTTTCCACAACCCTTTGAATACCCCTTTGAATGCATGGATTTCACATTTCTTGGCCCTAAGTAAACTTATCTTTTAATTCCATTTTCTACAAATTTTTGGATACCCTTATATGTCCCTCAGCTAAAGGTAAAAGGAGTTAACGTGTACTGAGCACTTACTATGTGCCTGAGCTTTTTATGCGTCCTCTCACGGAATCCTAGATGGTAGCTGTTTTCAAATTTTAATTGATATCTGATCATCCTATATATTATGAGGCAAATATGATAATCTGATGTATGCATACAGTGTGTAATCTAATCTAATCTGGGTGTTAGCACTTCCACCACTTAAACACTTATCATTTCTCCAAGTTGGGAACCTTCATATTTATCTCTTTCAGCCTTTTATAAAATGTATAATACGTTGTTGTAAACTTCAGCCGCCACCCTGTGCTGGTGGGAGGGCTTAGTGTTAACCCCATTCACAGATGGAGAGCAGAGGCTTAGAGATAAATGCATTTGTCCAGCACTCAAAAGTCCATGTTTTAAAAGCTTTAACCGTTTTGATACTCTATGTCCTCCCATATAATACATTTCCATCTAATATAGACGAATCCTTTTTATCTCTCCAAGTGAGCAGTAGTCGTAAGAGAAACATTATCATAAGTTGGTCTGAGTTTTATTGGTCTACACATGTGGATTTTTTTTAGTGCTTTTTAATTTCTTCTTTCTGTGCTCTTTTATAGAAGATGACATGAAGATTGACGAGAAGTGTGTGGAAGCAGGTAACATTTTTTTTTTCCTGATTGATTTATCACTAAGAAGAACTGTGAAGCCTCTAGCTATAGACTGCGTGGAACAGAGTTGGCCAAATGGACCACAGGCCTCTGTGTCCAAAGGGTCCCCACCCTAGTCCTCTTCCTCTTCCTCTTCCTCTCTCTCTGGGATCCTGCACTTGGATATCTCCAGGCTCCCAGGGTTGTAAATAGTGTCTTGGAAATAACCTCACGAAAGCTTGGTGGCACTTGTCATAGCAAACTCCCATGCTCCTGTGGAATACTATACAACACTGAGATATCAAAATTTACAGAAGCAAAACCTATGTTCTGTTGTTAAGTCTGATACCATCTTCTGATGGATTCTAATACAGATGGATAGTAGTAGGTTCTCACATTTCTATACTTAAACTTTTTTCTGGTAAATTGCAAAAAGATGTTTCAAATTTTGTGGTAGAACTAATATTGGCTCAAGAATCACTAGGTTTTTGCTGGGAGAGGAGGTGGGAAGACTTTTACAGGTGTACCTGTCTTGCCTTAATGGACTAATCTAGTTTTTAGAAATGAAAGAACAGGTGCTGTATTTAAATGGTGGCTATTTCAAAGATTCACGTATATTTCTCCGAACAGCAACAGAATAATGCTGACACTTTCTTTTTTTAATTTGTGGTAATATTCATTTTCTCTTCTTTTTCTTTCTTTTTTTTTGGCCAGGCAGAATTAGTGTGAGAGAGAGACAGAGAGAGAGTTATAGACAGTGAGAGAGACAGAGAGAAAGGTCTTCATTCCTTTGGTTCACTCCCCTAATGGCTGCTACAGCCGGTGCTGCGCTGATCTGAAGCCAGGAGCCAGGTGCCTCTTCCTGGTCTCCCACGTGGGTGCAGGCGCCCAAGCACTTGGGCCATCCTCCACTGCCCTCCTGGGCCATAGCAGAGAGCTGGACTGGAAGAGGAGCAACCGGGACTAGAACCCAGCACCCATATGGGATACCAGCGCCGCAGGCAGAGGTTTAGCCAAGTGAGCCATGGCACAGCAAATATTCATTTTCTTTCTACAACTTTAGTTCGAATTTTATGAGGTAACACAGTCACATAGTCCAAAACTCAAGAACTGCAAGAGTACATTCAGTATGAAGTTCCTGGCTTTCCAGATTCCCCTGCTCAGTTCTCTGTCTAGAGGCAATAACTATTAGCAGCTTCTCCCCCTCCTCCAGACATACTCTGCACACAAAAGCAATGATGGGCATGTTTCTCCTCTGCTGCCCCTCATCCCTACACATATCCCTTTGATGGCGTACTGTGCACACACGTCTGTCCCTGGCTTCTCAACTTAATGTCATGTCTCTTGGAGATGATTCTTAGTCCATTAAGAGCTTTCCCCACTGCTGCTGATTCTCCTCCTCCTCCTCCCCCTCCTTCTCCTCCTCCTCCTCCTTCTTCTCCTCCTCCTTCAGATCAGCTTGTTGACTAAGTAAGTTGTCACACACTTACACAATTGTTGCTGTGGATTCGCTCTGAGAGGAGGAGTGCAGTGGGGGCAAGAGGCGCGGAGTCACCACACAGACCCTGGGAGTCAGGTGAAAGTGGACCAGGGGCGAGCAGCCCGCAGACTTGTTTATTTCAGTTGGTGCAGCAGCTTATATAGCCGAGGCAGCCAATCCAGTCAAGGGGCAGTTTATGCCCTAACCAATCACAGCCTGTTGCCAGTCAGGCTCTGTCACCAGGTGGTTTCCCAGGGGGTTTCTGAAGCCATTCCTGAGTAACTGAGGCTGGCTTGCCAGAGGCCATCTTGGCATGACCTTCTCATTCCACCACAATCATTTATTAGCACTTGCAGACATTTGCATCGTGTTCAATATCTTCTGTTATTAACCAGTGCTTTGAGGAATAGCTTTATAAGTCTTCCATCTCACACACACACACACACTGCCTGATCCAAAGTTGTGTGCATTGATAATACTGACATTTATTGCAAATTGTCCTCCATATAATTCTAGTTTGTTAATCTTTATTCTAAGAACACTGACGAGTATGATTTTAACAAATGAGGAAGTTGGTTCATTTCCAGTGATACTTCGTCACCTGAATAAACTTAGTCAAACCATCCATGGGCTCACTCTCCTTGCCACGATGCCCCCACCCCTGCCTTGCTTGTGGACCACCAATGCTGCAGACAGGACGCCCCCTCCCTCATTGCAAGGCCCCCAGCAGCCAGGCTGTGTAGGACCTCACAGTCCATAGGAGTTTCCTAAATGTTCTACTTTGCCCTGCCCTCTGAGCCTCCTTTGAATTGTATTTCATTTATTGTCTTTTCTATCTTATTATTGTGTTTTAATTTATGCTCCTGCTGTACCCCAACTACTGAATGGCACGTATCTCACTCAAGCCTTGTGTATGCCATTGAGACACCACTGGCTTGGCCTTGAGTTAGGAAAACAAGTTTAAAGATAGTGTATGGGCCGAGGTATGTATCAGGGCATTAGACTATTTTAATACATACTCAGTGTGGACAGTAATGTAATAATTTTGGTTTTTGCCTTCATGGAAAACTCAAGATGAAGAAACATTTGAATCTGGTAAGTTAAAAAATGAATTATCTGGCATTGATTTTTAAAATGTATAATTTAAACATATTTAGGGATATGACATAACACTTGTTTAAATACATCAACAGCAAACAAAATTAAAAGGTAACTAGGTGAGATGTAGACATGTTGGTTTGCTTCACTGTAATAACTATATGTAAGAATCTCATAACATTATGCTCTAAACCTCAACTGTACACAGTAAAATTTATTGAAAAATCAATCAGCCATGTAGTTGTGAGACACTGAAAATTTTTCATTAATGAGTGTTTCTCATAGGGCCAGTATTTGTTCATGAGGGGCATTCTAGAACTCGGGGGACGGGGCTCAATTTTTGGTTTTCATTTTGACTGGGGGTACTGCTGACCTTAACTGATGAGAATCAGGAGAGTTTGGTACCCTGCGTAGTGAACAGCTGTCCCTAGCCTCACATTGCTGCTGAACCCAACCCATTAGACACATAAAGGTGTGGTTATTTAACACTCAGCAGTGATGTAGGTTTTCACAAGATATAACATGAAAGCCCAGTGGTTTTGAAGACAGTCATCATGGAGAGAGACCTTCAAGCAGAATGCAGATAGGGCCTTGCACTGACTGAAGACTTTGTTCCACACATCCTATCCACCCCATGTGGATGCTAAGTAAACTAGAAAGTGTGGTGTCTATACTGACCCAGTTTCCTTTTTCTCTAATGTATGCTTTGGTATTACTGAGGCACATAAATATCAAGTGTCTATTCCTCAAATAATATTTGCATCGTTACTGGCAATGTAGGCCCCACAAAACATTTTTTTAAACCAACCACCTGTTGGGCCGTGATAACGTTTCGTTACCTGATTCCAAATATCCTGTGCTCCCTCATTTTCTTTGTTTTCTGATCTCTAATACTTCCACCTGTTATCCTTGCTTCAGTTAGGGCAATTTCCTTTCTCTCATCATGTACCAAATAAAATCTGGTCTGCATGTACCAGAACATTCTTTATCCTAGATCCTCCTATTCCTTTGCTCATCTGAATTTCTGCACTTCATATAAGGAAATACTTTCTGGCCTCCTCACTTTGTTTAAATTCATGTTCCTTCATTTTAAGTAGTATAAACATCTAGTCATTTCTTATGTCTTCTAGGGAAGTCCTGCTTGAGGATGTATATTATAATGTAAAGTATTTTTAAAGTCTAAATTATTTCCTTTTTGTTATATTACAGTTACTGTATTGATTTTTAAAATTATGTGTGCAGTAGATTATATCACTTATAATTTCCATTTCATAAACATAAGAATATAATTTCATAAGAGAAATTGCTACAAATATTAGTTATAAAAAGAATGCATTAAGGCAGATGGAGTTGGAAACCACTCACCTAAATTATTTGCTCATCACTTACATTGTTCCTAAATTTCTTGCTTTCGATTGTCCATACTTGGCCCACTGTTTGGGATTAGTTTAATTTTTAAAAAATGTTTTTGTTTATTTGAGAGCGCCCTCAGCCTCTGGTTCTCTCTTCAAATGCCTGCAATAGCCAGAGCTGGACCAGGCTTAACCCGGGTCTGGGTGGCAGGGACCCAAGTACTTGAGCCATCACCTGCTGCTTCCCAGGGTGATCATTAGCAGGAAGCTGGGGTCCAGAGCCAGGCCAGGGCTCATCCCAGGCACTCCAGCATGGGATGCAGGTGTTTTAGTAGAGGTCTGAACCACTAAGTCAAATGCCCACTCATAGTTTCATTTTCATTTCCTTTAGATTATATTCCTTCTTCTTTGTTCTAGTCAACTCATCATTTTGCTGGAATACACTCCACATGCTACGGATGTAGCTGAGGTTTAGGGGCATTTGCTGAGTCTGTGAAAGGAGAGATGGTATGGCATAGTGAGTAAGACCATGAACTTGAGCCACATTTTCTAAGTCTGAATCCTGGGTCCATTCGTCCCTAACTGTGGGTCTTCTGGCACTTAACCTCTGTGTCCATCAGGGTCCCCATCTCAAAATGGGACCAATAATTAATGTAAGTCAACTGCTTATGGCGGCTGACCGACAGGAAGTGCTACATGAATGTTAGCTGGCACTATTATACTGAATCGTGTTCTTTATGGGCAGTCAGCAGCAGCAGTAAGTAGGGCAGTGGAAAGTGCACAGCTGCCCTTCCCTACTGAAAAGCAGAGAACTCTGCAGAACATCCTAAACCTAGCTCATGTAGAAACAGCACCCAGCTAACATGATTTTGGGTAGGTAACCCTCGGCATCCATTCATGATCTTCATCTTATTACTTAGACTGCTTAGTGGACAGTTGGAGTTCTTTAGTTGGGCCCTACTCTGAGTGAAGTGTTATGTGTCCCATTTGAATTTCTCTGGGAGGTGATGGTATGGTCTGTTTAAGAGCAGTAAGAGAGGGAGGGAGGAAGGGAGGGAGGGAGAGAGAAAGAGAGAAGAGAGCACACATGCGCTGTTTCAAGCTGTCTGGAAAACAAAGTTGGCTCTGGGTGAGATAGTTCCATTGTCAGTGGGCCAGTCAGAAATGGGGGCCCGTGCGCTGGGCCCAGAAAGGGCTGAGGAATGAGGACGCTTGGCTGGAGGCTGTGGCAGTCTCTGTCCCAGCAACCCTTCCACCATTTCCCTCCCTCCCCAGGACTGCTGCAATATGGCCACTGGGAGAGGAGGGGGAAAGCTCAAATTCACTGCCTTTCTATAATTTCTCTTTCAAGCCCCATTTTGTAGAATCTTTATAGATCAAAAGGCTTCAAGAAGAGTTGTTTTTTTAATTATTGATTGGAGAGACAGAGAAAGCTGGACACCGATCTCCCATCTGCTGTTCCACTCCCCAGATGCTTGCAAAGGCCCCATGTACTCAATCCAGGTCTCCCATGTAGGGTGGCAGGAGCCCAATTACTTGAGCCATTGCTGCTGCCTCCCAGGGTCTGCATTAGCTGGAAGCTGGAATCAGGAGCCAGAGGCAGGCATCGAACCCACGTGGTGGGAAATGGGATACAGGCATCCTGACTGGTGTCTTAACCACTGGGCCAAATGCCCACCCTCAGGGGCAGCCTTGGCAGGCAACTTGTGGAAAACATTACTGCACCCTAGAGGCATAATCAGATTAAAAGAATTTTTAAATCCGTGATTGTGTGTTGCTTGTTTGCCTTGCCTGGCCTTACCTAAGTTATAACTTTGGCTAGTGGTGGTGTGAATGCTTCTCTTACATCGTGTGTTTGTGTTTGATGGCTAACCTGATCTCTCTCATGTTTGTTTCTGCCCTTAACTCAACATCCAGAGGAACTTTCAGAAGGTAATTATGATTTCCTGAGTACACCATGTTTAAGATCTTTCAGAGCCTTAGAGTGAATACTTGACAGAATAACTGTTAAGGTAAATATAACAATATTTTCAGAGTGATATCAACACTGAAATATTCAATTTCATAGAATATATTTAAAAATAATGGAAGTAAGCCGGCGCCGTGGCTCAATAGGCTAATCCTCCACCTTGCGGCGCCGGCACACCGGGTTCTAGTCCCGGTCGGGGCGCCGGATTCTGTCCCAGTTGCCCCTCTTCCAGGCCAGCTCTCTGCTATGGCCAGGGAGTGCAGTGGAGGATGGCCCAGGTGCTTGGGCCCTGCACCCCATGGGAGACCAGGAAAAAAAGCACCTGGATCCTGGCTCCTGCCATCGGATCAGCGCGGTGCGCCGGCTGCAGCGGCGGCCATTGGAGGGTGAACCAACGGCAAAGGAAGACCTTTCTCTCTCTGTCTCTCTCTCTCACTGTCCACTCTGCCTATCAAAAAAAAAAAAAAATAATGGAAGTAATTAAGTTGTATGAACCTAACCATGACTAAACATTTCCTTTTAAACTTATTGACATATCTTTTTAAAATTATTTTTATTTGGATGAGTTACAGAAAGAGAGAGAAAGAGAGAGAGAGAGATCGTTCATCTGCTGGTTCACTCCCTATATGGCCACAATGGCCAAGGTTGAGCCACTCCAAAGCCAGGAGCCTTATCCAGGTCTCCCACCTGGGTGGCAGGAGCCCAAACACTTGGGTCATCTTCTGCTGCTTTTCCCAGGCCATTGGAAGGGAGCTGGTTTGGAAGTAGAGTACCTGGGACATGAACCTGTGCCCACATAGGATGCTGACATTACAGGTGGTGGCTTTACCTGCTATGCCACAATGCATGCCCTGACACATCTTCATTAGAGAAGCGTGCTTAGTTGCCAGAAGATAGAACTGATATTGGTGTGTTTTCCTTAATCTTTTTTTTTTATTTTTTTATTTTTTATTTTTTTTTATTTTTTGACAGGCAGAGTGAACAGTGAGAGAGAGAGAGACAGAGAGAAAGGTCTTCCTTTGCCGTTGGTTCACCCTCCAATGGCCGCCGCGGCCGGCGCGCTGCGGCCGGCGTACCGCACTGATCCGATGGCAGGAGCCAGGAGCCAGGTGCTTTTCCTGGTCTCCCATGGGGTGCAGGGCCCAAGCACCTGGGCCATCCTCCACTGCACTCCCTGGCCATAGCAGAGAGCTGGCCTGGAAGAGGGGCAACCGGGACAGAATCCGGCGCCCCGACCGGGACTAGAACCCGGTGTGCCGGCGCCGCTAGGCGGAGGATTAGCCTAGTGAGCCGCGGCGCCGGCCTCCTTAATCTTTTAAAATGCATGTTTAAAAATGGCCAAGAGTATAAGTCAGTTCATTCTATGACCAAATACTCTATATATTTCAAGGATCCAAACAGAGTCACATAAATGACAAGGAACTTAAAAAGTAATTTGAAAATGCCTGTCTATGACATCCTCGCTGGAGTTCATACCAACTTTTCTGAAGCTACAACAGAAGCAGAAGCAGGCGTTTGAACTCACCCTGGATGTTTCAGAGGTGCTGGGTGAAGTTTGCTTCCCTTGGCCTCTCAGATTCCTGGCCAAATGGAAATAATTGACAGCTTTACAACCAATACTAACTTTGTCTAGAATGAACCATTATAAGGAAGAAAATAAAAATCTGTATCTATCAAAGAGATTAATTACAGACACTGAAGGAACAGAGTATCTATAAGTTAAAGTTAAAGGCACTTTCTCTGTTTCTGTTTTTTTTTAAGGTTCATTTGTTTATTTGAGAGACAGAGTTACAGAGAGAGAGAGGGACAGATAGAAAGGTCTTCCATCCACTGGTTCACTCCCCCCATGGCCACAATGGCCAGAGCTGAACCAATTGAAGTCAGGAACCTGGAGCTTCTTCCAGGTCTACTATGCATGTGCAGGGACTCAAGGGCTTGGGCCATCTTCTGCTGCTTTCCCAGGCCACAGCAGAGAGCTAGATTGGAAATGGAGTAGCAGACTTGAACCGGCACCTATGTGGGGTGCCAGCACTGCAGGCAGCTGCTTTACTTGCTATGCCACAGCGCTGGTCCCCCTAGCATTCTTCAATAAAGCACTCAAGGATAAATTCAGCTGTGTTGCCCTCTATTAAAAAACTGTCACTGGGACACTGAAGCTGGTTTCATGCGCTAGTTCTAAGCAAATGTCTCATGCTTACATCTTTCCCTGTCATTCTGTGTGTTCCAGACAAGGAGGAGTTTGTTGGCTATGGTGAGAAGTTTTTTATCGGTAGGTGATGATTACCAAGAGGTGGGTCCTACATCACTTACTAAGTTACTTCATACTGGCCCGATGCTCTTCTCATTCTTCCAAAGCTTCCTTTGCTGTTGGACGTTTTCAAGCTTGTTCCATGTTCTGGTTTTCTTGTCTAGTTCTTGGGTCACTAGTCTGATTTATTGAGTGGTCCTTGTTATTCATGTAGTTTCCAATCAATATCTCTTGATTATTTGTTAAATGCAGATCCTTTTGATTTCCTATAGATTGTTTCACAGGTTACTCACCTTACTCTAAAGAGACCAGTTTGGTGACTGTGAAACTCACTGCTTACGGCCACAGTTCTTCTTTCTTAAAAAAATTTATTTGAGAAGGGAGAGAAAGAGAGAGAGAAAGACATACAGACAGGCAGACAGACAGACACCAGAGAGCCTGCAAAAGCCAGGCAGGGCTGGGATGGAACCAGGAGCCAGGGACTGAACTTGGGTCTCCCCTCTGGGTGGCAGGGAGACAATCACTTATGCCATCCCTGCTGCCCCCTAGGGTCAGCATTAGCAGGAAGCTATGGTTAGGAGCTGGAACCAGGAGTCAGACTCAGGGACTCTGGTATGTGATGCAAGTCTCATAACCACTAGGTTAAGCAGCTGTGCCTGGTCACATTTCTGTAGTCTGTCACTTGGTTACATCCTCCAGAAACATAAGACATGCCACACCCTGCCTCCATCATCCAGTGGCCCCCACATGCTCCATCACGCTCCAGTGCTTCTCCAAGGCCCTGGGTGGCCTGGCTGCAGTCCCCACTCCTCCCACCACCCTGGCTGTGGCTCACCGCCCTGCTGCAGGCTCCCCTGCTCCTCCTGGAGCGCCCCAAGCATGCTCGTTTCGCTGCATCTCGGCGTTTGCTGTTCTCTCGGCCTGGGCTGCTCTCCTCCCAGATGCTTCCTTAGCCAGCTCTGTTACCTCCCCCATCCCCTGTTCAATGCCACTTCTCAGAGATGCTCTCGTTGGAAATGCACCCGGTCATTCTCCACCCACTCACCCTTTCTCTAAGCACTATGTCTGTTGTTCACTTTTGTCTCTCCTCCATAAAATGTAAGTATTCCAAGAAAATGGGCTTGGATTAGTTGGCCACTGCACATCCAACACCTAGTGCAGTGCCTGGGACCCTGGAGGTGACTTAGACCTAACAAGAGGGGTACTACTCATTTTCCCTTCATAGCATTTCCTGTCTTCTCCCTTCAGAAAGCCAAGTCTGCATTCATTAGCCGCTTACTGTCGCAGTCACTAAGGCTCCATCAGATTTGAAGGGAGAAGGAAGCTCTCCCACCCTGGAGCTCATGCTGTGTGCCTTTCCCCCTGCCCAGCTGGCTTCCGCCGAAGCATGCGCCTTTGTCGCAGGAAGTCTCACCTCAGCCAGCTGCGTGCCACTGTGTGCTGTACTGGTGGCTGCTACAGTGCAGTGGGCGCCCCTTACGAGGAGGTGGTGCGGTACCAGCGACGCCCTGCAGATAAGCACCGCCTCATAGTGCTCGTGGGTACGTATGTCCTAGCGTGCACCATCTCCCGTGATGTTTGCAGTTTTCCCTCTAGATTTGTCTGCATTAGGAATAGCAATAAGAGTAGAACTCTCTCTATGGAAATATATAGAACTCTATAAAAATAACGTTTTATGTTTTTTTAAAAAAATAAAATCTGTTTTATATGTGTGTTTAAAGGTATGACTTTATTGCAGCCTGCTCTGTGTGTGTGTGTGTGTGCACGCGTGTTCCCCCATGCACAATTAAATTAAGAGGATATTATAACTGAGATTCTGCTTTGCCTGTTTAGAATTTGCCCTAGAAGCATAGATGATGTACCCCCAGACTGAATCATTAGTCTGTATGAGGAAAATAAATCCTTGGAGTCCGTTTCCCTAAGAAATCTATACTCATGTCCTTTACAAAAGTGCCTAACATCTTGTGAACTGAATCTTTGGTGCTAAAGAACAGTGCTGGGGTTACTGCTGTAAAATTGGCCCCTGCAGCAGTAGCATCCTGTATCTTACTGCCATCCTCTCTGTGTGCTCAGCTGTGACCAGGGCAGGCCCTGGTAGAGCAGAACAACATGTCTTAAAGCCAGGACCTGAACATTTGCAGGGCCCAGTGCAAAAATCAAAATATAAGGGAAGTGTTAAGGATTTCAAGATGCAATAGCAGAGCATCAGTCCAGGCTGTGATTTGGTGTCCTTCTTTTTTTTTTTTTTTTAAAAAAAAAAAAAAAAACTTTTAAAAAACTATTTTTCTTACTCTTTTTTAAAAAGGCTTATTTATTTGAAAGAGTTATACAGAGAGAGGAGAGGCAGAGAGAGAGAGAGAGAGAGATCTTCCATCCTCTGGTTCACTCCCCAATTGCCCCAATTGGCCACAAGGGCTGGAGCTGTGCCAATCCAAAGCCAGGAGCCAAGAGTCTTCTGGGTCTCCCACATGGGTGCAGGGGCCCAAGGACTTGGCTCATCTTCTACTGCTTTCCTAGGCCATAGCAGAGAGCTGGATCGGAAATGGAGCTGCTGGGTCTTGAACCGGTGCCCATACGGGATGCTGGTGCTTCAGGCCAGGGCGTTAACCCAGTGCACCACAGTGCCAGCCCCAGGGTAGTGTCCTGCTAAGCATATAAAAGTTGTGTAACTGCGAGTTATACACCCATGGTGTTGGCACTGCCTCCACTTGGGCGTGGGAGTTCTGATTCAAGCATTCAGAAGTGTGCCCCTGAATTCGCTGTTCCTGAACCTGTGATTGTCGAGCTGATTTCTCATTGTGATGTGATGGAAACTTCATTTGAGGGCAAAAGGCAGGATGTCTTAGCTGATGTGAAATCAGGCCAGCATATTCTCATAGCACCTATCATTTTGTGATGTTTGTTAGGGTGCCGGGTTCCTGCAGTTTCCAATCTCATTTCTGAACTTTGAAATGGTGTGGGTCACTCCCCAGAAGTCACCAGGAAAATTCCCAAGAGTTTTCTGGTGGTGTTTGATTTGTGAGATGGGAAGGCACCTAGTCTCCCTAAAAACATTTGTTCTTGATTTTCTTCGATAGAACAATTGAAATGATTGTTTTGCTGCATGATTATATTTATCCTCATCTAATGATTTCTACATGTGACCCTTTGTGTTTAGGGCCTTCTGGTGTTGGGGTAAATGAACTGAGAAGACAACTTATTGAATTTAACCCCGGCCATTTTCAAAGTGCCGTGCCACGTATGTTTAGTTTTTCTTTTTTTATAGCAGTTCGTGTTTTGGTAAAACTCTCCTTGCCTCTTTGGACACACCAGCCTCACTGAACTGTCATGCCATCTTTGTTGTCAAAGCATAAGACACAAGGGATGATCTTGTCTTTGTTGTGTAAGACACAAGGGTAGAGGAAGTGGCTGATGGCTGTGATTTGGGAAGTAGCTGCTCTTGAAGAACCTGTCATAGCAAAAGATATGTAATGCATTCTAAGGACCAGATCTGGGCTTGATATTGTGGGGAAATTCAGCCTGGGATTATCTTGGTTTCTACTCAAGAGGAAGCCCCAGTGGAAGGAGGCAAAAAGTACCCCCAGATACACCAGGGTGTGGAAGGAATCCCGAGTGACTAGCTGGGATAGAGATTGGATTTGAGAGACCTGGTGGTGGGGGAAGTGATGTTAGTGGGTTTACAGAATAATCCACTATGTCATCTACAAGAGAAAGGGGCAGATTCAAACATCGGAGAAGTCTAAAGGCAGCTGATAGCAAGCAGCCAGCAGCGGTACCTACCCAGTCAGAATATCCCTGCCCTGCTTTCTCCTCTCCCCCTGTACTCCAGCCTTGGAGAGTTACTAAATGGGAGAGGAGCAATAGACCTGCAGCGAAAGCAAGGAGAAGCGAATCAGACTCCTCCTCTCGGCCCCTGGTTTCTTTGACTGCAGGCTTCCCCCGGTGAAGAAAGGCTGAGCCAGATGTGTGGAGGAGAAGCCCAAAACAGAAGTGAAGTTTATAGCCTTGCTTATTGCAGGGGAACAGGGCTTTAATTGTTAAACTGAGTCTGAATTATGACAATGAACTTGTGGCATGAATGATGGTAGACTTTTAAAAACGAGCCTTAAGTGTGATCAGAAGAGCCACAGGATCTGCCCGATTTCCACCCAGCAGCAGTAGGACACCTGAAATGTTGTTTTAGGGTCACATCCCAAACCCTGCGTGTCCTGAAGTGCTGCTTCTGTATGCGGAACAGGCGTGAATCTCAAGAGGAAAATCTCTAAAGGGTTCATCATGTTTCAGTGCTCTGGGTGAAAGTGAAATGCTAACAGACTATGGGGGAATTTTAAGGGATATGGATAACCACCATCAAAGTGAGAAAATGTGGCACAAATGTTGCTTTCAAAATTGAGCGAACGATTTTTAGTGTCCACTAATGGATGCCTTGGGTTATGTAGCAATTCATGCAATTTAATCCACCGTATCAAATATCAGTCCAATGGAAGCAAATGAGAAGAGGCCTCTTTGGTTTATGTGAACATAACTCAATATTAACCAAAGCCAATACAAAACCTGGAACATGGCAGGCACTCAGTACACATTAGTTGGGTAAATGGATGATCAGACATGAAGTGACTTTTAGCTGTTCAGCAGACTCCTATATTCCATGCCAGGGGCAATTTCAGTTGAAGAGTCTCTAGTCAAAAGGGCCACGTCAGAGAATCAGAGAATCCAGATTTGGCCCAAGCTCTCTTGAGTTTTGTGCTCCCTGGAAGGAGTCCCTGCTCCACTTCGGTACAAGGGCATCTGGGGACCACATGGGCCTTCTTCACTTCACACCTGAGATAATGTGGGGCAGTAGGAAACGTGAGGTGAGGAGGAGTCCGGACACCTACGTTTTGGCTTCCACTTCAGTCTTCATGAATTCTGTGAATGTGAGCAAGTTAAGTACTCTCCAAAAGCTGCAGTTACTTTCCAGTGAACCATGGATAATAATGTTTCTCTTAGCTAGACGTGTGGGTGATGAGATGACTTCATGGGAATGTGCCATCCAAACAAGATATTGCCAGTACTGATACCTGGGGGTCTTCAGACACTTTAGGTTGACGGATAATTCCCCAGTGCCTGATCTGAAGTAGTAGTGTTCCCAGAAGGCCCCCTTATCCTGGCTTACTACCTAAGACATCCTTTTTTGTACCATGAGCCCTTAATAAAAGTTTATAGATGAACCAATTTTGATGTGAGAATGTCATCTTTATTACCAATTCAGGTTCCTGCTTTTGGTTATAGCTTTTTATTTTCTTATATTTGTTTATACATTTATTTATTTATTTTGATTGACCCAAATGCATATTGGTAATAAGATAATTTGAAGACTCTGAAACATTTCATTCCCCTTTCTGACAGATACTACTCGTTCCAAAAAGAGTTATGAAATAAACGGGCGTGAGTACCACTATGTGTCAAGGGAAACCTTTGAGAGCCTCATTTACAGTCACAGGTGAGGCGGAGGTTCAAACATCCATTCTGGCCTCTATTTTATATTCAAAATCGATTGCTTATTTTTATGCACTGTCTAAAGCCCTGGGGGGAGTGGGTAATTCCTTTTGTTTCTGAAGAGGTAAGCAAGGAATGTATGTTGATACAGTAGTACACAGACTCACTGGATGTGAAAAGGGAACAGGATTGAGCTGCAAACTTGTGAGAATTAGAGGAAGTAATTTTTTCTCTTGCTGAGTATCCACTAGTTCTTTTTGAACTAGTAAAGTCTATATATTCAATTCTTTGGATTTATCTTCATGTTACCACTAATGATGTTTCACTTGTAGAAAAATTCTTTTTTTTTTTTTTAGATTCATTTGTTTATTTGAAAGGCAGAGTTAGAGAGAGAGGGAGAGGGAAAAGGGTGGGGGGGGGGAGACCCTGACCTTCCATCAGCTAACTCACTCCTCAAATGACATCAGTGGTCAGGACTGGACAGGCCAAAGCCAGTTCCATCTGTGTCTCCCATGTGAGTGGCAGAGGCCCAGGCACTCAGGTCATCTTTTGCTGCATTCCCAGGCACATTAGCAGGAGTTGGATTGAAAGTGGAGCACTCAGACACAAACCAGTGCCCGTATGCGATGCCGGCACTGCAGGCAATGGTTTAACCCAGCCCCAAGAATTCTTTTCTTTGTCTCACCCTTGCAGGATGCTGGAGTATGGTGAGTACAAAGGCCACCTGTACGGCACCAGTGTGGATGCTGTTCAAGCAGTCCTTGACGAAGGGAAGGTCTGTGTCATGGACTTGGAACCTCAGGTGGGTCTGTTGGGGATATTTCTCAGCTCCCCAAAGTAATGAACGTGTGTCATCTCCTTTGTACACATCTAATTTTATTTCAAAATTATTTATGTATTTATTTGGAAGAGTGAGAGAGAGAGAGAGAGAGAGAGAGATCTTCCATCCACTGGTTCACTCCCCAGATGAATGCAATGGCCAGCGCTATGCCAGGCTGGAGCCAAGAGCCCCATCTGGGTCTCCCACATAGGTTCAGGGACTCAAGATCTTGAGCTATGTGTTCTGCTGCTTTTCCCAGCCCAATAGCAAGGAACTGGATCAGAAGTGGAGCAGCTAGAACTTGAACCCATGCCTATATGGGATGCCGGTGTCACATGCAGTGGCTTAACCTGCTGTGTCACAATGCTGGCCTCAATCATTTTTTGTATCTAATGGCCAAGAGCTTGCCTGAAACACCAATTGCCAACGTCTTGATTTTGGTTGAGAAAGAGTTGAGTTGAGGTGTGTGTGTGTGGGGGGGGTGGACAGAGAAGTTAGATTATTTCTTGCTTGGGTGTTGGTCACAGACATCACACTAACTTCTCATGGAGGGAATTACACGTTGTTTTACACAAGGAGGTGAGGTTGCTGTGTTGCCATGTCAGTGGTCACTTCATTGAGATCATATGTGCAATGGAGCAGGAATGAGCAAGTTAACATGAGGTCAACAACATGGGATTTTGAAGTCCCAGTTTTTATGATCATTGTACTTTGTGTTTTCTTAGTCATTTAAAAATATACTTGTGTGCTAAAGAGACATAGAGGAAGAGAGATTTGTTCAAAGCTGGCAGTCAGTGTGGACATATGTGAGATGATGCAAGAGGAAAGGGAAGTGAGGAGACTGAACAGACCCACCTTGAGAACCTCTCTCTTTTTTTTTTTTTTTTGACAGAGTGGACAGTGAGAGAGAGAGAGAGACAGAGAGAAAGGTCTTCCTTTTGCCGTTGGTTCACCCTCCAATGGCTGCTGTGGCTGGCACACCGCACTGATCCGAAGCCAGGAGCCAGGTGCTTCTCCTGGTCTCCCATGGGGTGCAGGGCCCAAGGACTTGGGCCATCCTCCACTGCATTCCCGGGCCATAGCAGAGAGCTGGCCTGGAAGAGGGGCAACCGGGACAGAATCCGGCACCCCGACAGGGACTAGAACCCAGTGTGCCAGCGCCGCAAGGCGGAGGATTAGCCTATTGAGCCAGGGCGCTGGCTGAGAGCCTCTCTTTGTCCTTGTCATAGGGGATCAGTACAGAACCCCACTCTCAGGAAGTCAGATTCTCACACACACACACACTCTTACCCAGCTAGTAGGATTTCAGTAGCCAGTCGTAACTAGTAAGAAGAGCCAGGGTTTGCCCTTAATTTTGTTTCTAGAATCCAGCTTCTTAATTACTAAAATGTTTGATTTTTAAATTTTTTTTAGAGATTGAAAAATTGGGGATGACATGAGACTATACTCTGTCCAAAAATAGTTGTTAATTTCTGATCTTAGAGATTTTGAGAACATTAATGTTGAATCTAGGAAGCTAAGATTCTGTTTTTGAATGTGCTTTAACTTTTCCATGTAGGATATTCAAATGGCTCGAACTCAAGATCTGAAGCCGTATGTCATATTTATAAAGCCATCTAATATGAACTGTATGAAACAGTCTCGGAAAAATGCCAAAATTATTACCGATTACTTTGTGGACATGAAATTCAAGGTAAGGTACAGTCAAAAATCAATGGAGTGCTTGCAGTGACTGTGAAGCTGGGGGAAGATCTGAGTTAGGCCAGTCGAGCACTTTGGAAGTCATTGTCTTCCTTGTTCTTTCTTTTGTACCAACTCCTGAAGCCCCTCAATAAAATGGTTTGGTCAAAGATAAATTGCTGTATTGTTTCCCGAGATCACCATGTTAAAGGGTGTGCTTTTTTGGGCACACATTTAGCTTCATGATTAATTAAGGTGCCAGTTAAAACACCCAGGTCCCATATACAGTTTTTGCTAATGCAGTCCCAGGGAGGGGGTGGGGCAAGGGAGAGAGAGAGGAAAGGGAAGAAGAGAGAGAGAGAGAGAGAGAGAGAGATCCCATCCCTGATAAATTCACCAAATGTGATAATAGCCAAGGATGGGCCTGGAATTGGGAACTCAGTTCAGGCCTACCACATGGATGCCAGGGGCTCAATTCGTTAGAATCTGCATTACAAGGAAGCTGGGATTGAAACCATAGCCAGGAATCAATCCCAGGTATTCTGATATGGGATACAAGTTTTACTTATTCAAAAGGCAGAGAGACAGACGAGAGAGAGAGAGAGAGAGAGAGAGAGAGAGAGAGAGAGAGAGAGAGAAAGCCTTCTATTCTCTGGTTCAATCCCCAAATGCCTGGGGCTGGACAAGGCTGAAGCCAGAAATTCTATCCTGAGCTCAGTCTGGGTCTCCCCTGTTGGTGGCAGGGAGCAGGGATCCAGTAACTTGGGCCATCATTTGCTGGCCCCCCCCAGGGTGGGCAATAGCAGGAAGCTGGAAGCAGAGTGGAGCTGGAACTCAAACCCAGGCAATCCCCGTGGCATTCAGGTGTCCCAAGTGTCCCACTGTGCCAGGCACCTGCCTGGGTGCAGACACCTTAACCAGCATCTGAACTGCTAGGCCAAGTGCTCGCCTCAAGTCACCTTTGTATCATCCTCCATCTTGTTACTTCTATCTTCCTACTTTTTTCAATGACTACGAAAGTCTGATTCTCCAATTTGCCTTTCAGATACAGTCTGGGGCTGACTTCTCTGAGTCACTGGGGCATTTAAAATTGTGTTCTCATTTTGATGGCAAACTTGTTTCACTATCATATGTATGGTCACTATCATACTTGGTCACCTTTTAAGGGAGTATTGCAGCAAAATTTGTATTTTGAGTGCTCATGGACACATTAAAATAACAGCAATTAATTTAATGTTTTAATGCCCAATGAAGGCCAAATGCCTTCACAGAATGAACATTTCATAATAGTAGAAATAGAAAATATTACAGTGAGTTAGGGACGTCCAAGTCAACATAGCCAGGTCTTACTCTCATGCTAAAAGCAGCCATTTTGTATTTGCAAAGTCATATTTTTCTTATTCACTTTCATTTGAAATTGATGTTCACATTTCAAACATCTAGCCTACTTGCTTTTAAATAAATAGCTTCACAACGAATGTGACAGCATCTACGTGTATTATTTCTATTTGTCTCATGAAGTCCGTGCTACCTGCCTTTTTCTGTTTCATTTGAAGGATGAAGACCTACAAGAGATGGAGGATTTGGCCCAAAAAATGGAGGCTCAGTTTGGCCAGTTTTTTGATTACGTGATTGTGAATGACAACTTGCAAGATGCGTGTGCCCGGTTGTTATCTGTTGTACAGAAGGCTCAGGAGGAGCCTCAGTGGGTCCCCGCCACGTGGATTTCCTCCGACACTGAGTCTTCATGAGGTCCCCTGCTTCGGGCTGGAGTTTTAGCGCTGCAGCCTTGTCGGGGAGACCTGGAATAACGGCTGCTGTCTTAACAGCAGTACTGACCCATGTTAGTGTGTGCAACTGGATAAGTGCTGCAGTTCATTAACAGTATCGCAACAGTATGGCTCTGTATTATATTGCAAGGCTGTGCAGAGTGACACATTTGGCATTTAGGGAAACCTTTCTCTTTTCCTTCCCCTTCGATGCGGTTGTGGTGGGCATATCAATAACGTCACCAAGAATGAGCGCTTCTTAGGGACTTCAGGTCTTTCCCAGATTCAGTTAAAAGGAGCTTTCCTAAATAAAATGAGCAGTATTTAATTTCGGAAATGCACTTTATGAAACTTCTGTTTTGTGAATGCCTTTTACACAAAGTATCTACTTGGCTAACTCAGCAAGAAAGGTTAATGTACACATTTCATGGGTAACATCAACACCTCGAGATACTGAGATACCGCAAGCCTCCTGCATAGTCCCTAGAAGAAAGCCACGAGACGAGGATGCTATGCTAGGGTCTTTTTCTTTCTTCCCCTGTATCTGGGACCCCCCAGTAGCTCTCCCGGCCCCTTATCAGTTCATCTTCTGCATCACTCTCTCACCCTACCCATTCCAGCCCTCCCATCGCTTTCTATAAAGCAGAGTGTATGACTCATTTTTTTAAACTTAAAAATAAGTTCCCTTTCTAAAAATATCCAAATAAAACAGAAAATGCAGTCATTTTAAACGATATTTAGATAGGCTGATTTAATTTTCTGTTGTGGCTCTTTAAGAAGGTTTCTGATTCGATTTACGCACTGTCGGTAGACGCTGTGAGAACTGTTTATTTCAATTGTTTATTACGCACTGTCGGAGACGGTGTGAGAATTATTTCAATACACACGCCCACCCGGAGTCCCGCCGGGGAGTGTCCAGCCCGGGGCGTCCGGGCGTTCCTCCCTACCCCAGCGCCCGGGGACGCGGGGCCAGGCAGAGCAGAGGCGGGCGGGGACCTGGCTCGGGCGTCTGCGGTCTCGCCGGGCGCTGCGAAGCCGCCGCCTCCCGCAGGTCCCGGAGGCCGGCGCGGCGCGGGGAGCCCGGCTCGGGCCAAGGCCGTTGCCCTGAGGGAGCCCCGCTGGGCGATCGTCATGAGGGACGACTCGCGGTTTCGTGTGGAGGAGGGCCGCCCGGTGAGTGGTGAGGGGGCGCGGCGGCCACGAGGGTCCCCTGGGGCAGCAGCAGCCCTCGGAGCGGGCAGAGGCCAGCGGTGGGGGGCAGCAGCGGCCTGCCCTACTGGCCGTTACTGGACCCCGGAGCTGGCCGGGAGTGTCTGGGGGCCTGAGCTCGCGTTGCCACGACGCCGCCTCCGTCCGCCGCCGCCCCGGCTGGGCGGGCTCCGCGGCTGCCAGCGAGCGGCTCTTCCAGGCTCCGTCGGGAGCGCCGGGCCTTCCGCCCGGAAAGAGAGCGTTGTGGCTGCGGAGCTTTTAAACCCAGGTCCTCCCTCACGCCCCGCAGACAAATCACAGCAAACCCTGGGGAAACCGTGATTGGAGCCCCACGGCCGCCGGAGCCTCTGCTTTCGGCCCGTCAGCCCAGGCTCCTAAGCCCAGTTTCCTGCACGGCCAGTCTGCAGAGGTCAGGCCCGGCCCCGGTACCCACAGCCCCCTCGCCCTACAGCCCACCGAGGGGTCTGCGGGCCCGAAGCGGCCTGGGCCGCGCAGCCCGATGACGCACTGCGCCTGCGCGGGCGGCCGGGCGGGCGGGGGTGGCGCCGCGCGCCCCAGGGGCCGGAGGCCTACGGGCCCCGGCTTTAGACAGAATGGGGAAGAAGCAGGTGGTAAGCGAGCGGTGGTTAAGTTTGAGCGGTTAGGATTCTTGTCTCGGGTTGAGCCGTCCTGCTTTAGAGGGGCTTAGAGGTTGGGTTTCTGCTGTGGGTGAAACGTCATTTTTGCGGGATGTTTGAATGAGGGAGTTAGCAAGTGCACTGGACCTTGGGCTAGAACGCGCTTCGTAGCATCTTTAGAACAGCGGCGCTTTCGTGCGACTCCTTTCCAGTGTAATGTTTGACCACTGCATAGGATTAAGACAGTCAGCCTTGTCCTGGATCTTGGAGTATTTGCATTCATGTACTATTTGAACGGAAGGATGGCTGGGGGAGACCAACTCCTAGTATCTAGAATTTAACCGCGCTGTCTCCTGCAAGTAGCGAGATCCGTGGACCCTTAAATTGTTGATTTTGAAGGATTCCAGAATGCATCTTAGCTGCAGTGCTGTCTGCACTGCTAACACGAGTTTTCTCATTCATATCAACCTTTCTGCCCTAAAATCCTGTCTGTGGCACTGTTACTTGCTGCGCACGTTACAAAGTGGCGGAAAACTTCTATTGGCTTCCTGTTGAATTAGAACAAAACCCAGACTCCTTCCGTTGTTCTGACCCTGGGGCGTGTGCTTGGCCTTTACTGTCCTTTAACCCTGATTCTACCATTACCCGTCAGGGTGCCCTCACCGGTGGCCCATCAGATTTTTCTGTCACTCTGAACAGCAGGCTGTTGAAAGAACTTAAGGGTATTTGAGATTACATGAAGATGCCCAGGCTTTTACTTATCCACAGTTTTCTTCCTCCCTCCCACCCCCCATAGCGGCCTCCACGAGCTCTTCCACCTGTACCAAGGTAAACATGATTGACAGTAACTTAATTGTTGAACTTTAGAAACATAAAGCGAATGTTTGATGTGTAGTGTTGAGAAAGTATGATTCAGAAGAAACTTCCAAAAATTTAAAGGTAAAGCATCTTTGGGGCCTGAGGATAGCAGTTGTAACTGAATGTTCTCCTTTATTCAAAAGCCTGATTGTCACCGTGGTGTGCTGGGGGAGATCCGTGCTTGTTAGTAGAATTCTAATCCTCTTTTGTTTGCCAGAATAGTTTCCTGAGAGGTTAAGCTGATTATAGTGAGTGACAAATAACAGTTCCTAATCTGCTTTCTTATAGACAATAGGGAATATGGGTATGTGGGTCTTGAAAATGTTGGGGTTATTTTATTAGTAGTATTACATGGTATAGTTCTCACAAATAATAAGCTAGTTTGTAACCTGGCTGACATTGTGTGAAAGCTGATTTTATTTTAAGTATATAATGGTTTCAGTTATTTTTAAATTTAATTTTAAGTAGATTTGTAATTAATGGTTTCTTTTTTTGTTTTTCTCCTGCTGACTACATTTGGTCGGTATTATATGAAGTGCTATTCAAGGTAAGTTTATTATTACGTAAAATTATCAAAATATAATACTTGTGTTAAAACTACTATATTCAAAAATTAATGTTCCCAAATTAGTTTGATTCCTTAACTTGTTTTAAAATTTAATATGGATGCCATTTTAAAAGTATAGCTGATCTATAACACTAAATGACTTTGACCATTAGAAAAGCATTATCTTCCCCCAAACAGAGTGGGCAGAGCATAAGTCACTGGTCTAAGCAACCTAACAGGGACTACACCTTCCTTTTTCCCATTTGGTCAGGACCGGTGAAGTTAGGCTGCACTAACAACCCCCAAACCTCAATGATTTAATATCACGCAGGGTTACTTCTAATTAATGTGAAGTCAACCCCCCTCCCCTTTAAAAAAAGATTTATTTATTTACTTGAGAGGTTGTTAGAGAGGGGAAGACAGAAAGTAGGGTCTGCTGGTTCATTCCCCAAATGGCCGCAACAACAATGGCTGGAGCTGGGCCGATTGGAAGCCAGGAGCTTCTTCTGGGTCTCCCACATTAGTGCAGTAGCCCAGGCAGTTGGGCCACCGCTTTCCCAGGCCATAGCAGAAAAGCTGGATCGGAAGAGGAGCAGCCAGGACTTGACCCAGCGGTCATATGGGATGCCTGAGCCACAGGCGGAGGCTTAGTCTGCTATGCTACAGTGCCAGCCCCCTGCACCCCTCTTAACTAATGAAGTAGTGATCCAGACTACTTCTGTCCTGTGGTTCTGCCATCCTAACATGAGGCTTCATCAGTTGCACAGCTAGGGGAGAGAAAGCTGGAGGCTACTCATTGGCTCTTTTGTGTGTCAGCCCCCACACAACACAGACTCATAGCCAATTGGCCACACCCGTCAGATGCTGCACCTGAGTGGGAGGGGGGCAGGGCTGGAACATGTAGGGGATTGGATGAACATGTAAGCCTGTTTCCTGTGTCACAGTTTCTGACATTACTGACCAGCAGTGTGCCACCACACTACAGGTTCTCATCGTCTTTGTCAATGGGCTTCTCTGCTGCTTCTCCCACTGTGTAGAAGTTGGCCGGAACCAGGGAAGAGGGGGAGAAGTGTGTCTTGCTATAAGTTCTTGTCTGACTGTTGCCCGTGTTGAAGGGTAGGCAGCCTTTTCTATTGCTGTTCTTTCTGTCTTGCAGATGATATTCCACTTAGTCGTCCTAAGAAAAAGAAGTCCAGAACAAAAACACCTGGTAAGAAGCTGTCCTTTGTTGTGTGGGATCGCGAGCTCGCCGAGGCACTCAGACACGATGAACATCCCAGATCCGAGTGGCAGGGCCTGCTGTGTTGAAGATCAGGCTGATTGGAAGCCCTGGAATTCCTGGTGGTAGTGAGCGCCAAGGCAGTGCCCAGGCTGAGGAGTATTTAGAAACATTCGTGGAATAAATAGTTGGGCCCCTAAGCTCTTATTTCCATAATATTCTTGAAGTCTTTGAGGTCTTTTATCCCTGGACAACATAAATTTTTTTTTAAAGATTTATTTATTTGCTTGAAAGAGTTACACAGAGAGAGAAGGAGATGCAGAGAGAGAGAGACGGAGACGGAGAGGGAGAGAGAGAGAGGTCTTCCATCCACTAGTTCATTCCCCAGTTTGCTGCAACATCCAAAGCTGTGCCAATCCGAAGCCAGGAGCCAGGAGCCACTTCTGAGTCTCCCATGTGGGTGCAGGGGCCCAAGGACTTGGGCCATCTTCCACTGCTTTCCCAGGCCATAGCAGAGAGCTGGATTGGAAGAGGAGCAGCTGGGACTTGAACTGGTGCCCACATGGGATGCCAGCACTTCAGGTTGTGGCTTTACCCGCCATGCTACAGTGCTGGCCCCTAAATTTTTTTTTTAAAGACTTATTTTATTTATTTGAAAGAGTTACAGAGAGAGGTAGAGACAGAGAGAGAGAGAGAGAGAGAGAGAGATCTTCCATCTGCTGGTTCACTCCCCAGTTGGCTGCAATGGCTGGAGCTGAGCTGATCTGAAACCAGGAGCCAGGAGCTTCTTCCAGGTCCTCCAAGTGGGTGCAGGGACCCAAGCACTTGAGCCATTCTCTTCTGCTTTCCCAGGCATGTCAGCAGTGAGCTGGATTGGAAGAGGAGCAGCCGGGACTCCAACCAGTGCCCATATGGGATGCCAGCACTGCAGGCTAGGGCACCGGCCCCAGCATAAATTGTTTTAAGCTGTGATTGGTGCCAGATGCTGGAACAGGGAACTGGATTTTGTGCCAGAGTTCTTTTTCAGAGAATCTCAGTTCTTTTCAGAGAATCTCAACCCGACAGCACGAGTGTGAAGGCAGGGCCACATCACCCGTGCGTGGCAGCGCTAGGAATCGGCAGGTTCTGTGAATTCCTCATTTGTCCTTCTTGTCCACTGATGGTCCAGGATGTTCCATCAGTAACTCAAACCCGAAATATCCAGAATCCATTCCCATCGTCAACAGTCAGTGTTTACCCGTTTA